TGTATGCATGTACATGTAGTCCATGCATGAATGTTTGCATGTGGATGTAATAATGTGTGCATATATTTATGTAGGTGCATGTATTATGTATGTCTGTATATGTATGAGACTGTTTCTATGTAAATGTAGCTGTGTAAGTATATGGGTGTATGTGTATTCATGCATGTATATGGATGTTTATCGGTATATGTAGCTGTGTATGTATGTGGATGTGTGTATATTTATGAATGTATGCAAGTATGCATGTATGTAAGTATGTGGGTATGTATTATGTATGTGTATGTATGTATAAAAGTATCTATATGTGTGTATATATGTATGTATTATCTGAGTGGGTGTGCTGTATGTGAGTGTATGTATGGGTGATTGTATATGTGTGTATGCATGCATGTGTGGGTATGTAAGTAATGTGTGTCGGTATGTATGTATGTTTGTGGATGTGTGTATGCATTTGTAGATGTATAAGTATGTGGGTGTATGTGTGTGTATTTAGGTATGTATGCAAGTATGCATGTATGTGTGTAAAGATGTAGGTGTATGTATTGATGTGTGTATGTATGTATGTATGTATGTGTGTATGTATGTTTACATGTGAGTGTAAATGTGTGGTCGTGAGTGTCTGTACATGTGATTGTATGTGTGTGTATGCATGCATGCATATGTAGGTGTGTATGTATGGAATGTGTGTGTGCATATATGTCCATATATATAAGTGTGTGTCTTTTCTGTTTGTGTATATATGTAGATGTGTTTATGTATGTATGTGTTAGGTATGTCTGTATATGAGTGTGCATGTATGAGAATGTGGGAGCATATATATATGTGTGTGAGTGTGTAAGATTGTTCACACATGATGTATGTATTATATTCTATAATATATATTTTTATTCTATATCCATAACATGCATTTTAGATAACAGGCATTGGTACTCTGAAAAACAAGTGCTTAGAAGGGCCGAATGTTAGACGGGCCTGCGTGCCCAATTTGTAACCTTTTGAAAATTAAGTTTGTTCGTTCGTTCGTTCGTTTTCTCTCTTTCTCTCTCACTCTCTTTCTTTCTTGATATTTTGGAGCTATTCTGGCTGTCTTTTGTTTTAATGTTCGTTGTTCTGCCTTGTAGTTTTGTTGTTTTCTTGTCACCCCAATATGAAACTAAGTTAACACATTGTGTTTCCCAGTGGTCACACTAGATCAAAAATGCTGCTTCTCATGTGGACAACTTGTAGTAGTCATGTGGACAACTTGTAGTAGTCATGTGGACAACTTGTAGTAGTCATGTGGACAACTTGTAGTAGTCATGTGGACAACTTGTAGTAGTCATGTGTGAAGCCAGTGTTGATAAAGCTTCACTTTTTCAGATAGTAACATTTATACATCTGCAGTGTCACTTTATATGGACCACATATTCTATCTTATAAAATGATAATATTTGCATTCATTTTCCAGACCTATAATAATTCTGTAGATGAAATGGTATGTGTATGACTGTGTTTGTTTCCTAATCCTCATATTAGAGACCGACTGGAAATATGCCTCTGCTGGTGATGTTTCCTCTACAGGTTTTGTGTAGACAGTAGATTTCTAGAGGTTTGTCAATTCAGATACAAAATGGATGATAACTACTTGGCAGACTCAATGATCAGTCAGAACGAGGAAACCTCTCCCCCCCTTGTGATCCTGTACAGTTGTTTTGCAGAACCAACCTAGTTAGTTTTGCACATCCTTTACAGGACATCGCAGAACCAAACCTAGCAAGTAATTTGGTGCCAGGTTCAATCCCAGCAGAGGACAGTTTGTCTTGTCTTGGTTTCGACAGTGTTACCAAGAGCTGACCACTCCTAAGCGGTGGCAAACTACTGAGAGTGAAATGTGCCTAGAAAAACAGTAAAACAAAATGCTGGGGTTGGTTCTGCAACGTCCTGTAAAGGATACACAACTAACTTAGTTTGCCATTGCTTTTTGAATGTTTGGCTCTTGAGGCCACTGTCTAAGCCAGTATAAGGCGGTCTGCTGCTATATTGCCAGCAGCTGAGATTAAACGTAGCACTACATAGCTATGAAGTATGTTCACAATTCCTAAGCCACAAACCTGACAGAAATGCTAGGCTGGTGACAAAACATATCACAGAACACTATGACCAAAGTTATATCACATATCTTCATGCAAACAATCAGTGTTGCTTTGTACTTCTCAAAGAATGGTGAGCGGTGGAAAAGAAATATATAAACTGGCTATAAATGCATGAATCCATCACAGTGTGAGATGTCTCAGTGGTGGCCATCCAGTCAACCTGTATAATGATTGTGATATTATTAAACATTATAACATGATCACACAGTACATTCACATTTCAGGACAGCAGAGGAATTCACACAAACCACCATCCACCTTTTCACATTTAGCTATAAAAGTACATGCCAAACAAAAAGGACTACAAATCTGATGTGGTAATGTTTCACTATTTTAATGTTTAGTGCAACTCATAGGATTGCTATCACATCTAAGTATGGACTGGATTATGAAGCATTCAGTAAACACATCACACTCTATAATACACACAAAGATCACACTATCAACAGTGCTAGTATACAAGTAATACTTCTGTGGTAAATGAGTGCCTCAGTCTACACAAATAGTAAGTGACTCCAGGGAATTAGAAACTCTACAGTCTGTATTCTAATACACGCGTAGCTACATTGCATGTGTGTTTAGACTACATTTCTCGTTTACTGTTTCTTCTTATTCTGCATTCATCCTTAAAAGGGCAGTTAGCTGCACAGGAAAACCCATAATTAGTTGTCCTCTACAATATGTTTGTTGTTGCAATACAAAGATGGGCTGGGTCTGAAGACAGTGGTTGGGGCTGACAGATCAGTTTCGTTTTGGTGCCAAGGCACACAGGCATGCAAGGAAATGGGTAGGCTAATAAGCTTGCAGGTAAGGCTGCTGTGAAGGGTAGACAGACCATGGACCAGGCTGATATACTGAATGCTCTATGAGAAGTAATGCTCTTTAAGAAGTAAGAGGTTTGTAAGAATCAAATGATTGACTCTGCAACCATGAACACAAAAACAGCAGGTTTAAAAAGGGGTGTAGCCAGACCAGAGCACTATGCAGGAAGCCAAAGAACAATAATAAACCAATAGCTAAATGGTGACATCAACCATTACACTCGGCCAGATTTACTGTGGAGAGGTGGGAATCCGAGCAGTATTATAACAGTAAAATAAAGTTTGTTGTTCGTTTATTGTATTAATACCCTGGAGTACCTAGTGTTTGTGGAACTGTATTTCTAAACTAAGCTACAGAATAAACAAAACAAACAAACTATGGTAAACATATGAGAAACAAAAAAAGAGAAATTAACCACTGAGAGAATAAAAAGCATCACAACTGAATCAAATGATCAATAAAATTATAACAAAAAGAATAAGCGGAAAGAATAATTTTTTAAAAAATCACTCAATTTGAAGAAAAAACATCAGAACTTTATAAAACAAAAAAAAAAAAACCTGCTCTGTGATGTCATCCACATACAACCAGCCTTGATATATGAAACAATATCTGTTGGTTATATCATACTGTTTTAAGTTGTCACATCATGGTGAAGTAACAATTTGTTTTCCATCACAATGTGAAACAGGTTTTTCACATTAAATCACAATGTGAAAGTTGTGTCACAGGAGCTGATTTTGTGAAACAGTTTTTTCTTTAACATTACATTATGTCATAGTAATAATTATATAAACATAATACATTATGTGTGGAAATGTCTGTATAACACTACACATTGCTGTGCATAGAATCAAATGCCTTGTCATAATATATAATGTGTTTGCTGTGATCATGTGTTTGATAAAATGCATGTGAGTAGGTGGGCGCATTCATGCATGTGTGTGTGCATCTGTGAGAGAGGGAGGAAGAGAGAAAACAATCTGTGCATGTGTGTAAGTCTGGAAAAAAAATTATGTATGTGAAAGGTACTTTCATGTACATGTAGGAAAATGTGTGTACACGGATGGATATGGGAGCCAAAAATGTTTACGCAATCAAACAACAAACGTGTGGTGCATGTGGGAACTATGTATATGTGCAACGTATAACTCCCGTATACTTTGTGAAACACATATTTGGCAATTTAAATAGGTTGCTGCAGGACCTGCTACCAAGGTGAAGACAATGAAATAAATACCTGGCTTCCCCCCCCCCCCACCACACACACACAAAAATGTCACCAGGCAATTAAATGCCACCAACACATCTGGGGGACGCATGAGGAGAAACAATATTGCTCATTATTCTTCCTAGCATGGCACATAATCCATACACATATGAGCCAAAAGAAAACCAGGGAAAACAATCTGTGGAAAATAAAGTCTGTAAAGGTATTCCCTTGTAAATATAGATTAGGTTTCTATGTGCTGTTAAAAATATTATATTTAGGACAAAATAGGCAAAGATGAAACACCGGAGGGAGTGGGGGCATTTTATTAAGAATAAAAAAGAAAAAATTAGTACTTCGTAGTATTAGGAAACACATGCATAGGAAAACATGGTGTCGCAAACCTAGGGCCAATACCTAGAAAAAACAATTCATTATGTGTGATGTCAGTAAATCTGCCAGAGTATAACAGAAGAATCTGTGCAAAATGCTATGACAAAATCTTAAATGCAGACATGGAAAAGAAAATTAGAAACACAGGAATGAGGGCATGGAGTGAGCCAAAAGGAGAGAGCAAAAAGTAGTGCTGTTGGTGGTGATATTCCAATGCGGGATAAACATAAGAAAAAAATATAATTTAAGTATAATCATAACATAATGAAACAGATGGTTGGTAAGAGTTAGTGGACAAAAAATGTACCGACTGTCATGAATGCTCCCAAATGTCTGCCTCATGTACTGGTCTGCCAGACATAAAGATTTAAGAAACAATGGTTGTGGAAGAAAAAAAGTAACATAACTTTGGAATGAAACTGCATGCATACTGGCTACTGTTGTTACTTAATGTCACAGAGAAGTGCCACACCCCTCAGCGTCCAGTAATCAGGGCTCTTGCTTGTCTTCAAGAGCAGGGGAAAGATGTAGGTCAGATCTGTACGGTTTGGTTTCTTATAGACAGGACATTCATATAAGTTTGAGCCACGAGGTTTCTCCATATTGTTGGCAAAGACATGTACTACTGGTAAGGGGGTGAAGAGAACTTTAGGGGTGGGTTCAATCAGTTTAGCATTTCGTCGGTCCCAGCCTGAAGCATCCAGGTATAGGCCAAAAATGTAGACACCTGCGGAGAAGTCAACATACAGGTTAGACGTTGTGGTTATCACGCACAATCTACTCACACATTCAGAACATACAAAATGTTAAAAGATATGTTGTACATACTAAAAACACAAACCTGTCGGCCCTTTTCCGTCTAAGACAATTAGTCTATATCGTGCTATAGGGAGGCATGGGAATCACAGCCCATGGTGACAGCAAGTGTGACCAGCAAGACCCGCACATGGTGATGGCGTGACTAGCAAGACCCGCACATGGTGATGGTGAGTGTGACTAGCAAGACCCACACATGGTGATGGTGAGTGTGACTAGCAAGACCCACACATGGTGATGGTGAGTGTGACCAGCAAGACCTGCACATGGTGATGGTGAGTGTGACTAGCAAGACCCGTACATGGTGATGGTGAGTGTGACCAGCAAGACCTGCACATGGTGATGGTGAGTGTGACTAGCAAGTCCCACCCACACATGGTGATGGAGAGTGTGACTAGCAAGACCTGCACATGGTGATGGTGAGTGTGACTAGCAAGACCCGCACATAGTGATGGTGAGTGTGACTAGCAAGACCCACCCACACATGGTGATGGTGAGTGTGACTAGCAAGACCCACCCACACATGGTGATGGTGAGTGTGACTAGCAAGACCCACCCACACATGGTGATGGTGAGTGTGACTAGCAAGACCCGCACATGGTGATGGTGAGTGTGACTAGCAAGATCCGCACATGGTGATGGTGAGTGTGACTAGCAAGATCCGCACATGGTGATGGTGAGTGTGACTAGCAAAGACCACCCACACATGGTGATGGTGAGTGTGACTAGCAAAGACCCAACATGGTGATGGTGAGTGTGACTAGCAAGTGACCCACACATGGTGATGGTGAGTGTGACTAGCAAGACCCCCACACATGGTGATGGTGAGTGGTGACTAGCAAGACCCACACATGGTGATGGTGAGTGTGACTAGCAAGACCATGCACACATGGTGATGGTGAGTGTGACTAGCAAGACCTGCAAACATGGTGATGGTGAGTGTGACTAGCAAGACCCGCACATGGTGATGGTGAGTGTGACTAGCAAGAACCCGCCCACACATGGTGATGTTGAGTGTGACTAGCAAGACCCCCCACACATGGTGATGGTGAGTGTGACTAGCAAGACCCAAGCCCCACACATGGTGATGGTGAGTGTGACTAGCAATTGGACACCACACATGGTGATGGTGAGTGTGACTAGCAGGTACCCCGCACATGGTGATGGTTGAGGTGTGACTAGCAAGATCCCAAGCCTTCGCACACATGGTTGAAATGTGAGTGTGACTAGCAAGAGACCCACACATGGTGATGGTGAGTGTGACTAGCAAGACAACCCACACCATGGTGATGGTGAGTGTGACTAGCAAGAACCGCACATGGTGATGGTGAGTGTGACTAGCAAGACCCACACATGGTGATGGTGAGTGTGACTAGCAAGACCCGCACATGGTGATGGTGAGTGTGACTAGCAAGACCCGCACATGGTGATGGTGAGTGTGACTAGCAAGACCCACGCACACATGGTGATGGTGAGTGTGACTAGCAAGACCCACACATGGTGATGGTGAGTGTGACTAGCAAGACCCGCACATGGTGATGGTGAGTGTGACTAGCAAGACCCACACATGGTGATGGTGAGTGTGACTAGCAAGACCCACACATGGTGATGGTGAGTGTGATTAGCAAGACCCGCACATGGTGATGGTGAGTGTGACTAGCAAGACCCGCACATGGTGATGGTGAGTGTGACTAGCAAGACCCGCACATGGTGATAGTGAGTGTGACTAGCAAGACCCACACATGGTGATGGTGAGTGTGACTAGCAAGACCCGCACATTGTGATAGTGAGTGTGACTAGCAAGACCCGCACATGGTGATGGTGAGTGTGACTAGCAAGACCCGCACATGGTGATGGTGAGTGTGACTAGCAAGACCCACACATGGTGATGGTGAGTGTGACTAGCAAGACCCGCACATGGTGATGGTGAGTGTGACTAGCAAGAGCTGCACATGGTGATGGTGAGTGTGACTAGCAAGACCCGTACATGGTGATGGTGAGTGTGACTAGCAAGACCCGTTGTGGTTATCACGCACAATCTACTCACACATTCAGAACATACAAAATGTTAAAAGATATGTTGTACATACTAAAAACACAAACCTGTCGGCCCTTTTCCGTCTAAGACAATTAGTCTATATCGTGCTATAGGGAGGCATGGGAATCACAGCCCATGGTGACAGCAAGTGTGACCAGCAAGACCCGCACATGGTGATGGCGTGACTAGCAAGACCCGTACATGGTGATGGTGAGTGTGACTAGCAAGACCCACACATGGTGATGGTGAGTGTGACTAGCAAGACCCATGACCTACTCCTGTTTGAAATTTGAGCTACTGAACAATATCCATCACATACTCCTGATTATTCCCCACCACATATTTCTAAAGGAACCAGATCATGGAAGATGGAGAGGTATAAAGTGTAAAATGTTTACATATTATGTTCAATAGATGCTAACGAGGCCAGTGCACTTATATACCAACTGATACCGTTGTTAAGCCAGTTATGATCTGTAGTTTAATCAGTCTCCTTTTTGTCGACGAAATACTGAGACGAAGAGGAAATGGCAATCGATGACACACAAACTGGTATAACAGCTGAACACCGCGGGAATCCGACTTAACAGTCCCCAGGACTCTTGATGAACGCCCTCTTTCAAACTACTCCCAATGACTTTCTCAGCGTTCTCATCAATCTCAGTGTAATCAATTAATGCTGTAGTACACCTGGACGGACAAACTGTAACGAAGATGAATGGGCTCATGAATGATGCCCAGTCAGGCCTTCTACTATCTTCCAAATACTTACGGCAGGCTCTCCAGACATGGACAAAACACCCCAGTGAACTATGTCCCAGGTGCCTTGTACGGTCAGCTCGCACCCGATCGTGCAGATAAAATTATGTGATGTTAGTGACAAACCCCTGACGATTCGTCCTCTAAAAGACACTGCCACCCTGGGACTCAAAAAAGATGCACCTCTTAAGTGAAAAACTCCAGACTGCCTGTCTGCTACGCCCACTGAAGCTCGCTAACTAACATTCTGATAATCAGCCTTGGGTACTTCTCCATCAAATCCCACGATGGTCAACACACACAAAGTCCCCAAATGTGCCTTCTGTGCACTTAAGGACACCGTTTAACCAACGTCATATGGCTGCAACTGTGAGGATGCCATCACACACCGACCCAAGTCCATTTCTAGAAAATCACTGATATTTTTGCAAAGTCCAACTCTGGATACACCACAATCATCCTGGACAGAATAGAACATCACTAAAACACATCGCTAAACACAGTCTGTGGATCAACTGGACTCAAACCATTCAAACACATACGTCCGCTCAGCTAGATGAACTGAAAGCTACTGACTGATTCACACTACCACTGGACTCTTCCATGCTTAGTTACACGTAGATTCACATTCTTGCCAACACTCGGGGTTCCCGACCCACTCATGCTGTCGACCCACATGAATCGCACAAAATCCTGATGTCCACAAGACTCATGTCCCCAGTGGCTCATGCTACACTGTTTTCCAGTGACCCCAAACGTTTACTTACATTCCTAACTTGTCAACACAAAGTCCTGGCTTCATCAGCTCTCTATAACCCCTAGTGATTTAGCACACAACACAAATACTGTGCTACCAGTGCCAGACTTGGACATTATCAAAGGCTAACCTATGAAAAATTAACACCTGCAAAATGAAATGCCTGAGAAAAGCCACCAGCTTAACCATCCAAGACAACATTATAGAATTAAATTACAGAGACTGTAGGAACAACACCACACAGCAAATATAATAAGAAACAGGATGAAATGGTTTGGTCATTTTGTTAGAATGCAGCCAGAACAACTACCAAAGCAGGTGCTAAACAGGAAAAGATCTGAAGTGAAAGCAAAAGGCCACCCTAGGAGAAGATGGATTGATGACATTAAAGAGCTTTTACATCGACACAGAATGACAATAGCCAATGCTGCCCATCAAGCAGTGGATCGCAAACTGTTGCCTCCCAACAACGCTTAGCTGCAGAAGTGGAAATTAATGATGATGATGATGATAGCATAGTGAGGTGAGCTGCTCAGTTCCATTCAACCTCCCCTTCTCTCTCAAGACAGTTTCCAGAACATATTTGTATCTAATTTGTGACCACTGCAACCTCAAAAACTGTACTGACCAGAAAGAACAAGAAAAGAATCTTGCCTCAGTTGGGATTTCTGAAGTTAAAGTAGACATTGTTATTTTCATTTGGGAGATTGCCTTTAGTAATCTTAAGGAAAAACTGATTTTGTGCACCTTATTGTGATGATGATGTATACTGTGCATAGACTTTGACTAAAGGACATCATGATGGAATGAGAAGTGGCTGGTGGGTTGGTTGGTGAAACTGTTGGAAGACTTAAGTCTTGACTCTGAATTATGATGCATCTGTGCTCAGTGATTGTGAAAATGTATGACTAACCTTCAGTGGGGGCTGATGTAATGTCTTCCTTCATGAGTTTGGTGACTTCATTGTCCAGGAACACAGTGTCTAATGCCCAGCCTTTGTGGCCCGGGTGATCTCTTGTCTCATAGCAGTTAAGAAACCCTAGAACAAAGACACACAGATAGAAAGACAAGAAGATATGTGAGTTTAATGATTTATGTAAAACATAGTCACACAATATAGTTTGGTTGTGTACATCCTCAGAGGTGCTCTATCTCGCTTAAGAAAACAGTGTGTTGCCATTGTGAGTTTTAACCCTACCAGACCTGAGTGCCTGAATCTAACTGTCCCTATAACCTGAGCTCCTGGGCATTACCGCGAAAAAACCAACATGATATACAAAAATATTAGTTACATGCAAACAAGTAGCTAGAATATGATTAAACTTGGAGACATTGTAGAAAATAGGCTTACTTTTTATCTAGCGCCAATATTCCACCTTTGTGTGCCAATCCAATCATCAGGATCAACTTTGTTTCACAAAGTGAACACCACATGTTGCGGTTTGAGAGACACACCCCCTTCTCCCACTATTGATCTATTTCAAGATTTATAATTTTCAAGATTTTCCTCATCATTCACACTCTCAATGACAGTGTCACTTCAAGAACGTATTCTTTATGAAATTATCACTCCGCAGAGTCTGAATAAACCAAAGTATCGATCACCTTCTGGACTGTGAAAAGCCTAGAACTTGGTTCATCAGCCACTCGTTTCATTGTAAATTTTCAGAATTTTTCCACTTAACTCTTTAAGGCCCAAACAACGGTGTGAGCGTAGTTTGAGAAGTTCCGTTCTGCCCAAACAACAGTGTCATCGTTAATCGTGTATCTCTTACATTTTGCTTCGCATGCGCGTTCGTACTAGTTTCTAATGTTTGGAGGTACGAATAACCTATTCAGGGAAAGTCACTCTACCGAAATCCTTTTAGTTTCACTTCTTGGACTAAAACACACCTGGATAATTTGAGAGAAAAAAAAACATCAATTTTTTTTTACAGTTTATTTTCTAAGTTCGTTTTTGAGTGCACTGAATACCAATGTTCTAACCACAAGAACAGGTCGCAGAATGCGTCTTTCTGGGGCCGAAGCTCTGAAATTGTTTCAGTCAGATGTTTTTAATTGTGAAAATGATAATAAAAAAATTTTTAGATTTTTCGGAAAGGGATTCAGACAGTGAATTTTTCACCAGTGAAGCTGAGCGATCAGCTGTTCGGAATCTAGCGATTCTGACGAGTTTTATTACACAGACAATGTCCCATTACTACAGTATTTTATGGTGTAAGAGAAGGAAAGTGCTCTAAAACAAAGAGATAGTACTATAATATGGCTTAGCTACATTGAAATCATCGCAGCTACAGTCTGTAAATAACTGTTACAAAGTGAATAGTAAATAGTGGGTGTGTGTTATGGCTCATTTTTCTGCCATTTTTTCTCTGAAATTTTGCTTAGCACTCGGTTGGGAACTAAGAGCCCCTGAGTGATAAACTAACCCAGAAAGTTATCATAACCTTTTTAGAATAATGTTAGGACATTGAACAAACTTTGAAGTTTTGTTCTCAAATTTGGATATTTACTATTCTTGTGGCTGCAAAACCATGGTAAGTGAAGAATTTTTTTGTGAAATGTTGTCCTTGTGAAATTAACACCTGCTGAATTCTTCTTTTCCACTAACTATAACAAAATTAAACAAACACTTATCATCAGATTCAGAATGTACACTCATTTCTCGTTTAAAAAATATATACTGTTATAGGGATTAGAAGTATATTACAGTCTCTACAGCCTTTCTTGTACACCCACCCCTCTGCCATTTTTGTAAAGGGAAATTAATGTGGGCCAAGTCTGTCAAAATTCATGGGCCTGAAAGAGTTAAACAACACAAATATAATCCAAACACATGTGGGCAGACATTTGCAATGTCTAACAAAGAGGATTGATAACAATTGGGTGGTTATTTTTAGTCCGTGACGCATCTTTTTGTAGTACTATGCAAAAAGCCGAAATTTAGGGCCAGCAGTCTGGTGTCAGGTTAAGAAATTCCCGGAAAACCGGTAGGGTAAATAATGCAGACATGAAGACAACACAGTAAAAAAAAAGAAAGAATAAATCTACCATGATAGTTACGTGGTTCATTTTGAATTTCTAAGGAAGAGATGAACACTGTAACTAAAGACATTGTGATTTGTGTATTTCAGTGGAAAGGACTAACTTTTGCACTTCATGGTATGTTGATGTAACTCTGTAGTAATGCACCTGATGAGATATAGCAAAATATGGCAAGCAATAAATTGGGCACATTTATTGTTTGTGTCCCTATTAATTAGCTTTCAAATTGCTCAGTCATTTTAAAGCTACCCTTTTCTCTCTTGAGGTTTAGTTGGTGGGCAGTTGAATTTCTCTGGAAAAGGGAGGTTTAGCTCAATCTACTGCATTCATATTCCGTTTTATTAGTTTCGGAAAATGACTTGAGTGACACTGGTGTAGTAACATATTTTCCAAAAAAAGAACATATACTACAACACATAAGAAAAACTGACTTACTATCTCTTAAACATTTCTATAGGTTATTTGTCTGTTTTCTTTGACTACACAGTTTTCAATATTTTCAACTCATTCCCATCATTCCTCTGCAATCATTCATGCTGGCTTAGCATACTAACCTGAGGATTGAAGAATCCAGTCATCCAGAAAGATGTAGGCCTGCCCTCAAAGATCCATGAGTAGAACTGGGCATTACGATCCAGCAAATCTGTGAACCAGAAGCCCAGAGTTGTGGACTGCCAGGAGACCTGTGTAGGACAACATACATGAAGTCGTCAGTTCTGGCTCTCCTAGCACTTCTATCTGATGCTGAAGGAGTTTTACACAATGACACAGACTCACAAATACATATACATGGACACAGATACATGGACACAGATATATGGATATGATTCATAGACACAAATATACTGGCAGACATGGACACAGACACATGGACACAGACTCATAGACATAGGCAGAACAATATAAACATTTATGTGGACACATTCCCATGAACAGAAAGAGAGAGAGGGAGACAGAGAGAGAGAGAGAGAGAGAAAGAGAGAGAGAGAGAGAGAGAGAGAGAGAGAGAGAGAGAGAGAGAGAGAGAAAGAATTACACATGACATGTTGACAAAAGCAGAGGGCCACAGACACATGGAAACTGGCACACAGATATTACCATCACATGCCGTGTTGACAAGCATAGGTGAACTTGGGTTCTTGAGGCCTCAAAGATGTGGTTTTACAGAAGAATGTTTAGAATACATTGGACAGCCAAAAAGAGCAACCAAGAGGTTTTGAAAGAGGCGGAAGCCCCAAGGCAACTTATCACAGACATCAGAAGAAGACAGTCATCATTTTTCGGCCATGTTATGAGAAGAGATAAAATAGAACATCTTGTGACCACTGAAAAGATATGTGGAAGGAGGGTTAGAGGAAGACAGCGAGAGGAGATTCTTGACAGTCTTGTTGCATGGCATGGAGGTGTGTCGGCACACGAACTGATACATGCTGCAGGAGATCGTGGTTTATGGAGAGGCATGATCGCCCACGCCAGTCGGCAAGGCACCTGATGATGATGATGATGATGATGAACTAACTTGGTTCGCCACCTCACGCAGTCACTAGAATCACAAATCAGGTCTGTGTTCTTGTTCAAGCAACATAGAGATATAAACACACAAAAGAAGCTTCACACTGAAAATATTAACACCAATCTCTACCATGGGTCAAACAGTCAGAAACACAACCGGCTGGCACTCAGCCAAACTCATCTCACCTTCCTCCAGTTGTTTGGCACCCTGGCATCATACATATTGTCCAGGGTATCCCTCAAGTTCTCAGACATGATGATGGTGCCATCAATAGCCAACTTGAGGTCCACCAGTGTTGACCGGACCAAGCTGATGACTCGCTGCATGCGGTCAATCTCCTGGCGCAGGAAGATGTTCAGAGGCTGTAAGATGCCCATCTTCTTTAGTTTCTCTTTAACCTAAAAAGGGTTATCAATGATAACTTTGTGTTAAATATTAGTCAGTTTGAAGGAATAAGATTGTAAGTACACTAGGCACAGGTAAATCACAGTTTTTCCAGACCAGAGGATCAGCTGTCATGTGTGCAACTGTGAAACTGGGATAAGAGCAACTGTGATGTCAAAGTGGAGGGGGTGTTTTGTGTAGGCTACAATATGGCTCAGTGGTGGAGATAATAATTTGTGTATTACTGAACTCGCAGCTGAGTGATGTGTTAGTTCAGGCTAACTGAAGTTAGTTCAGCAAAAAGCTATTTCTTCCTAACTTAGTATTATCCCTGTATGTTCTGGGAGAGAATGGCACTGCAAGCAGTTACAAGGAGATCTAGCCGGCGCTCAACACTGTATTATCCCTGTATGTTCTGGGGAGAATGGCTCTGCAAGCCGTTACAAGGAGGTCTAGCCGGCGCTCAACACTCATGAGAAAGGCAAGATAGATATACAATCATACAGTTACTGAAGCCATCGGAATTGGAACTCTTCGCTTGCTGCTGAAGATGGGGACGGAGTGCTTATGGGGGTGTCCCGAGTGCTGTGATGTTGATTCTTAATTCAACATTTAACCATACAGTCATTTCAAAGAAAAGTATTGCATCAAAATAATAAAGGTAAACACAGATCATACATCTAGCCAACCAATGTCAATAAACAAACAGCAGGATCATATAACTGTCTTCTCTCCAAATGAAAGCCATGACATAGACAAATAATTTACACATCTATCTGCCTTCCTCTCCTAGACAAATGTCTAAAGTTGCCACAAAAGTCATAAATCAGATTTCCTGATTCACTCACCTCATGTGGTTTATAATCTGCTGGAAGCTTCTCCAACATGTCTTCTGCTAATCTGTAGACCACTGTCTCCCTGGTGTCTCCTCCCCCACTGCCAGCATCTTTAGGCTGAATGTTGACAATTGTGGACAGCATCTTGTTTGCAGTGTTGGTCTGGTAGCTACAGATTAAATTCTTCTGATGAATATCTTGTTTGCAGGAGTATTGAACATTTCAAGTGTATTCATTTTATCCAAGATGAAAACAAGAAGAAAAATGAAAAGCGGAAAGTAAATGAATAGAAGCAAAAGCTGAAACTGAAGATGAAGAAGAAGTATAGAAATATGAAGAGAAGGAAAAAAAGAGGGTGAAGGAGAAAACAAAAGAAAGAAAAGGAAGTAAATACAAAGATATAAACATGATGAAGATCAAACTTTAAAAAAAAAAAAGCAATATTTAGCATAGTATAGAAAAATGAAGAGAAGGAAAAAAAGAGGGTGAAGGAGAAAACAAAAGAAAGAAAAGGAAGTAAATACAAAGATATAAACATAATGAAGATCAAACTTTAAAAAAAAAAAGCACAAGGACACAAAGAAAGAAGAGAACAAACTGTAGGAGGAAATGGACAGTTTGTAAGAGTGAAAAGTGATTAAGATAAATCAAAGGTAACACATGCTATGAACAAGAAATGGTGTGACATTTCAGACTGGATGACTAACAATAACTCAGACTGAGATAAATCCTAAATGAATGAGCAAAACGAGGAAAGACTCACGTGATGTCAGCATTTGGATGTAGACCAAAACATTCTGGTGAGTCTACCAAAGGAAGAGATTCAATGTATGATCTGTACTCTTCCAAGGTTTTGCACTTTGGAATTTTGTAACCTGGAAATATTAAATATTAAACACTACACAGAAATGCATCATTTCTAATTTCTTCAGCACATTCAACAATGCATCCATTTCTACAGCACACTTAAATATGCATCCATTTTATAACCACATGCACATACTCACACTCATACATGCACACACACACATACATATATATATACTTGTGCATTTATGTGCTAAGGCATTTTTTGTGGATCAAATCAGAACTGATTCAGAAATTGTGTTCATAGGTCGATTTGTTTGTGACTAGTGGTGTAACTAAAGGTGTTTGTAACTAAAGGTGTAGGTGACCTGAGGTCCCACTGTACAGTAGAACCTCGCTTAACAAGCACCTCTCATAACGAGTAATTCGCATAACGAGCAAAAACAAATTGTAAAAGAATGACTTGCTTAACGAGTGACGTTTCGCATAACGAGTGGCGAGGAGAGGAGAAGTCCCGGATTATGTGCATGCTGCATCAGTCTGTGTTTAGCACTCGTTCTAGTAGCATCGCTTGTGATCACATATTTTCTCCAAAATGTGTTATATTGTGATATATATCCTCCAGGCCTACAAGATGACCTCCCTGAAGAATTTAAGTTCATCAAGATCCAGTTGTTTTCTTTAGTCTTCTTTAGTCTTTGATTATAGGGTTAGATGAATGAAGAATGTAAAACAAATAATATGATAATCAACACTGAAAAGACAGAAGTAATGTCAATAGGAAAAAAGAAGACAGATCTAAACATAGCTATAGAATACAAAGGCATTAAACAGGCATCTGAGTTTAAATATCTGGGAACTACATTTACCGAAGATGGGAAATTGGATAAAGAAATTGACATTAGATGCAGTAAAACAAACCAAGTATTGGGACAGCTAGCCTCCCTCTTACAGCATATGACAATCCCAATCAGCACAAAGAGACATCTTATTCAAAGCATATTTATTCCAACTCTGTGCTACCAGTATCAGACATGGTCAATCACAACAAACCATAAAAGAAAATTAGTAACCACGGAAATGAGATGTCTGAGAAGGGCTGTAGGAGTGACCATAAGAGATAAGATCAGGAATGAGATCATAAGAGAACAAGTCGGCACAGAACCAATTCTGGATTACATACAAAGACAGCAAGTGAAATGGTTTGCCCACTTAGAGAGAATGCCTTGTGACACCATACCATACAAAGCATACATGGAAAGAGAAGAAGGACGTAGAGCATAGGGTAGACCAAGAACAAGATGGAAGGATAACATCAGAGAAACTCTACAACAGCACAATGTGCCTATGGTCAAGGCAGCCAGAAGAGCTAGAAACAGAACCTTATATCTTCCTCGACACCCACAGCGGTAAAAGAGGAAGTGAAGAAGAAGAGGAAGAAGATCCAGTTTCTGCCTCCCTACACCATTCCGTTACTCCAGCCCATGGATCAGCAAGTTATTTCTAACTTTAAGAAGCTCTACAGTAAAGCATTATTCGAGCATTTTCAGGTGACTGAAGGGACCAACCTCACTCTCAAAGAATTTTGGAAAAATCACTTCCACATTGTTGCCTGCCTCAAGATGATCGACAAGGCGGGGGGAGGGGTTACCAAGAGAACCCTAACTTCTGCTTGAAAAAGCTTTGGCAGGAGAGCGTTGTCTAATGTGACTTTGAAGGGTTCGAGACAGTACATGTGGAACCTGTGGTCAACGAGATTGTGTCTTTGGCCACTATCATGGGATTGGAGGTGAATAACAGTGATATCAAAGAGCTTGAGGATGAGCACGGCCAAGAGCTGACCACTGAAGAGCTTATAGAGTTGCATTGTGTTTCACAGCAAGAAGTTTTGGAGGGAAGTTTGTCAGAAGAGGAGGAGGAGGTAACAGAAAAACAACAATTTTCTGGGGAAATAAGAGAAATGCTGAAAGCATGGGAAACTTGCCTCTTACATTGAGAAGCGTCACCCTAATAAGGAAGTGGCTATGCATTCTGCAAATTTATTTAATGATAATGCTGTGTCGCATTTTTGCCAAATTTTCAAGCGTCGGCAAAAACAAATGTCTCTGGACATCTTTCTAGTAAAAAAAATAATTAGCTTTGTATCATAATTATTTCAATTTTTTTTCTTCTGCATTCCAGGTGGGTTGTCCGCGTTTGAAGAAAAGAGGAAGATGATTCACTCTCCTTAACAATATGTTTTTCAATTTTCTTTGAATAAACGTTAGACATAGCATTTTGTGAGTATTTGTTTCGACTTGGAACACCTTATCGTATTTTACATTAATTTATATGAGAAAAATTGTTTCCCATAACGAGTTTTTCGCTTTACAAGGTTCCACTGTATATATAATATCCATTGAGTGCTATTGGATTTTAAACGGTTTAACTAACAACATTTATTAAACATGTTTTAAAGGATGAAAATAGGTTTTTATACTTGTATTATTATCTGTCACACTAATACAACACAGTGGACCCACAATGAACAAACCTGTGTAGAACTGGAAGCTGTCAGAGAACATATTCTCACTGAACCATACCCGGGTGTAGGTGTTCAGCAAACGTTTGTCATAATCATCTGTGACCCGCCCTCCATACTGGACCTCACCAATCATGTAGCGAACTGTCACCCAGTTGACACCCTGGATACATGTTCAGTAACCATTACAAAACTGTTGTCATACCTCATTTAACATCGTTGTCTACATCATAAAAGAAAAAAATCTGTCATACATTCTTCTAGCATCTGCATTCACTTAATTCCAACAAATTCATAAAGATGTTCTTTAACTCTTTCACATCCAGGTTAATGCTAGTTTAGCTCATTACGCCCTAAAAAACTATGACTCCAACACATGTCTGGGTCTCAGGTAGTTAACACAATATTACTGTGAGAGATACATTTAACCCTTCTGCACTGCAAATGCTAACAAATTGGTCATGAACCCATGGTAATTACTGGAAACAAATCTTTAAATAAAATATAAAAAATAAAAAGAGGTATTGTGGGTATAGGAAGGTGGGGGGTGGGGGGAGGGAGGAGATATATCAAGATGTAATAAAAGGTTAATCAGTAAACATGAGCAGAGTGAAGCTTTAAATGGAATAAATTCCCTAGGCCTTAAAAATACAATAATATTGGGTGACTCATGACACCCTGACTATCACTGAAGCTTACGAGGAGATCTGGCATCAACTTGGCTTTTAAAAAGCCAAGGTCATAAGGAAACCTTTTTAAATGCTAATTTTAGTTACTATGTTCATATCGTGGACTTTTAGACAATGCACAAATGCCCACAGAACCCATGGAATTTAACTACACTTTTTAAAAAAAACTGGTCACTGCAGAGAGGCCAATATTTCAGTATTTACAGGACTGACACATCCAGAAGGACTAGCTGTAGTCTTCTTTAGTCTTTGATTATAGGGTTAGAGGAATTTCAGACAGGGTAAATTAGGTCAACAAAGTGAAAAAGGGGATAAGTGTTTAGAACAGTGTATGATGTAAGTAACCCAAGAAATGTACGTTTGTGTGCTGCTGGGTGAGTTAATATATTTAACAGATGACAACTTTTGGTTTCTAGTAATGTTCATGGTGGTGGTAAAGTGAGTAGTCATGCAAACATTCATGTGCATTTTAGTGGGCTGTGACTAAACAACTGTACAGAATGTACCTCTGTAGATGATATTGAAACACTTTAAACATTGCTTGGTACATTCTTCCATTTCTAAGAAAGCAGGCAAAGGTTTAATAATGCTTATCCTTAATGGTGGTCACATTGCTAGTTAATGATGCTTGAAACTGACTAACTTAAAGAAGCTAAACCTTATCCCCCCCCCCCCCCCCCCCCCCCCCAACTCCACCACCCAAAAAAATGTCTATGCTCTTGTCCTAATTTATAAACACCTCCAACCAGATTTCCACATAAGAAAAATATGTTTCTTTCCTACCCTCTTCAGATCCAAATCATCCAAATGGTTCTGAATAAACTGAATTGTTGCATTTAGGTCTCCCTGGTTGAACTCGTAAGGAATATTCCAACCAATGGGTCCGAACTTGCGCCTCTCCTGAACTGTAGTGTGGAGGAAAGCTACCCCATACAACATTGGCTTCCACATAGGCATGTTGCTGTAGTCTAACTGTTCCTGCAGGAAAGTGATCAGATACAAAACGTTAATTTTAACTTACTCCCAAGTTACGTGTACAGTGATATACAGTCTTAGGCAATTCTTTTAACTGTATATAGTAGACCAAGAAAACTACAGTACATATTTCCCTGTAGTAGACTAACTGTTAGTCACTGAATTAGAATTATGGTGGAGTGGCATCTTCTGAAAATGGTATACTGGTATGTATACTGAATGATCCAACCTAACATATCTATTTACATGTGCACAGGTATAAAAACAACAGCAATTCTATGGCAAAGTCCTCAAATTTCATATACACTAGATCATTTATTTGTCAAGTAAGGTTACAAGCTGACTGTCCAACCTCCTTCCTTTCTATTTAACAAATTTTTTTTAAAATCCACAGATTTGGTAATTATGTGTACCACTACTGGGTCCATACTTCTGTGTTGGCAAACCATTAAAAACAATGCCATAACGCTGGATAGTTTCTGTAAGTTCTCTTCTGCTATCTCATGAGCCTACCTGGTGATCTTCGGAATGTTACAGTATATACACTCATTGTTTTCAGTGTTCAATAATGCATGCAAGTATGGCAATGATCTACAGTAGTTGTTATCAGTCCAAAATTTCTTTTGCCTGTCTCTTCATGCTTGTCTTCATCAGTTTCTGGAAAGTAGTTTTTGGCAAAATCATGGCTATTTACATGGAATATATTCTTCTTCATATTCACTGGCTGTAAACTCTGGTGAAAAGTTATGGTTGCTCTTCCACTTCTGGACTTTAATCTTGTTCCAGAATGTGACTGTTGTGTACACATCGATTTTACAGATCCTGCTTATTATTCCTTATCTTAGAAAGAGAAAATGCAACCTGAAAACTTTATGTTATGGCAGGGCAAACCAGGCCTTAGCTGGCAGCTGGTCTAGGAGGGAAGCTCCAACAGGCGGACAGATAGAGCACTGCACATCTGATCTGGCATGCTGATAACAGCGGTTCTGAAATCCCATGCTGTAATTGTGAAAGACTTTTTATAACATGGCAGTCTTGCTAGTCACACTCAACCATCACCATGGGCTGTCAGCCTCATGCCTCCTCATAGCACAATATAACACTATCGTCTGGAAAGACGTAAAGGTGCCAATCACTTATTAGTATGCAGACTGTTGTTTCCTTGCCTCTCCTGAAGATGCCCTCTGACTTTGAAGGAGGCCACCAGTCAGTCAACTCCTACGACATGCTTATTGGGGAGGCAGTGAGTCTATTCTTGTTGTCACCAAAATAGGGCCCTGGAACCCCCATGGGAAGAATATAGTAAATAGCAGGAATACATGAAACATGCATGTTGCTTGTTAAAGATTCAACAACTAAATAATATTGCACTAGGCAGGGGGAAAACACCAAAACTAGCCAAAACAAAGAAGATGCACATACACACACACAAAAAACTGCTACTGAATGCCGCAGCAGCATCTGATGGAGCATAGAGGTATTCACTAAGACTACAAGATAATGTTACCTGAGTGATGCCAGCATAAGTTCGCTTTAAGCCAGCTTTGACTCCCATAGGAGGTTCATTCGTGAACTTGATGGAGCTCTGCAGCATGTTGATGGGGAACTTGGCATGTTCTTCTGTTGTCAGCCACAGTCGGAAATGCTCATTAACACTGTCTGTCGTGAGCACCTGGTGGTTTAAACAAACATTTATCAATCAGCTGCCATCTTCACAGTGAATGTTGGCTACAAGGAATTTAGAACATGCTCTGCCTCTTACTCTGGTTGTACACCTTCAGACTACCATACATTTCATCTGTATCCTGATGCTAACATCCCACATGTATCAGCGTGTACCTCTTACTTGCTGACTTCAACGCTTCTCTCAAGCTAAGTTTGTATAAGAGTGTTATGCCCTTTAACTGTTCTAAGCAATGCATAAGTTATTGGCACCACATTTAAATCCTCAACATTGCATAATATACTTTATTTTTTATAATTTGTTTTAGTCGGCTACAGACTAAAATAGTCTGGCTTCTGGCAAAGGCCATTTTAAATGGATATTTATTGAATGTCAAATTTAACTGTGCTTTATTTTTTTTTTTAAAGCTGTTATTTCCCACTTTGATTACAGTTATAAAACTACTGGGATTGAAACAGTTAGTGTGACTGAAATATTTCCTGCGACAGTAATTTGTGTCCTCTCACCCCTTTCTTTAAAGCTTTGTTAGCTCTTTATTTGACTGGTTTTGATTCCCATAAAATGCAATGTATTCTTGTGTACAACTTATCCATTGCTTCTTGTACACTGTCCAAACTTCAACCCATACAGCAATGTTTAATATACATCTGACAATTCTCATTTCTATGCCTCCAAATGTCAGTATTTTTCTTATAATGCTGAAGTTGATATTAACCATTGCTATTTCCATTTTGATTTAACTTTCAGTTTTGCCATCATCTATCATTACAAGACATTTAAACAACAAAGCTGTTGCTGAATATGATTTTTTATATGTATACTACTTTTGATTCTAACATTAAAAATCCATGGTTAGGCACTAGCAAGGACATTACAGTTTAAATGTTGAGAACATGCACCTCCTCTGTAGCAGTATATGAGTGTGGACTATCACACAGTCCTAAAGACAGAAAATAGGGGATTTTGAGCTGAAATAGAATATAAAGGTTCTCTGAGTATCACAGACCAAAAAGACATGACATAAAAAAGCATCAGGGCAGATTTAACCCTTTCGCTGCTATGGACGAGCTAACTCGTCTGCCCGGCAGACTGCTAAAGACGAGATAACTCGGCTGCCATTTTCTGTGCCCTCACTGCTAAGGACGAGATAACTCGTTCTCAACATTTTTTTTACAGATTGCTAAGAACAGTAATTCTTAGGGGTGAAATAGCAATACACATTACCTTAAACTGATCAAACTGACCCGTTTACAAACAATTAAAACCCTTATCACATGAGTTTAGGCGTATTTAGATGCATTTCACGTTATCCTGTTGCTTTGTTACCATAGAAGCATTGTCGGTGAATGGTAATTTTTTTTCCCTGAAATATTTCTGGTTTGCGTTAGTCTAAATTTTTTTTTTAAATTCAAAATAACAAGAACATTTGTTTAAATAAAGAAGAATTAATGGAGTTTCTTTCAAGGAGTAGTAGTAAGGATCACTTTGAAATGTGTGAGTTATATGAGCTGGGTTATCTTCACGGTACGCCGGCGGACACGTGTACTTCTCGCCGTGGGAAAGACTGACCAGTGACCAAATGACCAAGCTATCTACATCCACTGGATTTGAAACGGATCCAAAATAATCAAAATAAAGATATGGTCACGTACTGACATGATGATTAATATTAATGTTAATAATATACTATACAACTGACATAAATGTGTTTGTTTATTAAAGTGTACAATACTGGTCTTTTTTTCAGGTCATAGTTTCATGTGAATTTCTAGTGTAGTTGGTATCACGTCTGCCTTACAATCGAAAGGTTCAGCGTTTAACCCCTACGTGCCATTTTTTGTTTTTAAATTATTTATTTTCAATGCACATTTTAAATTTAAGCTCTTAGCATTTTCGGCAACAGATCACCGAAGTAATAATTAATTAAACATCCTATCACGTGCGTTCAGGTGGATTTAGATGCTTTACACGTTATCCTGTTCCTTTGTGAAGCGTGGTTGGTGTACTGTGCACATTCATTATATAAAGTTGTTGTGAGGAAAAACACACCTGTTCCTGAATTTCACTTAATGTTAGTAAGAGAAATTCTACAGAAATATTGCAAGGAAAAGAGAAAAAGTGTAGGAGGACAAAAAAGTGAAGATCTGCCACTTCGTTTAGTACAAAGGCATTTCCCTTAAATAATAGAGTCCGTAACATCGCAGAAAAAATTCCCAACAAGAAAGTGTGTGTTATGCGCAAAAAGCAAAAAACGACGGGAAACCAGATACATGTGCAAGGAATGTGATTTGGCATTGTGTGTCGCACCTTGTTTTGAAATAAATCACACAAAAAGATATTATTAATAATAATAAAAACCATGTATTTGCTTACTAAAGTGTTTTGTGTTTGCTTTGTAAGTTTGTAGTGTTTTCTGTTTGGTAATGAGTTTTCATGGCGTAGTAATAGCGCCTCTGACTTGTCAGCGCAAAGTTCAACCACACACCTTCAACGATTTTTTATTTTAGGTGTACAATTTTTACCCCGTGCCGCAAGCGAGTCTTCTGCTTTTGAAGGAAAAAACGGTATTCAGCACAGGGGGAAAGATTAGCTCTCGCCTGGCTTAGCACAGTGGTTACGTTGGCTGGCGGAGGGCGTAGCAGCGAAAGGGTTAAAAGAATAATAACATAAAGCATGGCTCCAGGAAAGGGGGACGGGACCAACCAGTACAAAGATGGGCACATGATACAAGTGACACCTTGGGCAGAAAAGTGCATGAGGCAGGAGAGGTGGTGAAAAACTGAGTTACTTTCAGGCAGACCAAGATGAGAGCGATGGGACCTGCTACTTGATGGCTACTTGGCAACTTGCCTCTGGAACTCACTAATCTAAAAAGTAAAGGATCCTTTTCCACGCCTCTAGGCGTATAGGGCATATAGAGCTAGTCCTATATTTTTATAGACCAATCGGCACAAGATGGATGATGTGGTCAGCATCCCGCCGGCCGCCTTTACTTCCCAGGACTGCACCCGGTACCAATTCAAGGCTGGGTCGACCTGGGAGCCAAGGTCATTTGTGAAAATAGTCCGGCTCCACCAGGGAGCGAACCCACGACCTTCCGATCCGTGGCGAGCGTCTAGCCGCTCGGCCACAGCGACTCCCTTCCATGCAAGTACATGCCAATTTATTTCACACTAGTTATAGGACAAGCTGACCTGCTCCACTACAGACAGTTGTTTGAATTGCCTTTTAACAATCAGAGTTTGTAGTGCACCTTAAAATAAACACAAGCTGCTCTCATCCCAAACAGAAGCTGCTCTCATCACAGGCACGAGCTGCTCTCATCCCAAACAGAAGCTGCTCTCATCACAGACACAAGCTGCTCTCATCCCAAACAGAAGCTGCTCTCATCACAGACACAAGCTGCTCTCATCCTAAACAGAAGCTGCTCTCATCACAGACACAAGCTGCTCTCATCCCAAACAGAAGCTGCTCTCATCACAGACACAAGCTGCTCTCATCCTAAACAGAAGCTGCTCTCATCACAGACACAAGCTGCTCTCATCCCAAACAGAAGCTGCTCTCATCACAGACACAAGCTGCTCTCATCACAGACACAAGCTGCTCTCATCCCAAACAGAAGCTGCTCTCATCACAGACACAAGCTGCTCTCATCCCAAACAGAAGCTGCTCTCATTACAGACACAAGCTGCTCTCATCCTTAACAGAAGCTGCTCTCATCCCTAACACAAGTTGCTCTCATCCCTAACACAAGCTGCTCTCATCCCTAACACAAGTTGCTCTCATCCCTAACACAAGCTGCTCTCATCCCTAACACAAGTTGCTCTCATCCTAAACAGAAGCTGCTCTCATCACAGACACAAGCTGCTCTCATACCAAACACAAGCTGCGCTCATCCCAAACAGAAGCTGCTATCATCCCTAACACAAGTTGCTCTCATCCCTAACACAAGCTGCTCTCATCCCTAATGCAAGTTGCTCTCATCCCTAACACAAGTTGCTCCCATCCCAAACAGAAGCTGCTCTCATCACAGACACAGACTACTCTCATCCCTAACACAAGTTGCTCTCATCACAGACACAAGCTACTCTCATCCCTAACACAAGTTGCTCTAATCACAGACACAAGCTGCTCTCATCACAGACACAAGTTGCTCTCATCCCAAACACAAGTTGCTCTCATCACAGACACAAGCTGCTCTCATCACAGACACAAGTTGCTCTCATCTCTGACAAATATTTATTTCTTATTCCAGAAATATGATGCGGTTATCACTCACAGTGTCCAAAAGTTCATCCATGAACTCCAGACCCAGGTGGCAATTCTGCAGCAAAACCCAACGTCCCTCAGCCATGGACAGTTGTAGCAGACGTCTAGCGTGGACATCTTGACCTTGACCCATAGAGATGGCCCCACATTCTACAATAAATGGCAAGGATATGCTGTTATTTATTAGTTTACATAATCGATTTTACCAAATAATTACAAAAAAGAAAGCAGTAATTTTTTTTTGTTTCACAGAGTTATTTTGTGGGCAATGAATGAGGAAAATTGAGCATGAACACTTAATGACAACTGGCAAACTTGATAGGAAAAGAGAAAGGGGAAGATAAAGAAATAACTCTCTGGGTGGCTTAATCTCATGAAATTAGCAGGGAATCAAACTGACATGAACCGAGAATATCATGATTATGTGAGAAAACAAATATAATTACCTCAGCTTCTAAGCATGGCACATAATTATGATAGTGATTCCCTAAGCTGCAGAACTTCTGTGACTGAAAGTGTTAAGTAATATACATGTACTGTATTATTTGACTACATGACAAATATTCTGTTGTATAGCCCCACACTATCCAGCACATATATATGTTAGCACCAGAAGTAACAAATATTGACTCCATACAGTTGAAATCATTACTTACTGAAGCCTTTCTGCTTGGCCAGCCTCTCAATATTTTCCGTTGGATCTGACCCCATGGAGAGGAAACAGATCAGAGGTGAGCGGCAGGTAGATTCCTCCCACATGGCCTCCAGGTTGAGGATGACACCCTCGGCAAACTGCCACAGAGACAACAAGGTAAGTTCATTCAGTATCACACACTACTGTTGAGACAGCTGATTAATGCATATAACATGGGTAATTGTGGTTCAACAGAATGCTTGGTCTAAAACTGGTGAACAGATAAGCTATCATTACTGAGCAAACACAGCAAAGGAATTAACTCAGCAAACACAGCAAAATGATATGAATTAACAGACCATTAAAGATATATGTCTTTAAATTACCTATGCTTGTTCTATACTGCATTCATTACCACATTCTTCTAGACTAGACACACTGACTTCTAGACCAGACTCACTGACTTCTAGACCAGACTCACTGACTTCTAGACCAGACACATTGACTTCTAGACTAGACACATTGACTTCTAGACCAGACTCACTGACTTCTAGACCAGACTCACTGACTTCTAGACCAGACTCACTGACTTCTAGACCAGACTCACTGACTTCTAGACTAGACACATTGACTTCTAGACTAGACACATTGACTTCTAGACCAGACTCACTGACTTCTAGACCAGACTCACTGACTTCTAGACCAGACTCACTGACTTCTAGACTAGACACATTGACTTCTAGACTAGACACATTGACTTCTAGACCAGACTCACTGACTTCTAGACCAGACTCACTGACTTCTAGACCAGACTCACTGACTTCTAGACCAGACTCACTGACTTCTAGACCAGACTCACTGACTTCTAGACCAGACTCACTGACTTCTAGACTAGACACATTGACTTCTAGACTAGACACATTGACTTCTAGACCAGACACACTGACTTCTAGACCAGACTCACTGACTTCTAGACCAGACTCACTGACTTCTAGACCACACTCACTGACTTCTAGACCAGACTCACTGACTTCTAGACCAGACTCACTGACTTCTAGACCAGGCTCACTGACTTCTAGACCAGACTCACTGACTTCTAGACCAGACTCACTGACTTCTAGACCAGACTCACTGACTTCTAGACCAGACTCACTGACTTCTAGACCAGACTCACTGACTTCTAGACTAGACACATTGACTTCTAGACCACACTCACTGACTTCTAGACCAGACTCACTGACTTCTAGACTAGACACATTGACTTCTAGACTAGACACATTGACTTCTAGACTAGACACATTGACTTCTAGACTAGACACATTGACTTCTAGACACATTGACTTCTAGACCAGACTCACTGACTTCTAGACAAGACTCACTGACTTCTAGACTAGACACATTGACTTCTAGACTAGACACATTGACTTCTAGACCAGACTCACTGACTTCTAGACTAGACACATTGACTTCTAGACCAGACTCACTGACTTCTAGACTAGGCTGAGCTCTCCTTTGACCAGGCTTCTTCTAAACAACGGTCACATATCAAACACTAGTGTTCCCTGTCTGTAGCTTCGGCAGATCAATTCATAGATTATTCTGACTTATCTATAGGTTAAGATAACATTAATATGCCCTTATATTAGGTTGACCTGGTCTCACACTACTTTGTTATATGCCACTATAATACACTGCCAGTACTTAAAAAAAAGCCAAACCTGTCCATAGACTAACTAAGTTTTCACCCTGACTAATTCATCTGCTACTTGACTCACCTCCTGTCCTAGTGCATGGGCAACATACATCCTTGCCATGGGAACTGTGCGGTCTGGACACCAGGATCTTATCAGAAGAAGCTTGCGGAAGAGGTCAAGGTTGTTGCTGTAACCATCAGGAATTAGAGCTTCCTCAGGAGCATCTTCATCAAACCAAGTCTTCCAGGCCTATAGAAAAGAGATGTTAGTCACCTAACATTCTACCTGTGTTGTAAGCAGGTCATAAACCTGTGTAATAATCACATGCTAATAAGGACCAATGTTTCAATAAGTATTTGATTCCTTTAATGAGAATGCAGGTGAAACACAATAAGTAAAGATGCTGGTGAAACAATGTAAGTATACAGAGGAAGCAAAATAAGAAAAATACAGATGTTAAGGTGAGAAGACAGTTAAGAGAAGATCTGAATACAGGTAAATCAAGGCATGAATCAAGTGCAACATAGCACAATGCTGCTGATAGAACAGTCTGAAAAGCTCTCTGTGGGATTCAAATATCAGACTGTTCAAGATGGCTAACATAGAAAAGATGATCAGCTAAGTGATAGTGGGATATTGTCTACTTAGTGTGCTGAGTGGTTGCTAAGAGTTTTTCATATGTAAGACATAGATGACACTCTGAATGCACACAGTTGGTAATGAGTAGACGATGACCAATTATATTCTTTATTACACTTTCACAGGTAATTTGGCCCAGTCAATGTCTACTATTAACTAGCAGGTCCAGCAAGCTATGATGACATTTATCAAGTACATAATTGATGTCTACTCCCTTCCACACTTGTTACCCTTCAGTCCTGTTTCCTTACACAGGCAATACCCACAATGGTTGATCCAGCAGCTCTGATCATGGCGGTTAGACTTCTTGGCTGGTTGCAACTCTTTGGCTATCATTTCTGATTAGGCTGTCATCAGGTTGTCGTCTGGCTGTCTTCTCATGGAATAGAATCTCCTTTATATTTTTAATTATACAGTGTCACATTCATTCGTCTATCAGATACAACCTTTCACGCCAGCTGCCAAACACATACTAACTGATTAGACCTTTGTCTAATCTTTTAACTCTCGTTCTGGGTTTCACGTGCTGGTCTGAGCCCTGTTTGTATATTTCGTGCTTCTACAAGTATTCACATTCTCATGTATTTCTCTCTTATCTCATGTTTACTTCTATATTATTGTTTAGAGAATTCCTGTGGGAAAATACCAACATTACAGATAGCTATCACCTGCCTTAACTATAACTTATCTGCATCTATACTTCTTCTGCCTGATACCCCTACTGGAGCAGAGACTCTCAGTCAACTCACATAAAGATGTCATATCTTTCATCACATCATGCAACTATCTCACTGATTGTTAATTCCTGCCTTTAATTCTCTTTCCCACAGGTTTTAGGTCTTCCTCTAAAAACTGTACTCACCTTGTCATTTTTGGTGACCTGAGAGAGGATCTGACTAAATGCAGACAGTTTGCTGAGCTCCACTAAGTTCAACCAGGTCATGTCCATGATCCACTTCTTGGGTTTAGGCTCAACAGCATTCAGATCTAATGCTGCACCACCTGGAGGTAACAGTCAACACAAGTGAGCTTATTTCAAGGCCCACACAAAGAGAACTGACAAAACCATTTCTGATTAGATTTCAAATGGCTTATTGAAGTAAACTAGTGGATATTAAAGAAATCTGAGCAAGAAATTATACAAAAAAAAGCAAAGGTACTGGCAATTAATCAAGAGTTTTTAAAGCCTAAAGGGATGAAAGAGACATTCTGCAAAGTATATTCTACATAACCATGACCATAAGTGGTATTTAATTAGAACCAAAAAATGACAAACATTATTTAGATTTAAATTAATTGGTGAAGAAGAAAAACCACTGACAGAGACCAATAGTATAGAATTAACTGATGAACTGAGTACATGAGATATCCAGTGACCTTACCCTTGATATTTGTAAAATTTACTGTATTAGAGAGGGTTCTCAGAAGGCTGATGATTTAGATCAGTAAACAAATATAGGATAATATAATGGATAAGAAAGGTTCTACAAGGTCAGAATAATGAAGAAACATAGCTCATTATCAGGATCATATGTTGGAAACTGGAAAACCAGTCATATTAAACACTGCAGTGGTTTATGTACAATGGACACAGAAAACCAAGGACATACTGGGCTTGAAAGTTAATGAGGCAGTAAAGGTGGCCCGACTTTCTGGCAGCCATGATGAGAATGACATCTGGATTAAGATGCAGGGATCAAACATCATGAAGTGGGTATCAGATAATGAGACACCTTGGACTTGAAAGTAAATGGGCTATCAGAATTGACAAAGAACAAAGAAGCTTTTTAGAGAACACACAAACTACGATGTGAGCAAAATTCTACATGTGATGTGTGCAGGATGATGATTATATAGAAACCTTTGATGAAAACATTGAACTCTTCCCCTTTGACCCTGCCTGCTGCCATCTCAATCTTGAGGGTCAGGAGGATGGTGAACAAGAACTTGTCAGCTTCGTAGAGGCCCCGGCAGGTGTATTTGAAGACAGAGAGGGTCAGGTAGTTGATGATGTTGATGATTCTTTTGCTGTTGATGGGAGACTTCTGGGATCGGGCCATGGACTGGTCAAAGATCTCCAAGAACTGCTTCAGTGAGGTCTGGTACATCACATTCACCAAGCTCATCTCTACAATCACAAAGTAAATGATGCTACCTCGGCTTGGCCACTGAAACAAACCACAAGAATACATAATTTAATTTTATAAACATGACTTGACTCACATGTTATGTTTTACAGAAAATATATCACTAGACTGAGTGTGATCCCACAAATGCTTATTTGTTTTATGTTTATAGTAACTGTCCACCATACACTGTTTGTGTGTGTGTCAGTTGTTGACATCTTTCTATCTTTTCAGATGATAGTGTTACACAGTGCTACAGGAAGGCATGATGGTGGTGAGCGTGATCAGCAAGACCCTCTTTCTTCAAGACATTTCCACAGTTCCTGCATGGGATTTCAGGACCATATGTCAGTATTTCACCCTGATACACCGATGCTAATCATGACTTTATCAATTTCTCTAGTCCTGTTGTTTCATCAGTCATAATGTTCATATCCTGGTGTTCTATTGATAAAATTTTTCTTGTAACTGTTGTCAGCACTTGTGAAGTTGCCCATGACAAATACTCTCAAAGTCAGTATGTCAGGTCTTTCACACAGCCTGGAACTCATAAAGAATATCAGTGATCACATCAGTCTCTTGAACATGTTTCAGAAAGTTGCAACAGGCAGCCTGCACTCTGAATAAGTAGGCAGCTTTATGAAGTCACACTTGACCTCACTCACCTGGATCTACACATCTGAGCATGTTGGAGTAAAAGGTCATGAATGAAAAGACCAACTGGCATGTATAGCACCACTGCAAGTGGGAACATGCATGGACAGAGCAGACATCATTAACACTCTACGGACTAGACTGGCAGATTGCAGTGAATCTCCAATGTTAACATGACTGCATGAACTTGGAGTGAAGTCTGGTGAAGCACCATGTTTATTCTTGGGCACAGAGGAAATACCCTGAGGTCTTTTATGTGTGGTAAATATATACGACCATGCCCAAATCAACAGATGTCTTACTTAGGAAATCAAACACCAGACATCCATTACAAGTGCAAGCGTGACTGCCATTTTACTGGACCTGTGAATGAAAAACCTCTCCATGTGGACAGTTACTATCTATCCACAAACAGTCATATACATACACGGGTAACTAACTACAGTAGTGTGGTGGATAGAACACTTGCCTGTCATTCTGGTGGTTATGTATTCAGATCTCCTTGAAGATGTTGTTTTAAAACATGGGCCAGGCCTGCTAGGTTTACCAGAACAAACACTGGGAGCATAACATTTTCTGGGAAGTAAAGATGGCTTCTATGATACTGATCAAACCACCTAGTGAATGTCAGCTCATCAATAACAAATGTAACTTCTGACAAACACACACAATTTTCCTCAAGATGTGGAAAAAGGATTTTTACATTTTGTACTTCTGTAGTGTATTGTCTTCTGAAGGTTAACTGCACTCTGAAACTGGTAGTAAGATTTCTAATGTCTAGTGCTAGCTTTATGGCCACCAAACTTCTGGAGAATCTGCAGCAGTCAGAGATCTTGGTACCCAATCAATACATGCTTTATCTCTTTCTTGGAGGCCTCATCATTGTCACCATCTACCCAGTATGCTTCCATACATGGTAGTCATGTTTACCCACCATTAGGTTTGTACACTTCAAGGAATGACTGACTGCCTCTCCCCTCCCGGTTGCTATATTTGTGACCCAAACAGTTCCATACTTGTTGTCATGGTAACAGAATAATTCCAGATACCCTGTAGAATATCCAGTAATCTTAATTGGGTAGACGAGTGGTCATTGGCATGGCAAAGGCTTGTTTAGTGCACTTTCATGAGGGTTCTAGGTTCACATCAGGGTACAAGGTCCACATCAGAGTATTAGATCTACATCAGTGTACAAGGTCCACATCAGGGTATAGGGTCATCAGAGTAGTAGATCCACATTAAGGTACTAGGTCCATATCAGGGTAGTAGGTTCACATCAGGATAGTCTGTCCACATTACAACTAACAAGTTACAAAACACAACATTTATATTATTTATTCAAACACAGTCAAATATGTCTGTTACCTGGTCTGAACTCCTCCCTGGCTGCATTGATCTTAACTTCCGTCTCTGCAGCAACAGACAACTTCTCACTGACCTCCTCAGCTGTGCTCTTTGTGATTCTCAGTACTTCAATCAGTGACTCATCCTCTACAAGGGAACCCTGAAACCATTTTTAAAATATATTCTTCATATTTGTAGAGATCCTCTTTCCCCAAACACTGCTTATTGAGTTATGGTCTTCCCTTTTATTTGTCAAGTCAATGGTTGTCTTTCTTGCATTATTACCTGGGTCGTATACAGACACAGTACACACGCATGCATGTGTGTGCACTCACATATACATGCACATACATGTTTACACTAAGCAAACTAAAAACCTGTAATACAACATTTATAAAGACATCAGAGGATGAATATAAGTTACCACTGACTTCTAAATCAAACAAGGTGTTTAAAGTGGTTACTGTTAGTGTCCTAACACTTAATATTATTACATTAAACTATTGGACCTCACTGGCCAACAATCCGCTGGATATCCTGACTAATGTTGCTCAAGAAGTAGTTTCCCAAAATGTCAATCAGCTGGATACTAAAAGTTAACTACCCTGAGCTCCTCAATTACATCATAGATTTTATTTAATCTTTTGAACAATTACATTCATTTGTGTATTTCACAATGCCAAATTGTTAAATATGTTATAATGCAGATGTGTTTTAACAGTTGTTAAACTATTATATAGAGCAATAGTTAGATATTTGTTGTCAGATCATTCTCATTGCATATTGAACTAATCAGTTCATGTGTTCTTGAATCCTCTTCTCTTGTTCACTTACACATGCATGCCTTATCACAAAGTTCCATTTCAGACAATAACTGTGTTCTATTTATTCAACATACTGTCACTGTTTTCTGAGCAAACAGAATGATGATGCTGATGAAGGTAATGTTATTGCTGGCAGTGACAGATATCAACAGCAATGATCTTATTGATGCTGACAGATTAGGTTTTCACCTGGGTAGATGTTAATCTGTAGAGCAAGCTGTCCTCAAGATCCTTCATCTTCCTCTTGTTGGTGGTCACCTCTTCCAGCAGGCTTGTCCTTTCTGCCTCTAGCTCCTAGAAGTACAGAGAACAGAATACAGAAAAAGGTTTATTTCATGTTAGCAAGTTGCATATGTTAGCAAATGCCAGTTAGGATTTCTTTTAATTCAAGTAGCTTGACAACTGGCACTTCACTTTAATGAGGCCACACACTTTGATAACCATACACCACATTGCTCACTCACTCTCTCTCTCTCTCTCTCTCTCTCTCTCTCTCTCTCTCTCTCGCTCTCTTTATCTCACAGATACAACACTTTCATCCATTGATAAAATATCCCACATACACACACACATAATCTCAACAAACTGACTCTCATAGACATGCTTCCATTGGCTGTGTAGACTTTTACAAACAAGAAATGCATGATACACTTTCTCCTGATCCTGGCAAAGTGGACTGGACATCTAGTCTTTTCAGACAAGAAGAACAAAAAATACACCAAAACATAAATCAGCACACTCGCCATTGCCATGGGCTGTGAGTCTCATACCTCCTTATAGCGCAATATAATACTATCATCTGGAAAGACGGTAAGGTGACAATGATGACACAGCATAATGGTGCAGTCATTTAATTAGAAATCATTACAATATGAGGTTGTGGGATCAAATCTGCAAGCAGCCAGATTTTTTCATACATGACCCTGGCTGCCAGGTCGACCCAGCCTTAAATGGGTGCCAGGTAAAGTCCTGGAAAATAAAGGCAGCCGACGTGATGTTGACCAACCGCATCACCTATCTAGGGCTGATTGGTCTATACAGATATGAGACTAGCCTCATGCCACTGATGTGTAAAGGGATCTTTACCTTACTAACTTACAATGTGAGGCAAATGGTGTACCAAGGAGTGATGAAGGGAAGGCAAGATGAACAATCAGACTACAGCTGGTACCACTGGCACTGGCAATACTGGCTGGTTGTTTAAGATAGGGACAGAGTCTTATGTGAATGTTCTGAATGCTGTGATATTGGGCTTAACTAAACTTGAGTCACCTAATTAGACTGTGATCACCAAAGCCATACTAATGTTCTGTTTCCAAGACATGATGCATCTGGTGTATATTGCTAGCTCTAAATTTTTGTGAGCCACACAAAGCTTTATGAATGATGAGACAGTACCATGACAGCCCCTTGACCCCCAACAATATTTTCTGATAAATAGTTAAGGCTTAGTTGGCCTTAAGGCAGTTCTGGCTTGTGGTATTAGCTGACTAAGCTGAAGCTTAGAGCCTCACAATTTACAGGGGCTGCAACAATTCCTATTTTTTTTTGTTCACAAATGCAATTTTCTTTTAGTCGGGCCTTCAAGAGGATTATATAAGATAATTGATGTGATTTTGCAGACATATTCTTTATTATAACTTTCACTAAAAACTAAACGATAACATATTTCCATTATCCTTATATTTAAAAGGTGTTTATATTGTAATGTTTCTGAGTTTAGCTATTGTCATTTAACACACAAGGGGCATCACAGTTTTGTATAGCTTAGGGCCTCATGAAATCTAAATCTCACCCTGTCTGGAAGCATAGATTAATTTTTAAAATACACCTTGATGGGGATATAAACAGATGACTACTGGGAAGATAGACCAGAGTGCTAGGTACTGGGTTTTCCTGCTTCCAGACACATAATGGCTTTTTTTTGTAAAAGTAAACCAGTGCTGCCTTTAGTAGATAATCCACACTTCCTAGCTTGTCACTGAGTGCAATTATGACATGTATTTATGTTCATAGGTTTACTAATGTGAGTGTAAATCTACACGTGTGTACAAGTGAGTATGCACATGTGTGTATCTTGGTATGTGTATGTGTGTGCATGTTATTAGCACATGCACCCACTCACACATGCACTCATGCATGTACTCACACATGGACTCACACATGCACTCATGCATGCACACACACACACACATGTTGGCAAACTTGTGGGACAAAGAAAAGAGAAAGAGAGAAGACATCACTAGGCAAATATTCCCACATTAACCTGCTTCTCTGTTAGAATGACAATGCCCAGTAATTGATCCTCCAGTCCTTTCATGGTCACAGTAAAGTCAATGATGGATGTACGGGCAGACACTTCTGGAGTGTATGCTGGGTTGCCCAGCTTTGTGGTTATGTACAGTCGGAAACCTTTCATCACATCAACCTCCTTGTCCCCAACTTTCACCTGTTAATCAAAACAAAACAAAAAAGAAAAAAGTTATGGCTGAGTTCAACTTAACTCTTAATAAAATGTGCCACTTAAAGTGGCTATTGTCATCCTGACTGACCAAACTCTACTGCAAGTGGTCCCAGTTATGAGATTCTACATGTGAAGTTTAAGTCAAATTTATGGCTCCTATTTCATTCAGAGCCAACCAATGCACCATATGTTTATTGGTCATTCCAAAAGATAACAAGAAGCCTCTGCTGTCTTCTATCAAAGAAAGATGTTACACTAATCTCTTGTATCTGAATTATTTAGGAACAATTTCTTGAGGCATCAGAGATGTGGTTTTACAGAGAAATTCTTAGATTTCCTTAGGCCGCCAAAAAAAGAGCAACCTAGATTTTTTTTAAAGTGAGAGAGCTCGAAGACATCTTATCATAAACATCAGAAAAAGACAATCATAATTTTTTGGTCATGTTATGAAAAGAGAGAATCTGGAACAAGTTGTGACCACTAGAAAGATACGTGGAAAGAGAGAGACAGAGGAAGACAGTGTGAGAAGATTCTTGACAGCCTTTAGTCATGGCATGAAGAGGTGTCAACAAATGAACTGATACACACAGCTGCAGTTTGCAGATTGTGAAGAGGCATAATCGCCCACTCCAGTCAACAGGGTACTTGATGATGATGATGATGATATAAATTTTTTTTCCACTGTGTCTCTTTTCAATGACTTCAAATGAAAGTATGTTTTGCATTGAAACTTAACTCATTTAGGCAGAATGAGTTAAAGTAACGACTGTTTGGAAATGAAAGAGCTAAAAGATCAGTTGTTTAACTACAACATATGAACTGATACACACAGTTGTAGTTTGCAGACTGTGGAGAGGCATAATCGCCCACTCCAGTCGACAAGGTACTTGATTATGATGATGATGATGATGATATGAATTATTATCCTACTGTGTCTCTTTTCAACAACTTCAAATGAAAGCATGTTTTGCATTGAACCTCAACTCCTTTAGGTAGAATGAGTTAAAGTAACACATGTTTGGAACTGAAAGAATTAAAAGATCAGTTGTTAATCTACAACACATTAAGAGGACAGGATGACTCCAGCTAACCTTGAATGTTGAACCTGACTTAATAAAGTTTTTCTCCAGGACATTGTCCAAGGCTGGATCAAGGTCCTCACCAACATCTTCAATTAGTAGAGGTCGTCCCAAGGACAGAGAATCTTCCAGGTGAGTACGGAAATACTTTTGGTTCAGAGAAGTAATCTGAAAACAAAGAATGTATCACCATTGTCATTGCTGATTTTATTGGTGACAATATAATAAAACTGAATTTCTAAGTTTCCTATCGTAATAATCAGTTTGGAATATAAATCTGTCTAAAAATGTTTCCCCTTTCTCTGTGTCTGTTGTCATTGGCATACCATTATCAGTGTATATAATGCTGACTGTGATAGGCCAATCCTTTCTTTGCGTCTCTCTGTGAAGTTTACAAAACCAATCCATGATTTATCCTCTCTAATTTCACCCATAAAATGTTTTGATTTAGCCTTTTCTGCATCTGCTGTACACTGCTTGAATCTTCTGTTTTCCTCTTTTCTAACTCTTTATAGCTTTCTAAGGTCCTCTTGGAACATGTGAGATATCTTACGCTTTTCTGTAATTGTTTTACTGCTGCTCGCTTTGTTTTCCATGCCTATTTGACTTCTTGGGTTCAAAATGGAGGCTGCACAAAAGCAGAGTTGGTAGTTCTGCTGCATACCTTCTGTTGAACAGACCATACTAATTCAGCTGACGTGCTACATACACATATTATAGACAAAAGTGACCACAGAATGTTGAGGAATTATATTTGAATAATGCTACCAAAAAAAAATAGTTTTAATAGTTTAAAGCAGTAAATAAAAAGACATGTTTAGAGAAATCAGTAAAATGAGAATAATTTTCTCACTTGCCCTCATGGTACTCATGGATAACTCTTTAAAATATACTTAAAATGAATCACAAATGAATATGAACCGCTTAGTAATGTATAAATAAAATATAAATACAGTCTTACATTAGACCTTGAAACAAACATAAAAAAAGCACACACAAAGAAAAAACTTTGGAAACATCATCACAGAAAACCATTGTTTGGTAAAGAAACATGACTTCCAAAACTAATTAGTATGTTTACCCAAAATTAACTTTATATAACACTCAAATTGCCCACTGTTCGATGGCCATAATGTTTTCAGACAAACACTTAGTAATTTGGTAAGGTTACAAGCATATTATTTATGATTTTAACCACGTGTTTTAAAAATCCTAACGCCCAACACATATAATGATTACAATGATCCAAAAAAACATTCAGAACTGCCGATTCTTGTTTTTAAACTGCCAAGTGGTAGATTAAAAAGAGTGAGACATATAACTGTTGCATAACATGCCGATTGGGACTCTAGCTTCGTTTTATAAGAACATATCATGCCTTCATAGGGAGCAAAAAAGGTAATTGTTTCAGTAATTTTTTTGTGGGAACAAAAGTTTTAGGGATTTGATTCCTGTTGGGGATAGGGTGTGAGTGTAGCGGGATTTAGACAAAATATGGCTACCAATAACTCAAGGTAAGATATGAATAAAGTTGTGGAGTTTACAAGACAATGAATCAAAGATGTTATACTCTTCTGTGATTCTTAAGTTATGGATCTGATATACAGCCTTCACAGATAAGGTGGAAGAAATACTTGTGCAGGTTTAATTTCTTTGCTGCTAAAAATGAAAAAAAAGGAGGAAAAAGAAGAATAAAAACAAAGAAGAAGCAAAATGAGGAGGATGAGCAGAAACCCTACAAATATGGTTAACAAAGTATCTAAAACCCTAACCTGCAGGTCATTGCTCCCTTCCCTGTTTTTGATCCACAGTTTTCCCTGGCCCTGGGGATCAATCAACAGGGGGTACCTGGAAGCTTTAGTTACAATCAGACCATTCTGGACTGAGAGTTCATCATTAGGCAGACCTTGGAGGTTCCACTCGGAGATGGTTGTGTTCAAAACCAGCATAGAGATGATGTTTAGGTCCTGGAAACGAGTGACACAAACAATTTCATGAAATACACTCTGCAATCTTATACATTTAGATGTGTATGCTAACAGAAACTACAGTCTGTAAACACATGATAGTGGTGCTATTGCGAGCATGTTTGCTTGCCAGCCTGTCAGTCATAACTTCAAATACTCACTGAAGCAGATATTCAGACACTGACCTAGGGTCTCAGGTTCAACCCAGTTGATGTTTACCTGTAGAGACGGCTGGTGCTGTACTGGAGTTGAACAGAGTTTTAAGAACCCATTTAACAGCACTTCGGGAAATTCCTATACACACTCTATCCCAATCTTCAGCAGCCAGCAAAAGGTTCCAACTCTGATGGCACCAGTAACAATCTGATTGCAAGTCCATCTTGCCTTTCCTCTGAGTGTGGAGTGTCGGTCAGATCCCTAGTCATTCTCTAATGCACCATTCTAATCAAAACGTGATAATCTAAGTGTGCCTCCATACTGTTCAATGCCCTCCGAACAGTCTTAACAACATGCAGACTGTCATGCATCAATTTACCGACAAGTGGTGCAAAGACAGCCAGTCTGTCTGCCTGTCATTTCCCAACACTTCACTGGTGAACATATCCAAAGGATGCTGCCCTAGACTTCTAAAGTGATGTGTGCCATTCTCTCTCCAGCTGGCTATAACAAAGAAGGCTAGCACCATATAAAAATGTGACAATTCCGCAATACAATATCAACACATTAAATGTAAGCAATAAAAGGCAGATATCTGCTACTTTAACAACAAACACTGATTAACATGTCATATTTTAACAACAAGCTGAAGAAACATGTGAATTACATGTAAATTAAGACATGAAATTTCTGGAACAATTTGAACAATCTTAGAGTTAACAACTGACTGTGACCATGGGATTTCAGAAAACAAAATTTCTTTTTTGAAATACACAATACCTGCCATCTTATATCCTCTTTAAATTAATATGATATAATAACACAGTCCTTCTTCCTAGATCCAAAATAAAATGAATAAGAAGATTTAAAAAAAAATGAAGTAAATCAGAAACAGAGTAAGATAGACAGAACACTGAAGAACTGACCCTGAAAAAAGCAAAATGCTTGACCTCTGTTCAACTTTCCTCTAGCACTGGGTTGGAGCCTAATGACAATGGAATACCTTACCTTAACTCTTTGAGTCCCAAGGAACGCGTCATGTGCTAATTGGTTACTACCTGGTGTGACGGTGACGGTTTTTAATTTACCACTTATCAGTAATTACACGCGAACCGCTTAATTTAAACTTCCTTTCGGGCTCTCAAGTGTATAGTGAACACACATGGAGTGCATTCGTTTGTGTCTGGTGAGTTTTTTACGCTATAAATCTATATTTGTGTGGTCTACTACTTTACCAAACAATTGTCTGAAAACAATATGTCCGATCAGTCATCGTCTTCACGCCCAGCAAAGCGATTTACTGCTTTAGAAGCATCAAATTTGATAAAACAGTGGATCGATCAAAGTAATGTGGAGTTGGATAATGATAGTAGCGACGTGGAATTTCCCCAACCCGTTGACGAGTCAAGTTCTGTTTAGGAATGTGTGCGTAATTTACCTCCTGCTAAGAGGACAAAACTGACTAATTCTGCCATGGCAACACAAGAGAATAGTGGTGCTGAAGCATCTTGTAGCCCGACACCAGCTAGTCCAAATGTCAGCGGCCACTTGGGCCTCTGATGCGAAATCCCCTGGGACTCAAAGAGTTAACCCTGTGGTGGAACCTAGTCCTTATTTTAAGCCAGTGTGTATTAACTGGGCTTTTTCATAACCTGGCTATCCTAATATGTCTCCACAAGTGTCAAGTATAAACAGTCTTAAACGCATACAGCTGATGTCTGCGCATGAAAAGAAGTGAATTCTGTACTTCTGTAGTGTTTTGTCTTCTGAACACTAACTGGCCTCTAAAAAAAAACAGTACAATTTCTGGTGTCTGGTGCAAGCTTCATAGCCATCAAACTTCTTTAGGTCATAACACTGCAACACATTCCCTTTAAAGGTGAAACTATATTACTGAGTCAGTAGAAAAGACTTTAACAAATCTGATTTGCACAGATGTAAACCTTTTTTGGGAGTCAGCTGACCTAAATGACATGTAATGGACTTAAAACTCAGACTTCTGGAAGATTCTCAATGAACCTACATGCCAGCCAGCCAACAAATCGACCCCTCTATTTGAAAGGGTTAAAAGTCAGAAGTTACAGACATTAACAGACATAATCAAACACTGACAGACATCTTACATCACTGAATGGAATCTTTGAATGCAGCATCTCCCTCTTCCATGACCTCAACATCAGGTTACGGAACTCCTGATTAAAAGGCCCAGCATAGGACAAGAAGCCAGTTGCCAGAAGAACATCACCAACTAGCCTCTCTATCTGGGCCTCAAATGTCTTACTGGCCTGAGTCCACCTGATCTTCTCTCCAGACAGTCCATTGATAAGGGCCTCTGCATTGTTCATTTTTCGTCGACATGCCTCAGCATCATCCATCAGAGTCTTGTTCATGAAGAAAAGGCAGTTCAACATAAAAAGATCAGGCTTGAGCAGTATTTTATGTTATCGTTATGATTATACGATGATAATGATTAATAGGATTATGATTATTGTCCACATGAAAAAAAATGTATAAAATGTTATCAGTATCAAGTTATAATGTGACCCTTGAGCTGCACACAAAAAAGAACAAACAAAAACAAACAAAATCTCAGAATCCACACCTGGCCATTCTTTATAGCTAACTTTACAGATCTCTACAGATTGATTCTTTTCATATAGTTGAATGTTGAATTAAGAATCGACATCACAGCACTCGGGACACTCCCATAAGCGCTTTGTTCCCATCTTCAGCAGCAAGCAAAAATTTCATATAGCTAGTCACCATAAGTGGCTCCCAACTCTTTGGCTGCATACAACTCTTCCTTTTGTGTCATTACAGAATATCTCATTGTTCGTTTACATTCTGTACATTTGTTACATGGTACATAATAAAACTGACCTACTCTTCAATATAGGGAAGTTCATCTTCTGTAAACATAGACAATTTGGCAGTTTTGTTTGTACTACCAATAGTATTAGCTTCTCCATTGATATATTCTATACAGGCCAATGTCTAAGTCTAAACTTCATCTATGTCCTATGTCTATTATTGTTATAACAATGTTTTAAGGCATACATTAAGATGACTTGATGTTAAAATATTTAGTGGTAAGGAACAGAGTTTAGAATAAATATCTAATATGAAATATGACATAATATTTTTTCAAATGATCAGCGCTACCAACAATGCAGGCACCAAAGAAATTTAATATTATCAAAACATCCTGGGACCTTGCCATTATAAATGCAGTAACATAAATAAATAAAGGTTTCCTCATTTTCTAACCCTGGCTTAAGAAGTAAGGTCACTCATTCCTTTTTCTCCATGATTTTTCTTTCAGGGCAAATAAAATCAAATTATTAAAAATCTCTGTGTATGAGGGTGGATTATCACAAAGCAATATTGGCAAGAAGAATAAGACTCACTGTTTCTACATTCATCTCAGACAAACACACCAACTACCTTGTCCCAAACAATATCAACTGAAAGCAATTTCATAAAGTAGCATAAGTAAGTAAAGTAAAGATCCATTTTCACGCCTTTAGGCTCATCAAGCAAATGGGAAGAGCACCCATATTTTTACTGACAAATTGGCACTAGGTGGTAATGCAGCATTATGCCGGCCATATTTACTTCCCCAGGACATACATCCTGGTACCCATTTTGGGCTAGGTTGACCTGTGATGCCCCATACCATTAAAAAAAAAACATGCATAAAGTAGCAAACGCACACAAAATGAAATTTCAGTAACAGCAAGCTAAAAGTCTTCCAACCCACCTGCTTCTCTGCCATGGCTGCATCAAACAAAGCCTTCACTGTGTCCAGCTCCTTCTGTTTTTCATCCAGCTGAGCCTGAGCAGTGGCTAGATCTGAATTAGCAGCAGCCAATCGAGCTTCCTGTTTAACTAAGTTGGCCTGAAATTAGCCAGGAAAAAAAAAAAACAAACTTTCACAGATAAATGAGAATCAAATCTGAAGGATTAAACCTGTATTATGTATAATATATAGATAAGCTGTAAAAAAATTTACATACAGCAAAGATGTGGTTTCTGAGAAGAATGCAAATTTAATGGAAGGATATAAAATCAAATGAAACAGTCCTGATAGAGACAGATGAAAGTTGTACACTTATTAGAACAATAAGGTGTAGACAGTCAATATTTTTGGGCATATTATGAGAAGTAATGGATTTGAGAACTCAGTAACAATTGATTGATGGAAAGAGAGTCAGAAGAAGGCAAAGAGATAACTACCTGAATGGCCTGGCCAGTTGGATGGGGTAAGGAACAATTATTGAACTGATCTGTGATTCTGTTGATAATGTGAGTGGGCAAAACATGACAGCCTACCCTTACTGGCACAGCGCATCATGATTTCATGTATATATATATATATTACTTACTTAATCCTCTTCTACCATGAGGTGTAGAGGTTTGCCAGAGAGATCACCAGAATTCTCTTTCAGCAGTTTTCTTTTTGGCTTTGTTCCATTCCAGTACTCTGTCAGTCAGGGACTGTCAGATGATGTCTTCTCAGTGATGGTTTCCTGGTTTTTGGCCTCCCATGCCTATATGGTGGCCGAATATCTCCCATTCAATATACATGGTCAAACCATCATAACATGATGGATAAGTTCTAGTTTGTTTCAAAATCATGATGTATGAGACATGTTATTTTTAGGGTAGGTTTTTTATTAGGAAGTAAATCAATTCCTTCATATAAGCATAAGGTCAACTATAGCTGCAGCATCTGGTGTGACTGCCAATATTTATTGTATGTCCCTTGTCATTAGTCTGATTTGAATTCTAACAAATGACAGATTAATAAAAGACGGCAAATGCTCTGTGATCTGTGGAAAAGTAAGTTTGCTGATAACCCACCAACAACCTAGACAGTGAGGAGAGAGCATGAGTCAGAGAATACAGTAACAGAAGGAATGTAAGAGAGATACAGCAAGTGGGATGTTGAGAGGGAGTCAGAGGAGAAGAAAGAACTACTGAGAAACAGACTGGCAGGCAGGCAGATTGTGATTTAAAAAAAAAAAAAAACAGAGACACACAGAGAAAAAAGAAAGAGTGGTAGAGAAAGAAAAAGAGGATAAATCAACATACAAAGTTGAGAAGAGAAGACTGAGACAGAGACTGTACTATGTAACTGTATTTAGTTATCTGATGTTGATGTACAGGAATGCCACTTTGTTCTGCTGGTAACTGTAGATAAACCACAGAGCTGCTTGACTACTGACATCCCCAGTGTAGAGCCTAACTGACCTTCAGAGGCAGCACTTCCTTGTTGATGGTGTAGAAGAAGGACATGGCAATAGTCCAAGAACAGAGACCTGCCACATCACCACAGACTTTCTTGGCATTCTCAAAACTGTAATCTTCCATGGTGAGGTATGGCTCCAGCAGTTCCACAGTTTCTCCATTGATGGAATCCTGATAGGTTACAACCAGATTCATTATTTCATACAGTCTAGCATGCTTCTTGAAATACACAGAATGTGAAAGATCTTATACCTAGGACACAATCTAAGATATGAACAAATACTACCCTTACAACAACAACAACAACAATTACATACAATTAAGACAAAATAGTGGGGGGAGTGGGGAAGCAGAAAGAATAGATCATGAAAACATGTTTATAATACAAAGCTACCAAATATCTAACAATATATAGATTTATTGGATTGAAAAGATCAGCACAGGACAAACAACTATGGATTTTAGTTTTGAAAAAAAAAAAAAGGTCAGCAGCTGAAATATTTGACAATTATGATGATGACTAAGACTGCAGAGACATGGGTTTATAGAAGAATGACAAAACATCATGAACAGGTAAAGGGCAAAATAAAGATGTCTTGAAAGAAATTAAATTTCCAACAAGAACTGGTTATCCAAGTTAAAAGAAGGAAATCCAAATTCTTTGAATACGAGCAGAGGCAAGCTGGAGCATGTCATAACAACAGAACAATTAGGCAGATTTTGGTTAAGTCATGATGGAAATCATGAAACATAGGGGCCTGACTACGAGAGTAGGAAAGATTTTGAAATGTGTTGAATTGTTGACTGTGATTGTATACATCAGAACAGCAATTGCCTATTAATTAAAGCCATTCAAAAAAGTACAGGCAACTGACTGTTGCCTTAAAAAGTTTCCAAATAAGGTAATTTCCAAGAAATAGTGTGAGGTTAGCTTATATATTGACTGTAAAGATACCTACTGTGATTGTTCCCTCAAAAATCTAGGCATTTAGGCAATTTCTCAAAAAGACATGGAGGGATCAATTGTTTATATAAGAAACTCACCATGTTAGCTTATTTTTTTTTTTTTGTACAGGTAAAAAGAAAATTCTCTTACCTTAGGGAAATTCATCAACAGTCCCAGAAAGTTGGATGAGTTCATCAGCTTGAGAGCTTCACTCCATGAGGGTTTGAGACAGTTCCTCTCTGGATCCATTGTAACAGGATCCAACCTTCTCTGTAATAATTTTGTTAATAAATGTGATCAATGTCTTGCAGTATAATGTTGTTATCATCTGAAAAAATATCCATTCCTTTTAAAGAAGGTGTGACTGTTTCTATATTTAGTACAAGATTCTCTGTTTAGCTGATTCAGTGTAAATCCTATAGTAGATTGTTTTAGCGGTCACTACTGTTTTTTACTAAAGAGCCCAAGTATTCTAAATCTGTGACAATTTCTATTTCTTCTTTTGATTGAGATAAGTGGTTGGTGTGCTGTATTTACTGAGGACATCATTTTTGTTTTTTTTTTTCAAATTCAGAAAAAAGATTCACTTCTTGGCTGTGCTCTTTGTCACCCAGAATTAATTTTTATAAACCTTGCACACTACTGGAAAGGAGAACTGTATCATCTGCATATCTGAGTTTTGGGATAGGATTACCACAATTTTTTAGTGGATCAAAGCTCTCAATGCCTTGTCACTAACTGCGTTCCTCATAACATTTTCAACATATATGTTAAAGAAGGACCAAGAAATAATGCAGTCCTGTCTCACTACTTTCTGCACTTCAAACCACTCTGATGTTTCACCAGCTAATCTGACTGCTGCTTGCTGTTCATGGTAAAGAGATTCCATTAAATGCACTAAATTTTTTGGAAATCCCATGTCTCTCATTATATGCCCCAGTTTATGGTGTTGCACACAGTCAAATGTATAGTGTAATCAAAAACATATAGTAAGTTGTTAAACCCTGAATTATTGAAGTTAAAACCAACATCAGGATTTGAACCTGATGCCTGCAAATTATATGATCACCCTTCTAGGACAATACCTAGGACTGTATTTTTTATGCTGATGCAATTGTCTCAGTGGTCCTCTAAGAAGATATTTAAGACAAATAATATTATGTCAACACTGGTGAAGCAAACAGTGAATCTTTATCAGTCTAGCCTGTACCTGGAACAGCAACAACACACAGTCCATGATCCTCATGATGAGATGTGGGGGCTTGGCCAGTTTACGGACGGTGGAGATGTGTGCTGGTTTGATGGTCAACAGAGCTGCTTCTGCTTCTTCTAGAGCTGGCCTGGCTGCCTTCAGCTTCACCTCTGCTGCTGCCTTATCTACCTGAAAATACAATACAGTATAAATTTACAATCTGTTTCCTGGTTAGCTTTATTTCTATGACAGAGAAATTGTCTATATATGTACAGCTGTGTTCACATGCAGTTAGATTTCATTATAAGATATCTCACTAGCTTTGAATTATCACTTTCTAGTTTTATGTGTATAAGGATGTTCACTCATACATCGGAATGACAGAGAGATGAAGCCACCAACAAGCAAGACATCAAGGCAACCCCTCAACTAATGAAATATTTCCAAATAAAAAGAGAACCCGGGGGAGAAGACTGATCTCTATTTATTAAAAATAGTACTAGTCAAAGCAACAGAACAAAGATTACTGTTGTTACGAACACACTAAGACACACAAAGTATCTTGTCTTACAAGTACAAATAAAAGATATGTATTAACACTTACAGAAATGGAGTCGACAATGGCTTGGGCTTTGTCCTTGACTTTCTCCACTTGTGCTTTGACCTGCTCAGCAGCCTGAGCCTTGCTGGTCACTTCTGCCAATACTTGGTCAGCTCTCTTAGAGGCCACAGCCAGCTCTTTCTCCTTGACAGCCAGCTGCTTGCTGAGTTCATTGACTGACTCTGTAGCTTCTGTCAGCTTCTCAAGTCCTGGGAGAAAACAAAAACAACATAGCAAACAGCTGCCAGTTACACTTCCTGGTTTACAACAATGGAATCCAGCAAAGGTTGCCTCACAGCAGACACTATGGCTAGAGTGAAATGTCCAAATTCACACACTCTAAGACCAGAAAGTAATGATTTGGGGATATTCAGGCAGCTCATTTCTTTAGCAAGCCAATTCGAGTCTGTATCTGGGTATCCAGGGACACTGTCTGCTCTTTGCACCAAAAGACAGTTGTTTCGGTTTCTAACAAGATAAAACCACCATAGTGAGTATAAAAGAAACCTGTTCCACACATGCATGCACACACACACTCACACATGCACACACAAGCACCCACCCACCCATGAATGTACACTTGCACACACATGCACATGCACTATCAGAGAGAATTATTTCAAGTGAGAAATGTAAAGTTCTCCAGCCATTTATTATCATTAACGGTTTCAATTTTAATCCCATTCACCTTAAAATTTCAACTTTTCCTGGCTTATCACATAACAGGTAGACATCATGCATCACACAGAAAAATCACATTAAACAAAATACAAAAACAGCTATAGATCACCTGTATTCATACGATGGGCCAGCAAGCCAATCTCCTCCTTCTTCTCCTTGTAGATTATCTTGTACCCAGAGATGAACGACAGATAGGACTTGGGCGTCACATGTGTCTGTCGGCGGAACCTTTGGAAGTACTCCACACACATTTCTGCCACCATGTCCTATAAACAGGAAATCATGGGTAGATGTGAAAATACTAATATCTAGCTTTTCCTATTGAGGCACAGTAAACCACACTGTGACTTTACTACATGTAAAACCATGTTTATGATAGGTAGGGAGGGGGGATACGGGTTTTCGAGCCGAAGGATTTAGGGTCACATGGCCCATGGCTAGTGCAGTTACCACATATTGTAGATTAGGATAATTATTTTGTCCTTAGAGTTACAGACAGTGTAAGTGTGTGCATGTGTGTGTGTGCATGTGTGTGTATATTTGCATGTATGTGTGCGAGCATGTGCCCCCCACCCTTTTCTGCTTTGTGCCTCTAGGCATCACATTAATAGATAACTGGCATATCAGATAAGGCATAACAAACAGAACATGTGTGGCTGGACAGCTTCAAGAGTTGGACTAGAAAACCAAGTCTGAATGCACCATGAGTACCAAGGACAGAGAATGTTGGAGTTTAACCAAAGGTGACCTTTATTGGCACAATGATACTTGATGATGAAGACAATGTTAGACATGGTTTGTACAGTCGAACACAAGTGATAATGGGATATGCCAGATTGCAAAAACAGATGGAAGCCCAAGCTTACCTGAAATAAGCCCATCGTGTTGACAACAGCCATTTTTACTGCTTGTGTGCAGGTGATGTCAAATGATGATAAAAAGTGGTTGGAGACAGCAATGAGGGCATCTTTGGGCCATCTCTGGAACCAGTCCATGGTGCAGCCAGAAATAAGTCCAGGGAACTTAAGGGAGCGGTTACGAAACTTTTCTCCAACCTTTGATAGATACGTTATATTTATACATACACAATGGATTACAAAATACATCATTTGTTTTGTTGCACAAATATTTGACAGACCTTTAATGGATTCATGTACTTTATTTTTGATAAGCTCTTGCTAAACAGACAGATAAATAAAGGCTACAGTGACTTGTAACATAAGCTCTGTAGAGAATCATGTAGATCAGAAATAAATGAGACCAACTGAAAAAGTCACCTAGCTGTCAGCCTGAAGATCTTGAGTTCAAACTGGCATCAAAGTGGATTTTCATAGTCAACCTAGCTTTAGAAAAAAGGTCTCTAGAAGGAAATACCTTGAGAAGTGAAGTTGACCGACCACATCACCCACTGAGTGCAGATGGGTCTGAAAAAATATGGGTCTGACAGCAAAACTCTGATTTATCACTGACATTTAACTGTCTGTTCAGTTACCTTTACCTTACTTACTGAAGACAGGGAAGACACACTTATAAAACAATATATGATACATCTTATTCTTCTGTGCTCACCCTTAAAAGGACCGTTGACATATTGTAGTTTACAGCTCGGCTGTGATATCTGCACCTTTCAGTCCATTACGTTTGATTTAAGCAAACTTTCACTAAGCCAACATTTACAACATGTTTGTTAGTGGTCAGAGGGTCTATCCCCCCCCCTCCCCCCCCCCCCCTAGGATAAGCATATAATTAAATGGATGAAGTGGATACACACTCACAAACAAGACAGCAGAAGATATATCTTTATATCTTGCTGAAGAGAGTGGTTTTACATACTTAAGACAATATAAGACATTTACTTACAGGTGAGAAACACAGCACCACATGCAGGTTTTCCCTGACCCTGGACAGGTAATAATTGTATAGGTTTTCATTTGTTGGTGGACGGCGAGGAAACTCTTTCTTCATGACAGCCACCAGCTCTTGGAGTATTTCATCCATCTCATCCCGAGCAAACAAACCTGACACCTGAAAAAGTACATTTTGTGTTTTGTTTATAACAGACTACACAGCCTTCATTCTCTTCATACTGGGAGCATCAGTCCATCACTGCAACTGATGTCCTTTACAGAGGTCTTTGCCAAGACACATGAGACATACAGTACATGTGTTATGGTGGTTATCTCTGTCTCTCTCTCTCTCTGTCTCTCTTTTTCACATAGTTTCACCCTTTTTTTTTTCATTTTCCCTCTACTCTCTCTCTCTCTCTCTCTCTCTCACACACACACACACACACACACACACACACACCCACACTCACTTCATCATCATTATGTAGCAAGTGACTGCAGAATATTGTTTCCCTCACACCTCACATAAAATATTTATTTTCTTCACCATTTTTTCTGCATCATCCTTTTCAATCCCAAAGTCTTTTGTATATGTCATCAAATTAACCTCGTTGTCCAACTTTAGGACGCAATGTTTTGTTATTTTGAAGCCCCACCCTGGCATTTGCCGGGTGCCCTTATTTATAGCCAGGCCTTGAATGTGGCCTAACAGCTGAACAGGGTTTCCCGGACCTCTCCACGGATCACCAGGTGTTTATCGCCTGAGTGATGACCTGGTGGGGAACAACTTACTTACTTACTTGCTATGTCATTAAACTGATCAACCAACACTTTTCTTGGATGAAATTAAAATGAGTGAATTCCTCATGTTTTGTCCCAGTGTGAGACACAATTTTTTTTAATTTTGAGGCATCATACTGGCTTTAGTTGGGGACCCTAATATAACCTGATGGTTGAATGGGGTTTTTCTGGGATCTGTGCCCATGCAATCATGATCCGAGTGGTGGCGTTTTGTGTCACCGGATGCTGGTGGCTTGCTGTGCGGTCCTGGTGAGGTTGAACGACACAAATAAACTGGATGAACCAATCTTTAAATTAATGTTTTAGCATACACTGCAATGATTGATACACTCAAGAGTACTTTCGGTTATGAGATATTCAGTGAATGAACCAGCTATCTTTAATATATACAACTATTAGTAGTCATAATATAACTTTTATCTACACATTGTGTAATTGTCAAGATAATGTGGTTGAACTGCAAGAATAGTGACATCTAACTGTCCAGTGAATAAATGTGTACATATGATGACATACAACTGTCCAGTGGTTAATGTGTACACAAGGTGAGATCTAACTGTCCAATGGTAAATGTGCACACATGGTGACTTCTAACTGTCCAGTGGCAAATGTGGTCATATTGTGTCATCTAATAGTTATGGCGATGACATTCAAAGGTCAGGAATGTGACACTCAGTTGTCAAGATGATGATTTTCAACTATCAGCATGGTGAAATTCAGTTGTCAATAAGGTGGTATTTAACTGTCATGATCATTACATTTAACTGTCAGGGGGTGACATCTAACTGTCTGGAAGGTGACATTCAACTGTCAGGGGGTGACATCTAACTGTCTGGAAGGTGACATCCAACTGTATTGTTATTTCTTTTCTCCCTAGAAGTGAGCAACTTTTTTTGTAAATTGCACTTAGACCACTGACAGAAGAGAAGAGAGCCCACTTACTTCTCCAGAAGATAGGATGTTGTTCATGTACTCCAGGAAAGCCTCATCTTTGATTTCATTGTCTGTAAACAGAAATGTGATGCCCTTCCCTGTCTGACCAGCCGTTCTGTATAGGTACTTCAAGTCCTCCAACAGGTTGTTAGTGTTGTATGACCTGGGAAAATAAATATCTACATTAAAATTGTTCTGGCAGGTGTTTCAAGGACTTTATTTTGGCATGAACTGGTATATAACATTACCAGGAAAACACTTTATCTGTCACAACCATTAACTGTACTTTACAAGACATGCCAAAAATATTAACAAGATACATTATGTCAACTGTCATAATCATTATCATTGCCTCTTTTGTTATGTTATAAACATTTGAATGGAATCACTTCATTAGTCTGCCATTAACAAGTGCCAGGGTCTCCAGGTATGCAAGGAAATGAGCAAGCTGATCGGCTTACATGTAAAGCTTATTGTGGAGGGCAGACAAGCCAAGGACCATGCTGATATTCTGAATGCTCTATGAGAAATAAGACGCTTGGGAGAACAAGGTGATGACTGTGAATCTGCAAACATGACCAGACTGCAAGAACAATATGTAAAAAGGAGTGTAGTCAGAAAAGAGCACTATGCAAGCAGCCAGAGAAGAATAAGAAACCAACACAGAACAGTTGTTGTGAGCCGCTGCACGCTGCAGAATTTACTAAGGAGGGGATCCAAGCATTTATGGACTTAATGGTTTAATATGATTTGATTTGATTAAAGAACCGACATCACAGCACTCAGGGCATTCCCATTCACTCATACTGTGAGTAATTATTAGGAAGCTGCAGAGAAGAGATTCTATAGATGGATGGCACAAATATCATTGGCAGATCCACACCAAAAAAATAATAAAGGTGTCTTATAGGCCATTAACTTACGCAAGGGAAATGCTTACCAACATAAGAAAGAGATAATATACATTCTTAACTCTTTGAGTCCCAAGGAACGCATCATACGTTCATAGATTCCTACCTAGAGGCCCAATAAACCCGTGATGTGCCGATTTAACATCCCTTTTGACTACCCTTTGGGCCTGTGATGCTAAATCCCCTGGGACCCCTGGGAGTTTAGTTACATAGGTGGACAGACATGAATACAAATGTCACATGGCACAGACTGTAAGAACATGATCAGTAGAATAATAATAATGTAAGCCACAGTAAGTTCTCACCCACCTGGTCAGTGTGATCTGAAAGGTCAAGTATCCAGCAATGAAAGAAGCCAGCCTGGTTAAACTCTGTTTGCCAGATCCTCCAACTCCCACCAAAAGGGCATGACCACGTGGTGTACGGATGATGCGTGAAATCTTTACCAAGTTGGTCATTGCATCCTGGATACAACAAGGAACACAAAAACTTACAAAATCATTTCTGTATTGTTTCAATATTGTTGTTTTTTTTTCAACACCCTCTCCTCAATCCTCAGATGTTTTACTGCCCGTCTTGAACAATTATCTTTCCTATAACCTGTTTTCTCTTAACTGTTTAATTTGGTTTTTGATATCTTTAGGTGTTATATGATTTGTTGATATAATTTTCTTTCTTGAATTTCCCTGTTAAAATGTTTTTACATTTTGTTTAAAATGGTTTTTTCTTGTTTTGTACCTGGCTAAAAGTTACTGTGAGTGGGTGTGAGTGGCTGGATGGTTGGGTTTCAGGTGTGTGTGTGTGTGTGTGTGGGGAGGTGGGTGGGTGTGTGTGTGCATGCCTGTGTGTGTGCGTGTCTGTGTGTGCGCGTGTGTGCGTGCGTGCGTGCGTGCATACGTGCGTGCGTGTGTGTGGATACTCTAAAGGTGTTTATGTTAGTGGCCTGACTGGTTGTTTAAATCCTTTGATCTAGTAGAATTTCTGACCATTCTATTTGCTCTTTCATCTGTTTGCTCTGGAACAATAATAGATTTACTCTAAGATGTAATCAGTGTGATCAGTGTTAGATACTAGAAATGTGAATAAATGTAAATATTTTGTTTACCTTGAAAAAGACTAGATCCATGGCACTGCCCCTAATAGTCTCATTGTAACCTGCCTGGTATGACTTGAGCTTCTCTGCTAGGGCATCTAATGATGGGATTGGTTCATAGATCTTTGGAGAATCAAGGTCTACATCATCAGTCTCCTCACCTGAACAAACAGGTCAACATGATGTGTGTTTAACTGGTTTTAGTAAGTGCAAGTTATTGCAAGAAAGAATATTGGTGCTTTCTTAATATCCTACCCCAAGAGGAAATCCATAGGTTACAGGACAGTCTAATATTTCAGGGGGTGGTAGATAGGCTGCATGCAGTCGTGGGTCCTAGGCTGCATGCTCTCGTGGGTTAGGGTTAGGGCCAGTTCTAGATGTTTTGGGGTAGTTAAAAGCATTAGACAGCCAGGAAACCCAGTCCTACCACTCTCTAAAATGTTGGACTGTCCTGTGACATCATCTGTCAAAAGATATTATGAAAGAGTAATAGTAGTGTTTACTGGCACCTTTTTTCCACTAGAAAAAAAAAAGCTTTTGCCAGAACAAATTTTAACATATGACAATAAAGAATATGCAGTCACACATACTGGTACATAAAAAGAATTGTCCTGTGTCATAATATCACATACAAATGAAGGATAGCAATCACATATGGAATGTTTATTAGAATATAATGTGTTAGCCTGTAATCACTTGTTTATAAGTATGCTCACATGTGTGCATGTATGCTTGTTAAAAAAAAAAAAAACTGAAAATGCTTTTGGATAACATAACTGTAGTCCATGGTCAAAACATGATGGACAAATATAACATAAACATTATGGCTGGTGATACCTGTTGCTTCTGGAGCTTCTCTAAAGAAATCCACAAAGTATGGTTCTGCTTCCATCAGATTTGCCAAGGAAGGGCCACAGTTTTCTTCAGCCACCTGACATATGATGATGATAACAAACATTAAAAAAATGTGATCTCAAAGATAATCCCTTCAGTTATCTAAGCAATAACTACAGAGCAAACCTAAAAAAAACTCCATACATTGTGTATAGTAATATGAAACAACAAGTTTCAGGTAACTGAAGCAATGCCCGCAACTGTCAATTTGAACAAAGTTTGTAAAACAACAAGTTGTCTGACATTTCTCTCTTTATCTCATCAACTCCCACAGTCAATTTCGAGGGCATAAAAATAGCACTTATTTTCAACACATATTTTATCAGGGATTTTTTGACTAGATAAAAAAGTGAGCATATTGTATGTGAGTGTGCGTATGTATGTGCATGTGTGTATTATTGTTATTATTATTTGTAATATTCAACTTCTACCATTTTTTTAAAATATAATAACAAACATATCAAAGTCAAGATTATATTTTTACAACAATATAAGAATATACTGTACAAAGTCTCATACATATGTATACCCAGTTAAAATAAAATTTAAAAAAAACACCCTGCAATAGTCACCATTTCCATAGTTATCCGAACTCACCTGATTGACTGTATTCTCAAACCAAACTTTGTCATTCTGCTCTGTGAATCTGTCAGCAATGATGCGGGTAGCTTCATGTTTCCATAGTGACATCAGTACACTGGGACTAGACACTACATCGCTGATGGTATTGAGCATGCCCTTGTGTACAGAAATAAACACACATTGAGATATAGACAATGTATCTCTGTGAAATACAATTCTTCTTCTCATAGTCCATGCAGCGCAGCGTTAGTAGTCATGTCTATATACAACCTTCTGTCTTGTTTCAATCAATTCTCAAACACAGATGATCTTCCATGCCATAATGTCAGTACAGCATCTTCTCTCTCATTCTTCCTCTGCCTCTATTCCCATCCAATTGTCTCACTCATGATATTCTCATTTTCTCCTTCTCATGACATAACAGAGAATGTAGCTTGTCTCCATCTTATGTGGGCAATAAGTTCTCTACATGAGTCAGTTGCTTTCAAGACATCTTCAGTACACATTTTATAAGTCAAGGGTGTTCTCATAATTCTTCTATAAACCACATCTCCACCATTAATACATAATTTGCCACTAAATAGCCAACTGTCCATGATTCACATCCATATATCAGGATAGGATTTACAAAGCTCTTGACAGATCTCTTTCTCATTAAAAAATTAGGTTTATATTACACCTAAAGTACAGCTTTGTGCTGTGCGATGGTGGGAAAAAAATATTTTTTGGGCTTTCAGACAGTGGTACGAGAGTTTCACCAAGGAGGAGACTGAGGCTTTACAGTGTAATATTCCTAAAAAAATTTAACATAATAACAACACCACTAACAACTAGAAAAACTAAAGCTGCACAAAAAAAAAAATGATAACCAATGAAATCAATTGAAGTAAACAATACTCTATTTTAAAATAAAAGAGATACTTCTTCTTCTGCATTCATCCGAAGATGTAATTGCGTTGTGTCCGTTTACAGCATGGTTGCAATATTTGCACCTTTCCGCAAAAACATCCGACTTCTGCAGGCATTTGTTGACCGGGTTAGCTTTCCCGGTAAAAGTAAAAGAGATACAGTACCTGCCAAATTCTGGACAGATCTCTGAGGTTGAACACATAATGAAACTTTGCTGGTGTAGGCAACATCTTCACTTTGGTTTTCTGCCACAGTTGACGAGTTGCTGTTACCAGCATCTTCACAGCTTCACGAACTTCATTAGTGAACCCTCGTTCCTGGGAATATCACAGTTGATGATTGGAAAACCCATGCTCATGACAAAATTAGAGTAAATAATCAATTAATCCATGGTCACTGGATCATTTCAGTGGAAAAACCTGTTAAAATCCTATGTTTTTGAAAGTTTTAGCAAATAATATCTAAACCCATGTTCATGAAAATCTTTTGAACATACCCTGCTCAACCAAGCAGCAACACCAACAACACCAACAACAAAATTCCAGAAACAAAAGTTACTGAAGAAGTAAGGTTGTCATCCACATGTTAAATAAACTAGTATATATGAAGTATTTCACATGACTGTAAAAAAAAAAAGTAAAGTAAAGATCCCTTTTCACGCCTTTTCGGCGCATCGGGCATATGGGCAGAGCGTCCCATATTTTTACAGACCATCAGCACTCAGAGGGTAATGTGGTCAGCATTACGCCAGCTGTCTTTACTTTCCCAGGACAGCCCATCCTGGTACCCATTTTAGGCTGGGTCGACCTGCGACGTCCCATACCACGACAAAATTCCACGCAGCCTGCAGTGGGTTTCGATCGCGGTATGCTGGCTTACGAGTCGGACTCGCACTAGTCAGATAAAATTGTTGTTTCTTGTCTCTGAATAGCAATGCCATTCTATGCTCATAACCTAAGAACGCAAAGTTGAACGCCCATAGTTTTCCAGGTGGATATGACCAGATCTTGTTCTCAGTAATTCTTATTAAGTGTCATTTCCACATTTAAGGTTAGTGAACTTGAGTTCTCAACACCATCTGTTCTGTTTTCATAGTACAATTATGCAGGTTTCTTCTAGTACTGATCTTGTTGTGTTGTCTTTACCCTAAACTCTTCCTCTCTACTTTTACCTCCAATTTATTCTGTAAAAAGGAGTTATGCCTTTGACAGTCAACATATATTTATTGTCTGACCTTTTTGTGAGTCCCAGGCTTCATAATACCTTTTTTCTTCAACATATTTACATCTCTTAGTTAACCTAAAAATGCATACATATGTCATACAAGTAAAAGATTCAATAAAGGTACTTTTTCTACATTTTGAGGTTGATTTGGCATATGGTCTTAGCATATGTTGTTACAGTACAACTGCTGATTCACAGGTGATGTGCTCTACATCATATCATCTGCATTTACATCCAAAAATATTTCCTGGTACTAATTTGGACTGGTTCAACCTGCAAGCAAAGGCCTGTTAATTTCTTCTTTTTTTTTTTTTAAACCAATGGAGATTCAAACTTATGATCTCCAGATCAGCTGGCGAGATGCTAGGAACAGTGATCTATAACCTGGCTCTACACACCTGGGCATGCAAGAGTAAAAGGTAATGAACAAACCAACTAGCTGGCAAGTAATCCACCAATGTATATGAGATGAAGCCTGGACAGTGCTGATATCACCAAAGTTGTACGGACTAGGCTGGCAGACTGAGGGATAAACTTTGGATGCTAATACAATGAACTGGGAGTAAAGCTTGGCAGAGGACATCTATACCATCTGAGAGGTCAAGACAGGGGACAATATAACATTCTCCAAAGGTACCTTGGAGTGGCTACTGCATCGGAGGACTGAGCATATATGGGAATTCCCAATGTGCAGTAATGTTAACTGTGATAATATAGCAATGACCTAGTTCTTAAAGCAGTACTTCTATACACAGAGTGGGTGACTGGTTAAATATTCCGGCAACATACATCTGTCCCTCCACATATGTGAAAGTACAGTACCATTCCTGCAATCCCTACAAGCTTTGAAGATGTTTGTTAGCAAGTGAACTTTGTAACACAGTCCCTAAAAGACGTTGTTTTGGTACTAGATTCACACCAGTTAATGGGCACTCCAGCCACCTTTTCCTTCTCTCATCCAATAAGTTGAGTATTTATTTCAGGGATCAACATCATAAATGTCAATGCACTAATTGCAGTGACAGTCTTCCAGAGGAATCTGAACCAATCCAACAACATCTAAACTGACATAATTTACTAACCTTGACAAAGTGGCCCAGTCCAACAGTACTAAACACTTTATCAATAGAAGCATTGGAAGGGAGGGTACAGTTGAAGATGCTGAAGGCCCTCTTTAGTCTCTGTGGGATGTCATTGCGGCCTCCACCTGGATGGATCATGGCTGAAATCATCTGGATGTCTATCAGGGTGGTAAACTCACCTGGCTTCTCCAGGTTATAGAAGCCACTGTACTCCATCATCTGTCTGGTGATCTCATTGGTGACCTGTAGGTGGAGATGTGGTCACACTCAGATTTATATATATGTTCACATCTAAAGATAGGGGTTATGTTTTTGTGTGTGAGAGTGTGTGTCTGCATAATGTGTGTGTGTTTGTGTGTGTTGTGTGTATGTGTGTTTGTGTCTAAGCATGAATGTATTTGTGTTTGTAAGGGAAGAATCATTTTTCTTTACAAATAATTCAGGTGCACTGGAACACCAAAATTCGTACACATCAATGTTCATTTTTTTTTTTAAATATTCACCCCAAAAGTCAACATTTGTCCCTCCTCTGACTTGGCTGGCAAGTCATCAGATGAGGAAAACAGAAAATGATGGGCGAGTTACGAGTGCTGAAATTAAGGAATTGCTGTCCACTCTCACAGAATATGCAAGTTTTCATTGAGGAATGGCACCAAAACATTGCTGCAGTTAATTAGCATATCAATTCACTCGATGACAATGTGTTTGGACACATTCTGAAATTTAAAAAAAATTGGATAATCTCTTTTTTAAAAAGTGCTTGTGTGATGTCTTTTTTTTTTTAGGTTAAAGAATAGATAAGCAAAATGCGTGGATATAAAAGGATTTAATTAATTTTAGTGAATTCCTGTAAAGAAAAAAACTTGTTTAATTTTAATTTTTTTTAATATCTGTCCTCTTCTCAGGAACTGATTAATGATGAATATCGGAGTTCCACTGTAACAGATAAATGTAAAGAGAAGAGCCAACTTTCTGCACTCCTGAAACTGGCAAAGAAACGCATAGTTATCTCATGGTGCATTTTTATTAGTTTGTAAATAAAATATTGTATGTGAAAAGCTGACTCAAATGCTCCTTACTGTGTCCAGTGGACAAGTGGGCGTGAATTGTGTGGGTTTTTGCAATTGTTACAGTGCAGTGGTCAAGTGTGTTTAAAAGCATATTTGTGAGTATAGCTCATGAGGCGTGCAGGAGGAAGCAATACAATTTTGGGTAAACAAAATTCACTGCCTACGCAACTGAAACCCTATAAAAGAGTTGATAATGCTACACCAAAACATTCAGTTCATTTTCAAGAAGTCATGAATTGTGCCTTTATCGATAAATTTAAGGAATATTGCTATTGGCCAACTGCAGGCAGGAGAAAGTCAAAGTCAAGTTGCCAGGCAACTGAATGTGCATCAAAGTACCATCAGTCTACTTTGGCACCAATTTCAAGCCAATGGTTCAGCTAAAGACTGATATCAGTGTGTATGACCCAGAGTGACAACAACAGCAGAAAATGGATTTATTTGGCTTCATCACCTTAGATACAGGTTTACAACAGTTTCCTCAACTGTGCAGGCATTGCCTCCAGGACGTCATGTGTCTGATCAAACTGTTTAGAACAGACTGCGTGACTTTGGACTTTGGGCAGGACGACCACACCATGGACCTGTCCTTATGAGTTTCCACAACCAAAATATATTTGTTTGGGCCAGCCAACATTGTTCCTGGGCAGGTGATAATAAATGGAGACCGGTCTGGTTCAATGAGGAAATTTTTTTTTGTTGTTGCATCATCAGGATACACGGTGTAGGGTGGAGGTGTAATGGTGTGGGGAATGATCAGTTACAATGGAAGGAGTCAATTAGTGCATACTGAAGAGAGCTTGAAAGCGCAACAATACATCAGTGAAATTCTTTGACCCCATGTCCTTCCATTTTGTGATGCCAACAGATATCTTTTGCAACAAGGCAACGCCAGACCCCCTTCAGCACAGCTGACCATGCAGATCCAGGCTGCCAATAACATTCAAACCTTTCCCTGTCTGCAGGCATATGTCCAATTGAGCACCTGTGGGATGAGCTGCAAAGACGTGTTTGTCGCCAAGACGTTGCTCCAGCCAATGGTCGTGATCTGTTCTAAGCACCATAGGAATAGTGGGCATCCATCCCACAGGCCCACATCAGACATGCCCAGGAGAAGCTAATCACTGATCCATGCAAGAGGAGGCCACCCATGGATCTAAAGAGCCGTATGCCTTAAAATTATCATGATCCAGATGAAAAAGAATTGATTGTTGAAACCCTGAGGTATTCTTGTGTGAAATTTGAGTAATTTCACTTATTGCGTTACAAAGATGTAGAATGTCACAATTGTGAGTTTGTATATTGCTTTAAGTAGCTATGTTTTGTGTGTGTGTGTGTGTAAGGGATATGGAACATTTATTTGCATTCAAATCTAGGATCAATTTCTTTATTTTATTTACAGACTAAACAGAAGAATAAACTTGCTCCACATTAATTTTAATAAATTTTTAGCTTTTTCATTTGAAAGGATTAATTAACTTTCTGAACATTAAAAAATCAACAAACATTGAAATATGCATATTAAGATAGGCAGTGCTCTTCCTCATAATTAAATTCAAGCAAGTATTGTTATTTACATGTCAACTGAAAGAATAAACGTTCTACATAACTGTTACTATGTATATTTTAAGGGAGGCATAAACTTTCTGTGCATTTAAATCTTGCAACAAATATTCTTATATACCTATTCAGGGATGTTTTTGCTTTTTACACTGGATTCTAATAGCTGCTGTTTATGTTAAGAGAAGAATGAATGTTCTGTGTAAATGCCTACAAAGTGGACACAGTGTAAGCCAAACTATTAAAATGCACAGTGCATCAAGAATTCATGGCTGACAGTAACCAGCTGCAGCAACTGCTCCATACTTTAAAATTGCCCAAACAAGAAATGATAGCACTGCACATACCTGGTCACCCCATTCATTGATGACTGGCATGTTGATGTCATCAACAAACACTATCATCTTCTTGCCAGCTGGTGGGCCATATGTTGTTCCCATTCTCTTGTCCACATAACTCTCAATTGTACGCTGTGAACACATGTAATCAAATTCTTATGTCAGGTGTGACTCATTCAATGGGGAAAATGTTAACCGCTCACAAATGTCAATTGTTTCTCTTCCAGCCATGCAAGTATCTAGTATACTCGCAAGGTGGGTTGAGTTGATTTAAGATCTAGCACGACAGCACTTGGGACATTTCCATCAGCACTTTGTCTTCATCTTTAACAGCCATTGCTGAGTTCCAGTGACTATGATGCCAGCAGCTGTCTGGTTTTAAGTCAAATATTAGCTAGAGATGCAAATTACAAATGTTCTGTAACATCTAAGATCTCAAGTCTCAATGCTGTCTTGTGTTATGTTATCACAACTGATGTCTTTGGACACTGGGCATTCCCATGTGTGCTCAGTCCTTGGAAGCAGCAGTCACTCCAAGGTACATCTACTGACTGTTCCTATGAGATGTTGGCTATAGTATCTCCTGTCTTTACCTTGACAACGGCTTCACCAAGCTTAACTTCTAGGTCAGCAATCGTATCAGCATCAGTGATTCAACAACATCACTCAACCTAGGCTGTACAGTGTTGATAATATCAGATTTGTCCATGCTTCCTCCTCTTTGCATTGGTGCTTTACTTGCCAGCTAGTCAGCTCTTTTATTACCATTTACTTCTGTGTGCCCTGGTGTGTAGATCCAGATAATAGAGGTTAACTGACTTCTGAATGCTTTCTACCCATTCAGAGCAGAGACTACCTGTTGTGATTTGCTGAAGCATGTTCAATGGGTCTGAAATGATTACTGCATGTGTGGCCACTTGTACTGCTACCAATGTGAGTTCTCTGGAAGCAGCAGTTATCTCCTTGGTCATGCTTGACATAGATGTCTGGTAAGTGCCACTATCCTTTTTATATTTTCCCATTCGCCCTTTGGGAGCAAGTGAACAGTGCAGAGGCACAGATAGATCATTACGGTCTAAGGAGAATGGCGCTGCGATAAGTTACCAGGGGACCGGGCTGACGGTCAACACTCAGGGAAAGGATGAGATGGATATACAACCAGATGGTTACTGGTACCATCAGAATTGGAACTCTTTGCTTGCTGCTGAAGATGAGGACTGATCACTTATAGAAGTGTCCTGAGCGTTGTGATGTTGATTCTTAATTCAACATTTGTTTTCCAATTCTTTGTGCTGTGTATGCCCATGCTGATCTTGACTGAACTTCATGGACCCATCTGTATAAATTATGATGTCTTTTGGGTGTGAATGCTGCTCAATCAGTGCCCTAGTCTCAGCACTAGGTGGCAGGTATCTGACTATTGCAGTCACTCCCCAGTGTTATGACAACCTTAGATAAGTCATGCATGTCTACTGGTGTATCCTTCAATTCTTTTCCATGACTGATCTCCTCTGGAGACTTGCTGGATTAGATTTTCTGGCTGGGCCCTCCAGGAGAAGCCTTATTTGAGACGCATCCCTTTTATGTCATTGATAACGTTGTGCAGTTGGTGGTTGATTTTTGCTGATATTCTTATGTTTACCTTTCATTTGTGCCACTTCATGTCTTGCGGCCATCATCGGTAAATCCAGGACAGGGCACGAGGCGTCTTTTGTGCAGCTGAGTATGTGTCTGATGGCCTCATGTTGTTACCTGGTGAAGTTTTCTAGATGGGTTCTGTTGACATCGAGGAGGTCCACACCATAGTCTGTAACATGTAGTACAAGTCCCTGCGAGAGAAGGACAAGTAGGACTCAATGTTGGTGCATGCCATCACCTTCATTGCCATCAGACCTTTCCTGGCTCTAACTATGACAATATCTTTGTGATTGTTGTGTGTGACAAGCATCTGTTCAAAAGTTATGCCAAGGTATTTAAAGGAAATGGCCATATGCCTAAAAATTATCATGACCAAGATGGAAAAAAAAAAATTCACTGGAAGCAGATACCAAATTTCATTATCAATTATGCATGTATCGAACCAGACTCAACTATGGAAATATTAAATTTCACTAAGTATAACCATTGTCATACTTCTCCCCCCCCCCCATTCCCCCACCCTTTTCCCACACCCAAAACCGGTGTACATACCTTCAATGAACTAACACCAACTTTTACCATTCCATGGAGGTCACTCTCTTTTATGTTCTAGTACTTATCTCTTCCAAAAATAAAAATATAAAGTACCTGTGGTTTCAGGTTTTTAACTGCTCTGTGGATTCTGTGGTCCAATTTTGAAGGTCAAAATAGATCCACTTTTCTCTACCAAGTATGTCATAAAAGGCCATTAGGTTTCTTACAGTCACATGCCTTGGGCTGAAAATATAGCTTTTGTAGCCTAGCTGTAAACAACAACATGCCAGTTTCACTTTTAAGGCAACCACAGAAAAAGGTTTTGTTCTCTGGGTTCTAGTGCAAGGAGATTCCAGATGCATCATCATTACGTTCCATTAACATGAGCCCTATCTGAAAACAGCATCTTTTCTTTCACTCTTGTGAAAGGAAATTTATTCATAAGAAAGAGTTAACTGGCTTAGTGTACCTGGAACATCATGGGAGTGGTGGCACTGGAGAAGTTGAAGCTCTTGCAGATATGTGTCTCAGGATCAAATCTAGCACAGTAACCTTGCACCATGACAGTCTTGGCTGTGCCCTTGAGGCATATGATTTATAAGCATATATAATTATTTATATATTTACGTTTTATATATATATATATATATATATATATATATATATATATATATATATATATATATATATATATATATATATATTTATATATATGTATATATATATATATATAAAAATATGTGTGTGTGTGTGTGTGTGCACACACTAAATAGGATACACACACAATAGTCTAATTAATAGTGCAATTTGAGCACACCCCCCCCCCTCTCCTCTTTCAGACCACCCCCTCCCCAACCCCTGAAGGATTTCTTTAAAAAATATCACATGGCAAAAGATTAAGAGGTACAAAAACACATAAAAACTCCAGATACAATCCCTCCTATCACATAACTGGGAGCAACCAGTATAGTCTTGACTAATCTACATCAAGTCCTAATTGAGGTATAAACATATTCAAGTGTCTTGATTTTCTTTAATGTATGTTGTGTGTGTGTGTGCACATAAGTGTGCTTGCATATGTGTGTGGGCAGATTCATGTGTGCTTGCATGCGTGTTTGTGTAGTCACCCCCCCCCCCCCTCTCCCTCTCTCTCCAAAATAGGGTGAAAAGGGGAGATGGCATGTAGAGAGGGGAATAGAACAGAATGCAATGATATTTTATTTGCCTTGAAATATTTTTAGAATGAAAAGACTTGGGGTGGGGGGGGGGGTGGGGTTGTTTATTGTTTATAGAATCCAGTGTTTAATATGGACAAAGCATTCCAAAGGTCAACTGCTTTAACTGTTGCAGATCTTGTAGAATGTCAGTATATTAGTTCATTTTATTTCAAAGCATCCAAAGGATTTTTATTTAACAATAATAAAGTTCACAAGCAGTATCTTTCTTGATCTGTGAGTGCAAAATGATTCATGATTTAATGGAAAAATTGATGCTCTACAAATTAAGATTAATTGTAATTTGTTTGATGATATTGTATCATTGGTTCTAAACATTTTTTTTTTTCTGTTACTACTGCAGTGCAATGCATGTTTTATTGATTTCTTTTAGACTATTACCCTTGTTTTTAAAAAAATGACAAACATCCTATATTCTTCCCTACATGGGACTACTTTGGCAAATGTCCTTTTTTTTCAACATATGATAAAATACACTGTTTAAGCGCATATAACAAACGATATGAATGCTATAATAAAAATATAATGTAAGCACTTGTTCTACAACATTCCCGCCTCCACTAATTTCTCTGGTTGGCCTTCTCTTTCCAGTTGGTGACAGCAAGTATTTGCAGGTCTGTCTGGACACTGTCTCCATTGTCTTCTTAGTCTGCCTCATGGTCTACAACCATTCAGCTCTCTTCTGTATACAGTTTATGCCTCTGTCATCTGACATTCTCTCAATGTTTGCATATGTTGCACATGTTTGCATCATTGATGCATCCAAAGATTTGTGGTAAGACTGTGAAAATGTGTAATACGGACGGCTTCATCCCTTTTAGTTGTGCTCCAAGTTTCAGAGCCATATAAAAGGACTGATCTTATCAACGTTTTATATATTTTGATCTTGGTGTTGCAAGATAGAGTACATTACAGTATATTACACACAAATGATAAATGTAAATAGTGATCTAGAAAATTACGGTGGTGTAGAGGTTAGCACTATGCTTGCCATAGTGTGTTCGGATGTTTAAATAGCCTCTGAGGAAGAAACTATTCTTCCAACTGAACCGCACTTCCTGATCTACCCAGTCTAAAATGGGCACTCAGGAAAATTTCCTAGGAAGTAGAAAAAACATATTGGTCACTGATTTATTCTTTCAATCCCAAATAACCCATCATACGTTCATAGGTTCCTACCTAGAAGCCTAATGAATGCAAGATGTGCTAGTTTTAGATTTTTTTTTTACACCCCTTGGGTCTCTGATGCAAAACCCCTTGGCACTGAAAGAGTTAAGTATTAATGTATCTAAAAATATGAGCTGATACCACATATTTAATACACCTCTATGGCTTAAAAAGGAGCCTTTTCTTGTTTAGATACCATCATATAACTGTGTAGACAGAAGAGGTCAGTGGTGCCCATATACTCTGACTGACCTGTTCACCAACAAGAAGAACTGCCTTGCCCTGTTTGGCTATTGTGGTGATAAGAAAGTCAGTCCTCACGTTGTCAACGTTTGGCACCAGGATGGATGTGTACTCAGGTGTACTGTCTGTAGGGTACTGGTATTCTGGAACCTGAGAAACATTTAAATGCTGCATTTTAGGCTTATGTTTGCATCATACATCTATATGGCCACTGCAATGTTATGTGTTATACGAGACACGCATATATGTACAGTTAAGCAGTGTTTTTGCATTTAAACTGCATATAAAAGTAAGCACACTAATTGTATGTGTATGTTTTTGTATGTGTGAATGTGGGCACATGCATGTATATGCGTGCACTAGTGACTGGCACCTTTTGGTCTTTCCAGACAAAAGTGTTATAAAGCGCTTTGAAGAGGCATGAGACTCACAGCCCATGGCGATGGCAAGTGTGACTAGCAAGACCCGCCCCTTGTTAAGAAAAGTCTTTCCACAATTATAGCATGGGATTTCAGGACCATTGTTGTCAACATTTGTGTTTAGTCTGTTTCTTCTCAGATGCTCAGCTTTCATCCTGTGCACCAATGAATTATAATAAATGAACTAAACTAGACTGCAACAAATGCACTGGTTTATTGCTACAAAAGAATGTGTAAATATTTGTGTGAATCCTACCCATACTGCTACATACCAATCGATTAGCTGATGCCGCTCCTCTGCGTAGTGAGCTACTTAATGATAAAGTGAATCTGGTGAATTATGTATGGGCTCAAATGGACAGTCTAATAGAACAGAGAATCCATACACTGAAAGACTAATTCCACAGGGATGTGTAGAGGTTCTGGAAGATATTCATCACTGAAGGGGATGCAGGGGTGGGCTTTTAATCAGGTTGCAACTGGTACTAAAACCATGTCGACTCTTTGTTGGCTACTGAAGAAGGGGACTGAGCAGGCGTGGGAATGTCCCAAGTGCAGTAAATTGAATTCATGATTCATTCATCTGCCCAGTGCGTATTGGTAACTGCATTATTATATTAATGAGTAATTTTACTTATCAATGACTGCAGTGGCTATAATAATACATACTGCTATTAATTAGTAACTGAATTCACCTATTAATAACTTCAGTAACTAAAATAACCAACACTGTTATATAAATCAATATTTATAACAGCTAGACCATTGCTAGCAGTAAGTTAAACAGGTTAGCAACAACTAGCAGTAGTAAACCAGTGAGTCAGGAAACAACCCCTACAACTGTTTCTCTTACCTTGGTCATCCATGTACCCAGTCTCCAGCCTGTCCAACTGCATATTCATAAATGGTATCATCACCAGTTAATTCAGGTAGGGGCAAGTCTGAGTTATCTAACAGCCATCCTTGTACCTGGTAAATAAAAAGTTTCGCAAGAAAATTGGTGTTACCTGTCTTCTTGTGTTCTTCCCATGTTATCTTTATATTTTCTAGAGTCCATTTGCCAATGTTCATTCTCATGCCTCTGCTAACTCTCAAAAGAACATTACCACACACACACACACAAATGTTTTACACAATTCTTTGACTGGTGATCGAACAGATATGTTGATGGTACCAATCCAGGAATACATAAGCAAATGCTCTATGGCCCAGTGCCATGTAGTGACAGAGCAATGGATTCATCAGCTCTTGTGTTATTTCATATAGAGCTCTTTTTATCTAGCTTTGATGGCAGCAACAATGCCCAGATATCTATAAGACTAAGTAAAGATGATGTTTGACAGTCACACAGTCATACACACGCACATCCCCGCACCCACAAATGCATGTGTACATAGGCACACACACACGGGGAGGCATGCATGCATGCACACACACACACACAGATATATATATATATATATATATATATTATATATATATATATATATATATATATATATATATATATATATATATATATATATATATATATGTTTACAAAGCAGACCATTGGAGTGTGCCACGGTTAGAGTTTGTTCAGGTACTTGTTAGAAGCTTCCATCTTGTATTTAGTTCTGACATTTTATTCTGGTACTTTCTTGTCAAGGAGCAGCTGGCCAAACAGCTGGAATGCTGGGCTCTCGTATGGAGGACCCAGGTTTAAATCCTCAGTAAGGTTGGATATTTTTTCTGTCGGAGGCAAAAATAAAATTCTGACCAGCACAATCCATTGCAACAGCGGCCATAGCCATGCAGACCCATAAGTCCCTAGACCCAAAGACCACACCCCCCCCCGTAAATCTGCATTTTTTTGTTCGTGTTGTTTTTTTCGCGCATTTTTTTTTTTGGGACCCCTAGCCTGGGAATATATATTTGAATGCATTTACCTTCTTTCTGTCTTCTAGCTCCAGCAAGGCACCAAGTGAAAACATCAAAGAAAAGACAATCAATCTTCTCAGGTGGTCACTATTGATCTCCTTGTGGTCATCTCCTTTGGGGATCAGCCCTTCTAGCAAGCTGATGGCTTGAAGTATATAGTTACACTCCAACACCTGGAGAGAGACAACTTGATTCAACAAAGTTGAAATTATAATAATAATATAATTAATATGTTATAAGAAAAATATCAATGATGGGTGACAGCAGCAACAAAAGTAACAACCAACACAAACACATGCAGTTACCTCCATCTTTGGTTGCAGGTTCTGGGTAACAAATGAGTACAAGTGTGGGAAGACAGCCTCAAAAGCTGAGTAGATGGTGTCTTGTTGTTGAGGTGGTCGCTTCAGGAGCCAGCCTGAAAATGTAAAGCAATGTATATATACTAAGGTAATGTTACATTTATGTCATCAACTCTAGCCATACCAGATTTGACTTGAAATGGTCCTAAAGTTACCATACTCTGCCTAAGAGACTTCAGTAACAAAGACTACAACTCTAGAATTAGTAAAATATATGGCTTGAAAACACTATTACCAGTACTGACTGGAAAAAAATTCTCAAGAAGTAGTTTGTTGAAAAAATAAAATGTTTTTAAACATATAAAACAAGAGGTACATGATGCTAGGATCATTTTATCAATTAGAACTGACATACAAAGAGTTGAATGATATTTATAATGCCAATTGCTTTCACACAAACAGATGCATTTTTGACTTTAGCCAATCTTGAGGAAAGGACACAAGCATAGAAATCACAATAATGCCCATTCTTTACTGTTTAACCCTACCAGACCGCTGGCCCGGTCTACCTGGAATTTCTTAACAAGTTTCTATACCGCTGGCCCTGCTTTTTGCAAAGTACAGGAAAACGATGCGTCACGGACTAAAAATAAGAACCCAATCATTATCAATCCTCTTTGTTAGACATTGCTTGCATGTGTGGATTATATTTGTGTTGTTTTATGTGGAAAAATTATGAATTCACAAATTCAGGGACTAATTTTCAACTTTTCACAGTCCAACAGGTGATCAAACGACTGGGGGACTAATATATATATATACCAATATATTCTAGGCTTTTCAATGTAGTCCATATATATATATATATATAGGTGATATTATATATATAAATATATGTATGTATGTATGTATATTCATTATCTGTAATAATTTCATAAAGAATACGTTCTTGAAAGTGACACTGTCAGTGAGAGCACATTTGATGAGGAAAACTAAAAGCCAATCTAGATGAGTGGGGGAAGGGGGTTGTGCACACAAGCATGTGAAATGGCGCTAGATGAAAGGTAAGCCTATTTTCTACAATGTCTCCAAGTTTCATCACATTCTAGCCACTCGTTAGCATGTAACTAATATTTTTGTACATCATGTTGGTTTTTTTTGTGTTAATGCCCAAGAGCTCAGGTTATAGGGACAGTTAGGTTCAGGGCCTCAGGTCTGGTAGGGTTAAGTCTGAAATAATCACTTCCCTGCTCTTCTCTGTTTGTTCTCAACTCTTCCTGGCCAAAGCCTTCAACATAGTGTTCAAAATGTGATATGCCTAAACATGCAAGCTTTCACCAGTGGCAAAAGTTTTTTTTTTTTTTTTTTGGCATCTATAACTATTTGTCTCTAACAAAGGCATATATAGTATGCATATTATATCATATGAATTCATGAACTGACAACAGTTTGCATCAACAGTTATAAGACAAAGAAGAGAGTTCTATATAGGGCACATCCAGAGAAAACAGAGAGCACAGAATCACCAAACAGGCAATAAAATTGGAAACAAATGGATTGGGGAAACAATGATGTCCAAAAGAAATATTAAAATGAATGTTGATGAGAGACGCCAAAGATAGATTCCATTCATGATATTGAAAAGAATTCACTAGACCTAAATGAGTGGATGAATAAACTGCAAGTCATGTGTCTCATTTCAAGGCACAACAAGATGGTGGTGATTGAGATACCATATGAGTATTTTTTCCAAGAGTTTTTATACACTCAGTTCTTTCTTTTCATACTTTGTCAGTTTAACATTCACATGTATAAAAAAAAATACTCTATAATAAGAACACTAGCACACAGATGTGTGGCAGAGTGCAAGATACCTTTGAGGATAGGATCCCAGTTAAGAATGGAGCTAGACATGAAGACCATGCCATTGCGGGACACTGTCGCAGGTGATGCATTGTCAATGTTATGCACCTCAAAGATAATTTTGCAGGTGGGAGCCATGGGAATACGGTCTCCATTAGCTAAAGTCAAGGTCTTGTTATCATCTAGAACAGAGTTGAGATTTTCAATCCAAATGGCATCGACAGGTCCGTCCAGTACCAGCCACACATGTTCTCCCTGGAAAAGACATATGTCTACTGATACATATTTTCCTTCTACCAACTAAACATGTTCTTGTAAAAAGTGTACACCTAAATCTGGTTATACAAGTATTATCATCTAACAATAATCACACACACATGATGACCAATGCACTCACACATGAGCAAATATATACATATTTGGGGTCGTCATTAGCTCAGTCCATAGGAGACTCACTTTCTAATACAGCTGCAACTCGCTGCAGCCCACCCCCGGTGTTGGAAACCAGGCGGTTCCCGGGGTTCACCCAGCCTTTAGGAAATGAGCATGAGAGTTAAAACTCTGGGGTAAATTGGGGAACGTCGCTGTAGCTACAGAGTTTCATGCAGACAGCGACACAGGTGAACAGTTTCTTATCAGTTGCCCGTACTGGTTCACATCTCCTGATTTTACCTTTACCTTTAATAATCACATATTTGATGCCTAGAATAGGATTATAGATAAATCAAGTTAATTAAAATTTAATATTAGCCACACATGTTTTCCTGAGAATATGTACATAGTTAAATCTAGTATCACTATTATCTAAAACTAATCATACATTTTCTCTCTAGAACAGACTTACAATGAACAGAATTATAGGATTACAGTATCACTAAATAATATTCATACAGGCTCTTTCTAGAAAAGGTACACAGACAAATTCCTTAAATGTACTAATAGAAAGTGAAGAAACATTTCCTTTATTGAGCATGATATGCTGTTGATTTCAAACAACAGATTAATCTGAATAATAAAAACACAAACACATAGCATAATTCAAATATTTCATTAAGTGCACATAACAGAGCAAGTTAATATAGAATTAATAACAGCAACTGAGCAACTGAAATATTTATGACACATAACCCATTTTTTCAGTGTCAGTGTTACCATGGTAGTTGGCTGGTCATCAACTGTTACTGTCTATACAGTGAGGAACTAGATACTTGTATATTGTGTTTTAGCTTCTGATTTCATCATTTAAGAATTTATTTACACATGTTAACTTCAACTTTGTTCCCAGTATAACACAGGAAATTATGCACTTCTTTACCTCAGAGACCAATGCACTTTACCGGAGCATGCATTTTTTTCAAATCTACATTCACTCGACAGATGTCATCCAAAAGCAATGGACAAAATCTACCTATGTATGTCATTTTTCTCTAACAATTGTACTATGATAATTAACTTACTGCCTACTTTTTGCAATTTCTTACTGCTTAGGCATTGTTATGGTGTACAACTTATGCATAGGTCGTCCTGAAAACCTTATCAGAGAAGATCAGATATGTAATCTCACTAGTCAAAAGACCTGTATTGTCACACTCAACAGGCAATGTAGAGAAGAGAATCCTGTTGCTGTTAATGCAGAGGTCAACGCTCTCATCGGTGAAAATTCAGACGAAGCAGATGCAATAATCTATACAGACGGATCCGTTATACGCCAAAGAAGAAGCGCATGGGCATTTACAGCACGCTCAGCAGGCAGAACAGTTAAAGAAGCCAACGGCGCCTTCTCCATGACAACCAGCAGCATGACGATGGAGGTGATGGCAGTGACGCAAGCGCTTGCCTGGCTTGAAACACAAAAATACACCCGCGTGTGTATACTCAGTGTGACAAAACAACGGAATATTTCAGTCCGGCAAGAGTTAATTGCATTTTTTTAGTTAAAAGAATTGCGCACGTAAAATAAACATAGTTGAACATAGACGCGATAAGAATAAAAATTGTACGAAGGCGCACATAAATTATGACGTTAGTAGTGTTACTAGGAGAAATCCTTAGAGCTAGATTCGTGACAACAACACAGAACGAATGCCCAGCCACATCATCGGCCTAACCCCAAGAAAACAAATATAATATACAAATTCAGGTGAGATTTATAATGGTAGGGAGTAGCTGAGATCCCCTATAAGCCTTAGCTGTATCCTAAAATATGTTATCGAGATCCTACTATTCCATATTCTACAATTGTATAAATAGTCCATGACTTCATCAACCTTGATACTTGTCCGTTGGACAATTCACTAGTCCTTACCTATTATGACGTTCTTAAAGTTATTATTCACCGTTAGGACTATGCCATAGCGAACTCTCCTTCCCTCTGTCATCTTTCCAGAAAATATTCATTTAGTTTTTTTGCGTAAAGATCTTACAGTATAAACCATCATCCTGTGCCATGTGGTATCATCAGTTGGGTATACATTACATTGCTTATGTTTGTTATATTATGCAACATATAATTTGAGTAAAAGTCGTCAGCTCTGTGGGCAAATAGGGTTGGCCTATGTTTTATAGACCAAGTGGTACCAGGGTGTTGATGTGGTTAACATCACACCTGCCGCCTTTGCTCCCCATTACTATACCTGGTGTCCGTTCAAGGCGAAGTCGACCTGGGTCTATTGGGACCTGAACTAATGACTGTCCAATTCACCGGCGAGTGTGTGTCCACTTAACTATGTCAAGTTTCTTATGATCGTGCAATAATTTAGATATGTATAAAACAATATATTATAACCGGGTGGGGAGATGTATTAGTGAGAAAGACAAAACATGAACCATGCTCTTTCCTTTATTACTCTGAAAAACACCACGAACACCGCAACACCTCCACCTGCCCCAGATGTGTCGACATAATGCTCAACACAGGGCTGAATGATGTATTCCTCAGGTTCCCGTGTTCCCGTTTTCCTGTATGCCTGTTACCTGTGGATCGTGAGCCGCCATTCCTGTTACCTTGTGAATTGGGAACCACACTGTATAGAATGGACAACCGAGATTCACGGATGAATGTCGCAGTTAGGCGAGGACTATAACAGTCGCAGACAGAGCTTTGTACATTCCTCCCAGAGAAGCTGCAGTTGGACACATCCCGTATATCGTAAAGCTGAGTTAGTTAGTTAGTTAGTTAGTTAGTTAGTTAGTTAGTTGGGTTATCATCATTGCACTCCGGACATGTCCATAGGTGCTCAGATCCTCCCCTCAGTATGAACCCCAACGTCCGATGGCTAATAGTACCAGTTCTATGTTGATTAACAAGTCTTCTGACGTGTCCAATGTGCGTCTCGTTTTTTGCTGTGCCGATCTTAATTCCCAAGTCTGCCATTCTTTCGAGTGATGTGGATTCACTGCCACCAAAGTCCTCTGTCCTTCCCATTTCTCTGAGGGCATTGATAATATCAGCATGATCCATAGGCCGACCGTCGGTAGTGATAGCTGATCCAGCCAACCTGTCAGCTCTTTCATTTCCATCGACGCCTGCGTGTCCCAGAACAAAAATAAAGGTGACTCCTCGCACAGTGGACTTCTGAATTGATTCAAGCCATTGTCTTCACACTGAACCTGCCTGAACCCTCCGGATCATACTCATTGAATCACTGAGTATACATATGCGGGTGTATTTTTGTGTTTCAAGCCTGGCAAATGCTTGCCTCACTGCCATCGCCTCCATCGTCATGCTGCTGGTTGTCATGGAGAAGGCGCCGTTGGCTTCTTTGACTGTTCTGCCCGCTGAGCATGCTGTAAATGCCCATGCGCTTCTTCTTTGGCGTATAACAGATCCGTCTGTATAGATTAGTGCATCTGCTTCGTCTGAATTTTCACCGATGAGAGCGTTGACCTCTGCATTAACAGCAACAGGATTCTCTTCTCTACATCGCCTGTTGAGTGTAACAATACAGGAAAATGTACAAATAAACGCCTGAGGCACAGGTATCCATTCTGCACCAGGTATGATGTCGGTTAGGCTGCATATTTGCCTAATAACATCTTCTGCTCGACCAAGCCACGATTTCCCCCTCTTCAGTCTGTCGCCCTTTTCACTAAAAAGTGCCTGATGCAGTGGGTGTTTCTTATCAGCACATATTTTGAGGTATGCCCGAGCCCTCCACATTCTGATCCTTTGGTTCATTGTTGGAAAGTCAAGTAGATACCTCATTGCTCCACAGGATGTGTCTCTTGTACATCCCAAAAAAGCTGAGTGTTATTGACTATTTGTGAAAATTTGTGGTGTAATGATGAACTAGTAATTGTTTCTTTTGTTTCTTAATTTAAAATTGTTAAAATTCCTAACAATATTTATCAATACAGTTGTTGTTTAGAAACTCCCTTATCGATTTGATCCTATCAAATTTAACTTCTTAGGTAGACTAAAGATTGTTCATTGAAGTTGATTTGAGTTAAATTTATAAAGTATTGACCTTTGGTTTGTTTCTGAATTTCTTTAAGAAATTTCCGGGGATTCACCCTATTTATTTAACTTTCTGTATTTTCCTTCCTTTATTTTCCAGAACTTAGGGACCGTTATAATTCCCCTAGACTTATTTAATTCGAGCCTTGTAAGTTATTTGGAAGGATATAGGGGATCTCCAGGCGACGATAAATTCCGCCAAAATAGTTTACTACACTCAGTGATTCAATGAGTATGATCCGGAGGGTTCAGGCAGGTTCAGTGCGAAGACAATGGCTTGAATCATTACAGAAGTCCACTGTGCGTGGAGTCACCTTTATTTTTGTTCCGGGATACGCAGGCGTCGATGGAAATGAAAGAGCTGACAGGTTGGCTGGATCCGCTATCACTACCGACGGTCAGCCTATGGATCATGCTGATATTATCAATGCCCTCAACGAACACCAGACACGCTAGAAGACTTGTTAATCAACATAGAACTGGTACTATTAGCCATCGGACTTTGGGGTTCATACTGAGGGGAGGATCTGAGCACCTATGGACATGTCCGGAGTGCAATGAGGATAACCCAACTAACTAACTAACTAACTAACTAACTAACTAACTAGTCAAAAGAACAGGGCATGTGTCATTAGAAACTAATGGGTTATGCAAAAATCCTCAAGCTGGCAGTGAAACAAATTTAACAGGTTTGCAAGCAAAATCGTGGCAGCAAATAAAAATCCCTGTGTCAGGAGTGAATAAAACTGACTAAAGCACACACACACATATACAAATTATGTGTGCTTTAGTCAGTATTGTTTGTTTTTTGGCATTCTTAAGAATACCTCAGTTCTTGCGGACACTGCTGTTGCTCTAGTTGGTCCAGTACTGCATGGAAGTGATGTTATCAATGCCATGCGCAGCACTTACTGTGACAATGAGCACGCAAAAAGGCATAACTCTGTATCCCTGTCTAGGCTGATGGACATGGGGGTGCAGCCTGGAGCTGCAAGAAATGAACATTCCACAAGGGGACAAGACATTTTATTACCCAACATAGAACAGGCATCATCAGTCGTTTTACACTTGTGGAGCTTCGGAGAAGGAGATCAGAGCAAATATTGATCTGTCCGGAGTACTATGATGATATTCCCTACTAATCATTCATGCAAAGGACTTGCTACTGAATGAATGAATGAAATGAATAAATGAATGAATTAATTAATAATTAATTAATCACTAATCACCTCTGCTCTGTAAGGAAACTACATTTCCATGATAGCAGCAATAATGATTAAAAAAAATAACAAAAAGAGTGACTAACCTTCTTTGCTTTATGGGTTCTCCTCCAGAGGGTGGAAAAGATGCCATCAGTCCAGTCATTTGTAGCCACATCCAGACGACCAAACATCTGAGGAGCTGTGATTGCTTTAGGGTTCATCCTCATCTCTTTATGGGCTGTGCCACATTCAGTCATGGCTTTCATCAGTGTATGGATACAGCAAGTTTTACCTGCCCCACTTGGACCCAGTGTCATCATGCCATGTCGGACACGCTGGGTCTCATACAGTTGGATTAGCTTTAGAATCCATGGGTCATGGTTGATGAGTCCTGCTTCAGTCACCTAAAGAATTCATGTACAGGTTTGAGTGATGAACATACAGTATTTCTGCTTCTTATGTTCAATCTAATTGGACAATGTTTAAAAGATTTCTCTCCACACCATAAACTTATTTTCTTTGGTCCATATTTCTAAGCACACACCCAAAAAATATTTCTCTAATCACTGTTAGCTTGTATTCCTCTGTTTTATTTCTGCAAACCTATATTTCTCCACACATTATAAATCTATATTCTGCCACACACTATAAATGGAAATTTCGCCTTACATTAAAAACCTATATTAACCCATATCTCACAAGCAAATAGTGGCTAATTACGAGAGAATCATGTCATATATATTTGTAATGACATGTTGTGGAGGCAGTTATGTTTAACCTCAAATGTTATCTCAATTTAAACATAGATTTGACTATTGACTGCCTTTCAGTTCACTGTTTCCTAATCCTTCATTAAACATGGACAGTAGAATGTGCTGGCCACTGACAACAGGGAGAATAGAATGTGCTGGCCGCTCACAATGCGGAGTATAGAATGTTTATAGAGTTCAAAATAACAAAACATGACACCCCTAGAACATAGGATAGCTTGTGGGAAATCTTGTGACTGGCGAGATGGGGTGAGTTTCCAGATATGTACTGAGGTAATATGAAAACTAAGAAGGAAAACATGGTCAGACAGAAAACAAAAATTTTAAACATAACGAATTTGAAATCTGCGTGTACCTTTCTCTCAATGGCTGCTTCAATGTCTGGGTATCCTGCTTTGTCCAGTGTCATCCCAGGAAACAGGTCTTCAATCAAGGACATAAACAGTGGCTCATCTTCATCCACCAATTTAGAAAGGTTCATGTCTCGCAGGACACGCATGACAATCATGGGCTCACCATCTTCAGGGTTGGCTCGCTTGAAGGCCCCAAGAGTTCTCAGCACAGATAGGATGTTACGTAGACCAAAGTCATAATGAACCTAATCAAAGATAGAAATGCCTTACTGCAGGTTTAGTTGCATATAACACAAATATATATTTCAATGTCCTAAACAATAGGGAAACCTTGGTATTGTGGTGGCTTTAGGCCGCTCTTGGATGGCAAAGGCTGAGGATTTAATCCAGCAGGTATGTGACCTAGACGTGATCAGCCACGGAAAAGAATGGACGAATACACCAGTAGACATGCATGGCATCTCTGAGGTTGTCATCACACTTGGAAGGTACTGCAGGGATCAAATTCCTGCGGCCGTAGACACAGAAGTAAGGGAACTGATAGATCAGCATTTAGACCCAGAAGATACCCTCATCTACACACATGGATCCGTGAAGCGAGGATCAAGGTCAGCATGGTCATACACAGCGCAAAGAAAGGGGAAAACAATACATGAGGACTGCGGCGCTTACCAGACAACCACGTCAAGCATGACAATGGAAATAGCCGCTGCTTCTAAAGCTTTAGCATGGGTATCCGAGCAAACCGCCACACAGGTAGTAATTGTCACAGACTCAATGAATATGCTACAGAAGATAGCAACAGGCAGTATACGCTCTGAATAGATAGAAAGCATTCGGAAATCTCACTTAACCTCCGTAACCTGGATCTACACACCGGGTCATGCGGGCGTGAACGAAAATGAGCGAGCAGACCAACTGGCAAGCACTGCACTAATGATTGCAGGAAAAAGTATGGACAGAGCAGATATAGTCAACCCTGTACGAACTGGGCTAGTGGAGAATGAGGAATCTCTGACACTAAAACGATTGCGTGACGTGGGAGTTAAGCATGGTGATGCACATTTTTGCCGTCTTCGAGGCTATTAAAGGAGACACTATAACCAGCTTTTTATGGGGACAATTAGTAGAAGTACTTTGGAGTGGCTGCTGCTTCAGAGAACTGAGCACGCATGGGTATGACCAATGTGCAGTGACATCAGTTGTGATAACAAAACATAAAATAACATCTTAGTAGGGAGTCGGCAGTCCGAAAACCAAGTTCAAGGTGTCTCCTTCGTGCCAAAGAACTGCACGGCTGTTGGGTGAACAGTCGTTAATGATGGCAGGCAGATTGTTGTAAGGGCGACGGCTGCTGGTGGATTTAATGTCCTAAGTCCCTTCCCCAGCTAATAATGAGGGTACTGCTGGGGTGGCCGTGGCAAATGTTTTTTTTTTTTTCTGCCAGACGGTGGCCGTTGCTTTTTTGCTTCATTTGTAGACTGGAAGGATGTAGTTTTCGTCGCCCAGCTTCTGAGTTGAGTGCATGGCGTAACACTGTGAGCTGCTTTTGTTTTTTTGTTGGCACAGGAGCGGAGCAACTGTGGGGTGACCCGTTTGCTATGAAGCTGAAACTAGGATAACCAGATTACCGGATTACCTGGTGATTATAGCTTTGTTGTTGTTGTTATCATTGTTTTTTTTTTTTTCCAGGACTACAATGTCAATTAAATCTTACGTGAGTATCAGAAGTGAGAACGAACGAACGAACAAACTTTATTTTCAAAGGGTTAAGAATTGGGCACGCAGGCCCGTCTAACATTCTGCCCTTCCACTCCGCTCCTTTCATACAATGTTTCATTTTTACCTCATTTCATAGTTAATAATATTAATAATAATTAATAATTAATAGAGAGAAGATTCTAGATGGTTTGTTTTTGTTTTTTAAAGGCATAGTCAGATTCAGTTGAGAAACATTGCTGTCTTAATGACTGTCTCTCATAAAGCCTTTAGACAGTATGTAAAGGTAAGTAAAGGACCCTTTTCCCTGCCTTCGGATGTATTGGGCAAATAGGGCTAGATCTATATTTTTATACCAATTAGCACACAGTGGGTGATGTGGTCAACATCCTGCCAGCCTCTTTACTTCCCATGTTTTTACCTTGGTACCCATTTAAGGCTGTGCTGATCTGTGAGCTTAAGTCATTTCTTTTAGAGAGCGTAAGTTATTAACTAAGAATAATACAGCTTGTGAAGAGTATAACTAACTATAGCTCACTAAGCTTACATAATGTATTAACTTTCTAATAAAGGCAATAACTGACAAGTGAAGCTGTTTTTACGGTTCATAAATGTCCCTCACAAAGGAAATTTAGAGTTTGAGAGTATACACAGCTATGCCTCACACACAGCATAAATGATAAAGAAAAAAAAAAAACAGTTTTGACAACCGTCTTTTCCTCACATTCTCTGTGTGTCAGTGACTCTAGCTGTTTTGACAGTTCCTAACTGTCCCTCACAAAGGAAATTTAGAGTTTAAGAGTATACACAACTAGGCCTCACACACAGCATAAATGATAAACATAAAGACAAAAACAAAAACAGTTTTGACAACCGTCTTTTCCTCACATTCTCTGTGTGTCAGTGACTCTACACATCCTTTCTCTCTCTCTCACATGTGTACATACTGTTTAAGGAGTAGCCTATTATTCTTTGGAACACACGAACATGAATTAACTAACAATCCCACCTGTTTTGACAGCTGTTCCTCACAAAGCTTGTACAGGGTATAGAACTTCTTTGCAAGGACAATGTTTTGCAGGAAGCCACAGCTAGCTAGCTTAACACGGATGATGATTGCTCTATCAGGCACCATCATGGCCACAGTTCGGAAGTTTATCTTCAGATTTTCTGGCAGTTCTTGGCGGCCCGCATAACCAGGGTTCTGTACAACAACAACAAACCAGATTCCTCAGGTTACAATAAGTTATAGTCATATGGCACAAAGTTGATACCAATTATAGCATGCTTACTTTTGAATTGTGTAAATTTTGTTGTTATAAAGAATGAAAAAAATTAAATTTGTTAGGCTTTCAGACAGTGGTAGAGGAGTTGCAACATAGAAGAGATTAGGCCCCCAGCATATAATATTCTCATAATTAGCAGTGGACACAGTGCCACCAACATCATTGTGGACATGGCATTTTTTTTTTTTTTTCAGTAGGGGTCATGTGCATGTGTAATGTGAGTTTATGTTAGTGAACAATGATTCAGGTCTCTGCATGTGTGTGGTATATTTTAGTGAACAATGATTCAGGTCTGTGCATGTGTGTGGTTTATGTTAGTGAGCAATGATTCAGGTCTGTGCATGTGTGTGGTATATTTTAGTGAACAATGATTCAGGTCTGTGCATGTGTGTGGTTTATGTTAGTGAGCAATGACTCAGGTCTGTGCATGTGTGTGGTTTATGTTAGTGAGCAATGATTCAGGTCTGTGCATGTGTGTGGTTTATGTTAGTGAGCAATGATTCAGGTCTGTGCATGTGTGTGGTTTATGTTATAGAACAAGGATTTAGGTCTGTGCATGTGTGTAGTTTATATTAGTGAGCAATGATTCAGGTCTGTGCATCTGTGTGGTTTATGTTAGTGAGCAATGATTCAGGTCTGTGCATGTGTGTGGTTTATGTTAGTGAGCAATGATATCAGTCAGTATTGTGTAAAACAAACCCCTATATGTCAGGAACTGGATTGTGAAATAATGTCCCTAACTTCTAAGCCACCGGGCTGCACTAACATTCCCTAGACTAACTGTCAGATTTCTGGCTGAGCCTATATCAGATGTTGCATGTAAATCAAATTAATATTACGGACGACTGGTGGTGTGGTGGTGGGCGGGGGGAGGATGGGTAAAGGAGGGTAATACAGTGTAACAAAAATTTTTTTTTGCCTAATTACCTGTGAGTTGGTGCTTCATTTTAGTGATTATGCAGTATTGCACTCGGCAAGATACATCAACGCATGGCAAGGAATAGGTTGTGCAATACCTTGTTTGTGTCCTCATTAGTAAACTTTTTATAAAGGACTTCAAACATGTAATACATTTTTTAACATGAGTTCTGTGTCTGTGAGATTTCCTGCTAGCAAGTTAAGTGTTTATGGTCAATTAGGGAGGACTGTTTATAAGTATTTCATAAAACATAGTTTATAATTGACTGTTTAGAATTTGTACACATTTAGACAGAACCAAGCATGAAAGCCACTTACCATGGTGAGAAAGAGCCCAAATTCTGGATCCAGGTTGACAGTATCACCGTCTGTGAATATGAACTGACTCTTTCTATCTTTCTTACATTGCAGAACTATGGCAATCTGCTGGGCAGCTACTGACAGGACAGGCAACTCAATACGGTTGAATTCATCGAAGCAGCCCCAGGAACCTGACTGTGCCAGACCTGGCAAGACATTATGTATATATATATGTGTGTGTGTGTGTGTGTGTATGCATGTATGTGTGTATGCGTGTATATATATATATATTTATGTGTGTATGTATGTATGTATGTGTGTATATATATATATATATATATATATATATATATATATATATATATATATATATATATATATGTATATATATATATATATATATATATATATATGTGTGTGCGTGCATGAGTGTGTGTGTGTGTGTGCGTTTGTTTGTCTGTGTGTGTGTGTGTACACACACATACATACACATAAATTATGTGCATATTGTGTTTGTATATGCATGCGTGCATGTGCGTGTGTGCATGCGCAATCATGAGTGCATTAAAGGGTATATTTCTTTGTGTATTTGTGATTTATGCTTGGAAGCACTTCAAATTAATAAAAACATAACTCAAACTTCCAATTACATACATCAAATTTATGAACATGAATGCCTGAGACTAACCACAAACACAGCTCAAAACCTCCAAACATAAACATGTGATTTACACATTGTATCACAAGAGATTAACCACAAATACAACTCAACTCAAACCTCACTTCCCACTAACAAACCTTTGTAAATCCTGCCAAGACCCCTGTAGTCCATCTGGTCAGAGCAGTTGAAGACCACGACATACTTGCCCAAACAACGACCCATGTCCTTGGTGGTTTCAGTTTTCCCTGTGCCTGCAGGGCCAGCTGGGGCTCCACCCAAGGACATGCCCAGTGCCTGAGCTAGGGTTATGTAGCACCTAGTAAATATTCATGCAATTTTGAGATTTCAAAGATTTATATACTAAACAATTTGTGAAAAATAATTTTAGCAAATTTCCACACAACTTTTTAATTCCCTTTATCTGCAGCAGCAACAACAGCAGTAGCAGCATTAGTAGCTGTTTTAGTGAAATAGTATATGTAGTAGTAGTTGTCATAGTAACAACTGTTGTTGCTATATGTACAGATGAAATAGTCATTTCTCCGTTTCTTCATCCTATCTCTGTAGAACTAAGTTGCCATGGTTTTGGACAAAGTACAGCCATATCAGTTCCCCCATGCATCCCACAAGCTTGGCCAAATATGACAACTAGTATTGTAGTCTAACATAAACAATGTTTAAATAGTGAACAATGTGGAAGGACATTTGGATCATCATGGTCCTAAGAGAATGGCGCTGCGGGGAGTGACCAGGGGATCGGCTCGACAATAAGCATTCAAGGGAGAGGTTAGACAGATATAGAATCATACTGCTATTTGTACCACTGCAATTGAAACTCTGTGCTTGCTGCTGAAGATGGGGCACGGAGTGCTTATGGGAATGTCCTGAGTGCTGTAATGTCAATTTTAATAAAACTTTACATTTAAAAAATAGGAAAATTTTTCCTTAACAAAATACATTTTCTTATTTGATTTTCAACCATACAATCAAATATCTGTCCCTGGTGTAATACAAAATGTCACCTATCTGTCAGTGTTGTAATGAAAACATTTATCTGTCAGTCAATCAGTGGTGTAATGACTCTCTTACTTGTCAATCAGTCAGTGATGCAGTCAGCCATGTCTTTCCTGTTAATCAACTGGTGGTGTAATGAGGGATATCTCACCTGTCTGTCAGTGGTGTAATGACAAGCCTGTCAGTGCAGCCAAGGAACTCCATCATGTAAGTAAAGTTGACATCCGTGATGGAAATGATGCAGCTGTCAATGTCTTCTTTATAGTAGAAACGAGACTGCTTCAGCCACTCAAAGTCACTGACTGACTTTACATGCAGTTTCACCTGTAGTGATTCAAGATGTCGGACTATCAAACTGTGCCGACTTACAAACAATTCATAACTCTTTCATGGTACTTTTTCTTTGCTCCTTTTTTTAAAAAAATGTTCTTTTATGCTTTTTTTTTTTAATTCTTCACAATGATTAAAATTTGTGTGTATATTATTTTACAAAATAACTGAATGAGTGGTATACTCTCTCCTCATTCTGCACATATACATGTATGAAATACACATACATGCATGCACGCACACACACACACAAACACACACACAACAACAACTGCTACTGACCAGGTCATCAAAGATGTCTTTCTGGTGGACATGAATTGTGATAAGAGTCTCATATTTGGTCCTCTCCATCTTGGTCAAGTCCTTGGTAGTCTGGTCAATGAGAAGGTTCAGCATGGACAGGAACTTCTGGTTGGTGTTGGCCATGATCTTCTTGTCTGTTCTGGCACTGGTAAGTGCTTCCTCAGCATCCCGAGTCCAAATCATCTGGATGCCCAGAAGCCCAACCTGGACTCAGATAATGGACACAAGAATCAAGAAAGTGTGTGTCAACAATGTTGAAACCTGTTTTCATTGTTCTATTTTGACAGCGGACAGCATCAATCATGAATGATTGGCCCACAGAGACAAAGGTGTAATAATATGAGGCTATAACCATATACCCATTATGCACCAAGGTATGAACATTTGTCCTTTATCTTGACTACATTTTACACCTATAAGATATTCCGTCCTCTACAATCCCTCCCCCTTTTTCCCCCAAATGTATACCAATGGTTTAAAAATAAAGACTCCTGAACACTGACTGTAACTTTATATGTGATACTAAACATTGCCAACTGACCTAAATATGTACATCAATATGTTCATTTCTCATAACTCTAAGGCTTTAATAAAGTGCACAATGCTGCAAGAAGAATGTATTGCTATCAATAACTAGAGTGGCAAATGTGAATTGTGATGATGAGGAGATAAAATAAATGTGCAGTTACCTGTGATGGAAATGTGTTCTCAAATTCCAGCAGACTGAAGCTCTGGTCTTGTATGGCCAGTGAAGCCATTCTGATGATGCTGTGCAGGGACTGCCTTCCAATCTTCAGCAGATCTCCAAGCCAAATTTCAACATTGCCCTGCCATAACAGTTTATTGTGCAAATCATGATGGCTTAAAGATTGTATGTATACATGTATCTAGTTACACATAAACACAATAAAAATCAGACTACACATATGTGTACATAACTACAGAAATAATTTGTGTTTAGGCATGTGACTGTGTCTTTCACATGAAGTAGAGAAAGTTAGATGGCTATAACATGATTTATTTGTATGAATATACCAGGTGCATGCTTACTTGAGTGAATGTGACTGTCATGTCTGGTTTTTAGATGAGGGAAGTGACAACTGTAAAAGGTACAAGCCTATATGAAGATGTCTATTACTCAAATTTACCTGAGCCATAACAGGTTCATCCAAGTCAATCTTTTCACCTTCCTGTGAGTTGATGGCCAGAATCTTGTCATAGACCTTCTCATCAAAGCTCACCCATTTGGTGTTATCAAACACACTCAACAGATGGTTCTGCAAACAAACAAAATCTCAATCGTCAATTCATCTTTATGTGGATCGGGCCGTGACCAACAGTATCTGTCTCCTTTTCCATCTGGAGGGGGTGGGGTGGGAGGTGTTGGGGGGGGGGGGGGGGGGGGGAGGGGGGGTTGTTTAGCTATAAGCCCATCTAACATAATGTAAATTTGTAATATATCTTCTGTATACAAAAAGCACACTCAATATATCTACAATGTAAGCATTATCTCTCAGTTCAAGGAAGTATCTACGATAATGTAATAGATTTTTGTATGACTTCCTAAGATATACTGGTACCTGCTACATGGTATTTCATGAAATTCCTACCCTGACTTGTGAAGATATCTGACTGAGTGACCTAGTCCTTCCTTTTTTGCACTGATACATAGGGGTATTATGTGGTCTTGTTCTGTCTAATAAACCCTTGCACAAATTTCCCCGAATAAAAATTCGCAAGAAAACAACCATAAGAGATTACAAATAACCATAGAAATGAAACATCAAATCAATGAAAAGCGAGAACAAGGTGTAAACGTGGCATACAATTGGTTTACATCAACGATTTGCACTATCCTCAAGAACAAGGACAAGATTAAGGAGATAGATGCTTCACAGGGAGTAACAAGAATATCTGCACAGTGGTTACGTATTCTCGATGATGTTGAAAGGTTGCTTCTCATATGGATAAATTAAAAGCAATTGCAAGGTGACACTGTTAACGAGAACATCATTTGTGAGAAGGCGAAAATGATTTTCGCCGAACTCGTTAAGAAGCGCTTAAGAAGTGGATGTATTGTCTTAAGTCCCTTCCCCAGCTAATAGTGGGGGTACTGCTAGGGTGACCCTTTATTAACCCTCACATAATGCTTCATGTCAAAATGGACGCTAGGCATGACTTTTTTTTTTTTTTTAGCCATGGCAAATGTTTTTTTCTTTGCTTCTGCCAGGCGGTGGCCGTCACATTTTTGCTCCATTTGTAGACTGGAAGGATATAGTTTCCTCGACCAGGCTTCTGAGTTGAGTGTATGGTGTGACACTGTAAGCTACGTGTGTTTTTCTTTGGCACAGGAGCGGAGCAACTATGGGGTGACACGTTTACTATGAAGCTGAAACTAGGATTACCAGATTACCAGAAGAAGCGCTTATGGGAATGCCCCGAGTGCTGTGATGTCGGTTATTGAATCAAATCAAATCAAATCAAATCGTTAAGAAGACACTGGATCATCAACGGCCAAAGAAGAAGTATTTAAGGGAAGCCGTGGGTGTTTCGAGAAGTTTAAGAAAAGAACCGGCATCCACAGCGTTGTGAGGCATGGTGAAGCAGCAAGTTCCGACACAAAAGCAGCAGAGAACTTCATCAGCGATTTTGAGAAGCTCGTAGATTCTGAAGGTTACTTCCTGCAACAGGTTCTTAATTCTGACGAAAACAGGTCTATTCTGGAAAAAAGATGAAGCAAACAAATATAACAGCAGAGGAGAATGCATTGCCCGTCCACAAGTCAAAGACCGTCTCACTATTTTGTGCCAATGCAAGCGGAGATTTGAAAATTAAACTGCAGCTTGTTAACCATTCAGGAACTCCACGAGCCTTCAGTAAATGCAAAATCCAGAAGAGCAGAATAAATGTGATGTGGAGATCCAACAGGAATGCTTGGGTGACACGTGACCTTTTTACTGAGTGGATCAAGGAAGTGTTTGGTCCTTCTGTGAACAAATATTTGATTTAGATAAATCTGCCACTCCATGTCTTGCTTGTTATGGATATCGCTCCTGCCCATCCTCCAGGCCTACAAGATGACCTCCCTGAAGAATTTAAATTCACCAAGATCCAGTTTCTGCCTCCCATCATCACTCCGTTACTCCAGCACATGGACCAGCAAGTTATTTCTAACTTTAAGAAGCTCTACTTTAAAGCACTCTTCGAGCATTGTTTTCAGGTGACTTTAGGGACCAACCTCACTCTCAGAGAGTTTTGGAAAAATCAAGTTTACATCGTTGCCTGCCTCAAGATAATCGACAAGGCTATGGAAGGGGTTACCAAGAGAACCCTAACTTCTGCTTGGAAGAAGCTTTGGCCGGAGAGCGTTGTCAAATGTGACTTTGAGGGGTTCGAGACAGTACCTGTGGAACCTGTAGTCAACGAGATTGTGTCTTTGGCCACTATCATGGGATTGGAGGTGATATCGAACAGCTTGTGGAATAGCTCAGCCAAGAGCTGACCACCGAAGAGCTTATGAAGTTGCATTGTGTTTCACAGCAAGAAGTTTTGGAGGAAAGTGTGTCAGAGGAGGAGGGGGAGGTAACAGAAAAGCAACAATCTTCTGGCGAAGTAAGAGAAATGCTGAAAGCATGGGAAACTGTTGCATCTTACATTAAGAAGCATCACCCTAATAAGGAAGTGGCTATGCAAACTGCAAATTCATTTAATGATAATGCTGTGTCGCATTTTTGCCAAATTTTTAACAGTCGGCAAAAACAAATGTCTCTGGACATCTTTCTAGTAAAAAATAATTAGGTATGCATCATAATTATTTCAAATTTTTTTTTCTGCGAGTTGAATTCGCATTCCAGGTGGGTTTGTTCCGCGGTGGAAGAAAAGTTGAAGATGATTCACTCTCCTTATCAATATGTAGATAATTTTCTTTGAATAAACGTTATACATAACATTTTGCAAGAATTTTTTCGACATGGAACGCATTATCGTATTTTACAATAATGTATATGAGTAAAATTGTTTCGCATAACGAGTGTTTTGCTTAACGAGTATGATTCTTGAACAAATTATGCTCGTTAAGCGAGGTTCCACTGTATCTGGAAATTGTGTGGAAAGAAATAGTGAATATGGAAGGAAACTGAGCCTCTTACTCAAGGTATGGCATAGAACAGGGGAAGGCTTGACACGTCAGACTTAATGAGAGTGCCTGCTATAAGATTACCACTACCTCACTGTGCTAGCCGGAAGACAAACCTCAGCTTACCTGGATAGTGTGTGAGTCGCTGGCCTGACCCAGAATCTCCAGCAGGGCAGGATCAGACACAAAGAAGAACCTGGGGAACAGCAGCCGTTTCTTCTCCAGGTAGCCAGTGAGGGACTTCTGGCAGATCTCCAGCTGCTCCACAGGTGAGGTAACAGCTGGCTCAGAGTGTCATCTCCCACACAGCAGGATACAACATTGGAGTTCTCATGAGCTCGCTGCATGATTTTCTGCCAGGACTTGTCAATGTTGCTGAATCTTTTAGCTTCCTATGAGGAAATTTGACAGACATGAATAATTTTACGTAGAAAGGCAGAAAGTTTGACAGGTGATTTATCAGTTAACCAAACTGTGTGCAGACAATTATATATAAATATACATTACACTTGTTAGATTTTCTTCTTCTTCTTCTTCGCGTTCACCAGCTGTAAACTCTGGCGGAAGGTTCTGGTTGCTCGTCCACTACTGAACTGCAGTCCTGCTCCAGAAGCTGAGTGTTGCGTGTGCATCAGTTTTACAGATCTCATTCTCTTGAATACAGACTGTTGGTTCCTTGCCTCTCCGGCAGATGCACTCCGACTTCAAAGGAAGCTTCCCAATTAGTCGACTCTTACGACATGCTTTTGGGGAGGCAGTGGGTCTATTCTTGTTTTCCCCACAATGGGGCCCCGGAAACCACACGGGGGTGTTAGATTTTAATTATGGTATTCATAAAACTGGCTGCTTTGTTCAGTAATCACTGCATAGTGTGGGGTATATGTGTGTAGTGTATAGTGTGTGACATACGTGGTATGTGCATGTGAGTGTGTATCTGCATGTGTGTTTGGTGTGTGTGTGTGTGTGTGTGTGCGTGTGTGTGAGTGTGTGTGTAGTGTCTGTAGTGTTTATGTGTTCATGTGTAGTGTCTACAGTTTGTGTATTTGTTTATTTGTGTGTTGTATATAGGCATGTGTGTGGTCTGTGTGTGATGTGTGTGATGTGTATAGTATGCATTTAGTGTTTGCTGTGTGTGGTGTGGGTATGTACATGTGTGTTTTATATATGAAACTTCAGGCTTACCAAGGATGAAACAAATCTCATTAATGTGTCTGGTGGACTAACTTAGCTCATGGTTACTTACTCTTAAAAGTACTTGCTCTTCAATGTAAAAAAAAAAAAAAAAGCTTGTTTAGATGAGGAAAATCAGTCAGGTATATGGTGCTTGTCCCATATTTCAATAGGATTAAAGTACTACACTTAAAAAAAAATACATTTTTGGAAGAAAGGGGAGGGGGGGTGGTGTGCATGTAAACGGTTGCTTTTGTTTTTAAAAAAAGTTCAGCTTGTCATACAAAGAGCCATTACACACAAGAGTGTGCATACAGTAGTGGATTTGTATTTGACCTCCACTACATTTATATTTATTTACACATAAGGTATATCTTATTTGGGCTTAAAATGTGGGTCTTCTAATAATGTGTCTGAATAATGACCGCACACCCACACCCATTAAGTCCCTGTCTACACATAATATGCAGTTTTGTCAACTACCAAACTGAAAATCCAAAAGACGTCTTAATCAGCTCACTTACTAGGGACTGGATAGTTTCTAATAATGGAGACAGAGAGAGGAGAGAGAGAGAGAGAGAGAGAGAGAGAGAGAGAGAGAGAGACAGAGAGAGATAGAGAGAGTCAGACAGACAGAAACAAAGAGAGACAATACATGGCATGTTGAAATGGACATATTGTTGTATATAATGAGTAGTAATGTGTTGCAAATGCCCTCAGAGAAATGGAAAGGATAGAGGACTTTGGTGGCAGTGAATCCACATCACTCGCCAGAATGGCAGACTTGGGAATTAAGATCGGCACAGCAAAAAACGAGACGCCAGAAGACTTGTTAATCAACATAGAACTGGTACTATCAGCCACGGACGTTGGGGTTCATACTGAGGGGAGGATCTGAGCACCTATGGACATGTCCGGAGTGCAAGGAGGATAACCCAACTAACTAACTAACTAACTAACTAACTAATGTGTTGCAAGAGGCTGAGCACTAACGTTTAAATGCACAAATTGGTGTTGACATACTACTGTGCAGACATAACTGGCATATTATTAAAGATAATGTTAATGTCACACAGAAGCTATATATTTATCACATGTTAACTCCTTCAGGCCCAGAAGGTCACAACTGACACCCAAATGAGGCAGTAATGACAGCAACAAAATCATGGGTATACTACATCCACAGAAGCTAAATACACAACAACCCTTGTGTGAGACTGGTCTGTTGATAAATGTTTTACTATGCCCTGAATTTAAAAAAAATGTACAAGCATAATAATATTTTGTCTGGTGCATATGAGTAAATCAGTCACAAATGGTGCATTGTTTGGTACTGAAAGAGTTAATGTTCACAGGACAGCAGTAGTAAAATGTGTTATTATTATACACTCTAAGATGGCATATTATATTAGTAAAGTGGCTTGTTAAATAATATATAATAGATACATAACAAGTGTAGCGTGTTCATGCACACACAACTGACGAATAAATAAATGCACATGTTAAATACATACCATGAACACACAGGAAAATAAGCAAGTTAATGTACACACAAATGTCACATGCATAAAGTAACCTGTTAATGTAAATGTGACTGATAATTACAACAGTGACATTTAATATACACAGAACTGACACTTGACAAGAGTGAAATGGAAATGTATACATGCCTGATACATTGCAACAGTGATATATTATCGTATGTACACCCTACTAATTTGATGTATTAGCAAACACATAATTGACATATAAGTCCAACAACATCAGCGTGCACATAACCTTGCATATAAATAAAGTGACATGCTAAAGTATACCCAGAGCTAAAGGCATTGCAACATTTAATTCTTTAAAGACTGTTGGTTCCTTGTCTCTCCTGCAGATACACTCTGACTTTGAAAGAAGCTTCCCGTTAGTCTCCTTTATGACATGCATGTTAGGTAGCAGTGTGTCTCTTCTTTTTTGCCCCGCCATAGGGCCCTGCAACCCATAAGGGCTTGACATTATAATGACAGGGGTAGTTAATCCCAGTGTTTCTGAGTCAGTAATGCAGTTTCAGAATGTATTCCCATCGGACTAGTCACCAGTGATTAGTGATTAGAAAGGATTATCATCACAGCACTCTGGACAGATCCATAGGTGCTTCGATCTTCTCCTCAAAAGCTCCACAAGTGTAAAAGGACTGATGATGCCTGTTCTGTGTTGGTTAATGAAACGCCTTGTCCTCTTAGTGAAATGTTCATTTCTTGCAGCTCCAGGCTGCACCCCCATGTCCATCAGTCTAGACAGGGATATGGAGTCATATCCTTTAGCGTGCTCCTTGGTACAGTAAGTGCATGCATGGCACTGATAACATCACTTCTGTCCAGTACTGGACCAACCACAGCAACCGCAGTGTCAGAAAGATAGTCTGCACGCTCGTTTCCTTTAACACCTGCATGACCTGGCACAAAGATGAAGGTTAGGGCAGCTTTTCGTGACGTGCTTAGTCTTGCGATCCATTCTTGCCTGATAAATCCAGCTTGGATTTGTTAAAGCATATTCATCAAATCACTAAGAATGCATACATGTGTGAACTTTTGAGTACCAAGCCATGCTGAAGCCCTTGTTACAGCCATAGTTTCTATTGTAAGACTACTAGTTGTAACAGCAAAGGCGCTATTCATCTCCTTGATGGTTTCCCCCTTGAGCTTACTGTGAATGCCCATGCACTTCGCTTGCCCTGATTTACTGACCCATCTGTGTAAACTATAGCATCACTTTCATCTGTATTTTCGTCAATCAGTGTTTTGACTAAAGTGTCAAAAATGCCAGTTAACTGGTGTATCATAGAGACACTCTAATTTTTTTCCGTTTGTGGGAAAAACAAACTTTGTGAACAAGTTATTGAAAAATTAGGATTAACAACAGGAAGTCCTTTTGTTTGCAATGTTCCACAATTTTTGTGTAATTTTTCTATACTAAATGTTAAGGGAAAAGATCTAGAACTGTCTATACTGATCTGTTGTTGATGAATCTTTGCCATATGGTGGCAATAGTCTTGATATTATGATTGATATCTAAGTGAAAAACCTATTGGCGATAATTTAGTTTAGGATATGAAAATTGAACAAAAGATTTCAATCAGATCAATGTTTCGCTCAGCTGTTTTTCCTGATTTTTGGTTGTTGTAAAATTTGGCATGTCATAAAAATAATCATAGCATCCAAAATATTTAAATAAAGGTATTTGAACTGGTTAACCTGCTCCAATGCATACTGTCCCATCATGATCTGGTGTTTCTTCTCCTCTCTTGAGATCACCATGGTTTTGGTTTTGGAGATACTGATGGTCATCCCTCTCTTTTCAAGCTCTTCCTTCCAGACAAGTAAGTTGGACTGAAGGTGTGCCTCTGATTTAGCTATCAGGGCCACATCATCTGCAAATGCCAGCTCTGATATACAGATTGGTCTCATCTTCCAGTACCCTACAGATTACTTCTTTGTCTTCTCCTTACAGGTCTTGATGACATCATCCATCATAAGAATGAAGAGATAAGGTGAGAGAATATCACCTTGTCTAACACCACTGGTGGGTACTTGTAATCATAGTGTAAGGCAAACAGGTTATTGGCCTGTTGTGCCTATGCATGTTGGAGGGGCTGCCTCCTTGCGGTCTCCATGGTTTTTGTTTGGGCTGATGGTTCCCACGGTTACCAAGCTACTTCCGGAGAGGGACTGAAGGTGTTCAGGATTTAGCTATCAGCCACATCCCTCCTGCCAGCTCTGATATACAGCCGGGTCTGTGTCCTGATACCCTACAGAACTTCGTCGCTGGAATTACAGGTCTTGATGACACATACTCATAAGAATGGACATACAGAGAATATCCCCACTAACACCACTGGTGGGTACTTGTCACCATAGGGTAAAGGAAAACAGGTTAAGACCTATGCATGTTGGAAACTCTCCTCCTTGCATCACCATGGAGTTGTCAACCATTCAGGTCTCAGCACGAAGCACTCAAGTTCAGCCCTACATCCAAGTTACAGCCGGGCTTGGCTCTTAGCGGAGTTGGTCCCTTTATTTGTTAGATAATTTCGCTATGACCTCTGCCCTATGCGCCATCTTTGGCACAAGAGGAATAACTAACTAACTAGCTTGGCTCTTAGCGGAGTTGTCCCTTTATTTGTTAACATAATTTCCACCAAAATTGTTGCACTTGTCCCATCATTTCATCAGCCCTCCAAAATCTTCTGCATAGAACTGCGTGCTCTGTTTTTAAACAGGATGACCAGATTAGACTTCATAAGACAATCATGCAGCGTCTTTGAGAGTTAACCGTTTTTAAACCCAGCTATGAACCGCTTCACGAGATAAACATTTGTCAGCATAAACAGGAAACGTTTCATTATGAATATCCTTTGCAGGCAGCCATTTTTCCCAAAACACTCGCAACATCATGTAGTTCTTTGAGGTACATTCTGTAAGTACAGTGGCCATTTTTTTTCTGCATTGCAATTGGGCATGCAACACCTACTACACCTAACGTTGGAGACATAAAGTCCTATGTTGCTGTCCCCTAATGACACCTTTAGAAACCACCAACTAAATTCTCCTGCCATCCCATAGCCATATGTGACTTACTTATTGGCTTCTCCTCGTATTATAATAGATTCCAGCTATTTTATGCATATTGACACACAAGAAGTGTTAGCAGACTATGGCTAGTACATGCAAATTGACATCCCATAAATACCATACTCTAGGTATTCCACATATACACTCCACAGTGATAATATAGTCTAGATATTCATGCATATTCACACCCCAGAAATGATAACATAGTCTAACTATCCCACGCATATTCGCACAGCATGAATGGTAAAATAGTCTAGCTATTCCATGCAAATTCACACATTATAAATGATAACATAGTCTAGCTACTTCATGCATATTCACACATCAGAAATGATAACAAACTAGCTATTCAATGCAAATTCATGCCCTAGAAGTGATAATATTTCCGGTTTTTGCATGCATATCAACACTACATAAATGATAACATAGTCTAGTTATTCACACCCTAGAAGTGGTGACATAATCTGATTATTCCGTGCACATTCACACCCTAGAAGTGATGACATAATCTGGTTATTCTCTGCATATTCACACCCCAGAAATGATATAGTCTTGCTATTCCATTCCTATTAACCACAACCCCCCCCCCCTCCCCCCGAAATAATAACATATTATAACTATTCTATGCATATTTGCACTTCAGAAGTTATAACATATTCCAGCTATCCGTGACTATTCATACCCTAGAAAAATACAGAAAATGTGGCTACTTGACATTTTTAACTAGCAGATATATTTGTACACGTTATCTAATTCTTCTTATAGTTCAGGCTATGTGGTGTTGGTCATTATGTTTGCCCCAAGTTTTCTGTAAGCTGCATTGCCAATAAATTATTATGAACATATTTTTTTCATGCCATGAGGTCAATACAACCAGCACCTTCTCAATGGGTTTCCCCTCCCTCCCTTCCCCTTCAACAAAGTTGCGGTTCTGGTGTACTACAATGTATCTATGAAATATACTTGTACATTAACTCTGGGACTCTGGATGCCAGCATTTGTGGCTGGTAAAAATAATCCAGTTATAGTTACATACAGAAACTGAAAAGATATAAGAACAATAACAGGCGTTTCTCAAATTAAACACTTAATAACAGATTATGGCAGAAGTTAAACAGAAATCAAAAACAGAATAGGAATGGCTAAAACTGTGTGTCTTCAGTAAGATGCACAAATTATTACAGCTAGAGAGATCAAGAGCCTATTACAAATGAGAGTTGTCAAATGTTATGTACACCAACCCTTCTGTATGGCGCACAAACCTGCCAATAAATAAGCAGCTAAAAATCGAACTGAGTCTCTGGAGATGTGGATATATTTAAATACAGAGGTTCTGGAGAGACGATGAATTAAAAAAGAATTACCGACAGAAATCAAACGAGGGAAAATTAAAATATTTCAGCCCATTAACTCTTTGAGTCCCAAGGAACGCATCATACGTTCATAGGTTCCTACCTAGAAGCCCAATAAACGCATGATGCACCAATTTTATTACTTTCTTTACTGGGCCTGTGATGCTAAACCCCCTGGGACTCAAAGAGTTAAAAGACATCTTTCAAAACCATACTAGAGGAAAAACATTGAAGGCAAGAGAGCAAGAGGTAGACAATGATACAAGTAGGAGGAAAACATTAAGAGATGAATGAAAAGCAGTCAAAAGGAGTTATAAGCCCATAAACAGTGTTGGGGATCCATTGCAGCCAAACTTCATTGTGGAGATGACTCTTGACTGACTGATATAGTTACTAGCAACTTTCATAAGCTGCTACTGCATAGCTAGTTACTGTTAAAACAGCTATTTGAAACATTTCATTTATAACTGTAACACACCAACATAGTTTTGAAAATAAAATAAATGTAGAAATTTCATCTTTACATGAAACCTTACATAAAGTGAAATATTTTATATCAAACAAGAGAAAACTCCATGTTCTGTAAGAGTTAGAACATGTTTAACTTGATGTTTTACCAGACTTTATAAAGGAGCTCACTGATCCCATGAGGGAGTAAACTTTCTTAACTTGCTGTACAAAGTGTGAGTTCTGCAGATTGTTAGTGGTTTGCTTATTTACTCTAAATGTTCATAGTGATGAATTAGCATGTGCTGCTGGAAGGGTCAGACTCTACACCTTAGGACATCTGCTGTAGGAGATAGATAATCTATGGTACCCTATGATGTTGATTCTTACATCAGCAACCAGTGATTAATCAGACAGATGAGGTCTACGGATTTGTTTATTCAGTGTCTTTAGGTTCTGTTCTGAAAGAAAGAGTGATAATCTATCTTTACTCAAAAGCTGATTTTGTGCCTTCAGGTGTCTGTCTTGGAAAAACTGCCTATAAGTGACACTATCGGAGATGATGTTTGTGAAAACATGTTCCTCTGTGACTACACCAAGTGTACAACAGTCAAGGCACATGGTGAACATTGAGCAGAGACACCTACCTGCATCCATGGCTTTATAACAACAAAATACAGGACTAGACTGTAACCATAATGTAGCAAGTAACATAGTATGTTCATTTCTGGGGTGTGATGGGGGAAAGAGGGTCCTGTACAGGCATGGTCACCCTTGCCTTGAAGCAAGGTGTTTGACAATGAGGATTTTATAATCTTCTTCTTGTTCACCGGCTGTAAACTTGCACAGAAAGTTATGGTTGTTTATCCAGCTCAGGACTTTAGTTTTGTTCCAGAACCTGAGTTTGTGTGCACATTTGTTTTACAGATCTGATATATTTCCATGCAGACTGTTGGTTCCTTGCCTCTCCTGCAGATACACTCTGGCTTTGAAAGAAGCTCCCAGTTAGTCTACTTTTATGACATGCATGTAGGGTAGGCAATGTGTCTCTCTTCCTTTTTGCCCCGGCATAGGACCCTGCAACCCATAATGGCATGACATTATAATGACAGCGGTAGTTAATCCCAGTGTTTCTGAGTTGTCTACTTTTGTTAGATACAATAATTGCCAAATGTAATGCTTGACATATGTTACAGAATGTTACAATGAACTTATGAGTAACTGCCAGGGCAACTGCAAGTTAAATGAACAACAGAACTCTTGATAAATGCAGCATGTGACTAGTGTAAGAACTGCTATGGCAATTAGTTCCATGCATTTATCTGACCACAGAACACTCAAATCGTCAGTTAACATTGGGTTTTGTCAGACCCCAAAATGGTGCTGAGAGTCTTACTATCCATTATATACTGGACAGAGATTACCCAAATATATTCACACATACAGGCTGATATGTGTATAGGTGTATATGTTTTTACTGGTGTGTACATATATTTACACACAAACATGTACATAGACCCATAGGGATATACATGCATGAGAATACACACTCACATAAAACAGCTCTATATTCATGAACATATATTTAAACTGACATACATATACAGCCACAAAGAAACTCATGCATACATAATACAAAAAACAGAGGGAAAAAACATACATGCATGCACGCACGCACACACACCTATAAACATACACATGAAAACACAGATTACAATGTGCATGCATACACAGGGACATAAACATACACACACACACACACACGGGCAGCTTATGCAGTGTAAGTACTGGACCCTTTTCCACACCTTCAGATGTATTTGGCATCACATAAAGACACAGGTAGACACTGTGCTTCAGGCAGGAGTATGTAGACATCTTCTTCTTCCTCTTCAGCATTCTGAGCCCTTGAGGTTCATTGACTCAGATATCAGTCACCTTCACTTATCTTTCTCACAAAGTGTTTGCAGGTCTCTCTGGAAGTTATATCTCCATCGTCTTCTTGGTGTCTACACCATACATACACCCACAAAATAGTTACTGGTGTGACTTGCATGAGGGCACATGCATGAGGATTATACCCACTTACAAAGACTCACAGTAGAGCAGCACAAAGTTTGTTGCACATGTCTCTGGAAAAGGATGATATCTTATCCCCTGATCTTGAGGTAATGGATTAGATCAGACAAAGGTTAACAACTTGGACCCAGGTGTATATTATACATCTAAAAAAAAATTGCATCAGTATGAAATAAAAAACAGTCAGTTCCCAGATTATTTCATACAAGTGCACATTTATAGCTGGTATCGTGTCATTTGGGTGTAGACACATTTGAATCCTCATAAGCTTTCTAGAGCGTGTGCAATGGGCGCATTTACCCTCTTGTATAACTTCTGAGAGAGGACTAGAATACTCAGAGAGAGGAATGCTCAAATATAATCAAAGTAATAAACATAATAGCTGATCAAAACCCAGAAAGGAAACAAAAGTTGACACAAAATTTGACACATGCATAAGGGCAGCTCATTCCTTACATACACACACTTACACAGGCAGAGACATACATGTATTAGTGTAAACCAGTAGACCATGCAAATACTTGCATGCATGAGAGTATGAACCAGGCCTCACATACAGCCATGGATACTTGTAGAAACATGTAGACATGAATACACCAGTCTCTCTCACCTGTGGCAGCTGTTTAGCAATGTCACCCCCTACAAAGACTGCCTCCAGGTAGATCCACAGGTTCTGTACAACCAGCCAGTTCTCCATGATTTCTGTAGTTCCTGTCAACTTTTGAACCCATTCTTGAATCTTGGCCTTGAATGGCACATTGTACCTGGTTACAGACAACACTGACATAATCACAGCTAGAAAAGGGAAATCAGTGGTGACATAACTGAACATTGTCATTGATACGAATATTAAATCACGAAATCAGATGAATGCTAGGAATAAAGCCAGTCTATGAAGTGGTTTGGACATCTATTAAAAATACCCTGGTACTATCTACCACAGTGAGCCACACTGAAATGTTACAACGGGTATAAAGCAAGGGGAAGACCTCGTTAAAGATGGAGTGATGGCATAAAAAAACAGCCTTACAGAAATAAACATCAAACTTAATAGTGCTATAGACAGAGCTCATTAATTAACGTTACATCTCCCCCTGATGAAAAAGAAGAAGAAGAAGAAGTCATTGATACTAAAGAGCATCTCTTCTGTGTTTTCAGGGAAGCAAAGAATAATGAAAATGTAACTTGGTAAGCATGTTCTAAAAAGAAATTAATAAATGTCATGCTTTCATGTATGTTCTCAGAGCTGTTTAGTGAACCCTGGCTAAATGTATGGTGTACCAATATTGATAACCTGTTTAATAGTGCACATGGGAGCATCAGCTACACATGGTGAGTTGTTTGGTACCGAGAGAGTTAGGCATGACAATACTTGAAATGGGAATTTGGCAAGGGGTTGAAAGTATGTTTGGTTGGCTGTGCTGTGAGCAATAATGTGAAGAACCTGCTTCTAAACCATGATGAGATGATGAGCCAGTATATTGTAAGCTGTCCATTGTATCATGTTCAGGATTTCCTGTATGTGCCTCTTTTCTGGTTGCCTTTAACTGTGCCTAAGAAAACTGTTGTTAGTAATTCCAATGTAAAATTAAACGCTCCATTTCCATTGCTGGAGATGCATTGAGCCCAGGTTGCCAGTATTATATTTGTATACACTAGTTAGCAGGTGATGTGGTCCCTTTTATGCCGGTGACCTTGACATTCTAGGACTCATTTTGAGTTGGGTCATCACAGAAACCCAGATCAATTTGAAAAACTGATTTGATGGAGATTTGAACCTATGACACCTGTGTTGACAAGAAAGGACTATAGCCACTGCAAAATTATGCCTTTCCCTACAAGGTATGGGTCATGCTATCCATCTGCTTCAACCAGGCATGTATTTTACATTCTAGTTACTGCTGAAGTCAAGCAAGGATGTATTTCATTTCTTCAGGTTTTATCCTTGTCTCTCTCTGGAGAATAGAAAGACGCCTGCCATGTGCATCATATAAAGAACAAACTCCATAGCTCCAGTGATATTCTTTGGGGATCTTCACAAAAATTTCACATGTGAACTGAAAGACCCAGCCAGTGAAATGAACTTTTGACCTTTACAGCGACAGGTAAATGGTTTGACCAATTTTAATGCCACAGAGATGCACATTTTACAACTGGTAAATATAGTTGGTTCCTGGACTTCATTGCCTACAAGCTATAGACTAAAGTAAAGCAAAGATTATGCCTTCATTTAACACTGTTGACTCTAGAGAGACTGCTCAACTGACTTACCTATTACTCAGCAAGGCTCCAAGCACCATCAAGCTGTCCTCCATCATGGCAATTATCTCTGATGTAGAATCACCTGCAAGTTTTTCAACAGTGAAGCAATTTCTTTCCTTTTTGTATTCTTTTTACTAATCAGTATTAAAATAGTGAAAACAGATTTGAGGCATCGTAGATGTGCTTTCTGATTGTCTTCTGTATGACTGCCAATGACTCCCAAGACTTTCTTTCTTTTGTCAATATCTGCTTATGCTGCTAGGCATCACAGTTCATCAGATGATCGGCAGCTGAGCCAGGGTGCACTCAGTCGCTTGATATGCTGTGACGTTATGCAGCCTCAAGGTGTCAGTGACTCCTGTCACATATCACTCCTGTCGCATGCCTGATTTAAGGATTTCTCTTTAAGAACCAACAGCACTCTGAAATAATTATGTTGAGTCGCTGGCTCGTATTGGTCTAAGGGATGCCCCGTGGCCAATATATGCTCAACTTTTTTCAGGAGTAGGGCAACTCAAGTTTTGGCACTACAAAATATATAATATTCCTAGGCACACTTGGCTGGACACCCCCACTACTATAAAAAGATAGCCCCCAGGTTATGATAGTCTACTACCATAACCATGTTAACACAGATGAAGATATTTAATTGAACATACATGTATTTTAGACAGCTAAGAACAATGAATGAGTGACACTCCAGTCAATAGTGAAACTTTAGAAATACTGTAATAAGTGTAACACATACATTATATAAGAATCAGCAAAGAACTTCAAGAACCCAGAGTGATATGAAGGACCAAAACTTCAAACTCGATCTTGAACTGACTGAACGTGTAAGAATGTTCCAAAGTCTGCCTAGATCATCCTTATGATGAATGTGGACATTTAATAGTGAAGCCTGGCAATAAACCCATGATCGCCCACACTTATATGAATCCCTGGTTTCTTGAACTGGCTGGATATTCAGTCACTCTGTTGTTATGTTCAAGACAGTCCAACACTAGACACTCGAACACTGGAGATACACCCAAGCTCCTGGAGAGGATCTCAGGTACCAAGTCAAACACTTGAGGCACAAACAAACTGCCGGATAAATGATGATGGAGGTACAACACCCATAATGGTCTCCGTAGACCAACTGGAGGATTTTATTAATTGATGACCACAGTTAGGTTCACCATCTGATGCCCACCACTGGCTTAGACATAGGTGACTTTTGTGGTTTTGTGGACTGCTGATTCACTGCCTGGCCTCCAAGGAGATATCATCCCAAGCTTAGGAAATGTCCTAGACACCAAAGGCCGCCTCCTCAAAGCATAGATGTACGAGGCCCCGTTTAGAACATCTGTTCTTCTAGGCAGTCAGGCAGAGAATGCCCGCTTCAAACTACGCTTAGCGTCACTAGGAAAGAAGTTCCCTGTATTCATGAACAAGGAGTAAACTGGTTTACAGGAATTCCTAAATAAAATGCCAGAATTCGCCAACCTACAGTTGCAAAATGAAGATTTATCAAAGCAACTAGAAAGTCTAGAAATGAATATTTTACCAGATAAAGGTATAGATCAATATAAGGGACTATATACCCTTCTGGACAGGTTCAAGTTTGAAATTTTACTGTCCGTGTAGGGGACTTCAGATTCCCGACTCGTCCATTGTGTAGGGTGGCTGCTCATCTCACGACAACTCCTTCAATCCATCTTTTTGGTCTTTCCCTGCCTCTTGGTGTTTCAAAATTTAGGTTGTACGCTTTTGCTACTGGCATCGTTGGTTTTATTCTTATTAGACGGCCAAACCATTTCATCCTTTGTTTCTCAATAAATTTGATGATAGGTGTTGTTCCAACAGTTTTTGTGATCACGTCGTTTCTCACGTGATCTCTTCTGGTTTTATTCACAACCATTCGCAAACATCACATCTCATAGGGGTTAGTTTTCTCTTGTGTTCTTTTGTCAATGTCCAAGTCTGACACTGGTAACCTTACGTCTGTATAAATATTGTATTTATAATTTGTCTTTGATGTCTCTATTGGGACAGCAGGATGTTGTTGGCTTGTTGGATTCTTGTTTCTATCTCTCTAACTATTTTACAATTGTATATTAAGATGCTTCCCAGGTTTTTAAATCCTTACACTTGTTTCAGACTTTGATCTTTAATCTTTATGTCAATGGTTTGTTTCTCTCTACTTATTCTCATGACCTCTGTTTTTCAGTTTTGATCTTCATGTGATGTTTAAGGTAACTGTCGAATAGCTGGTTTATGTCATGCTTCATTAACAAATATTTTTAATAAGGTGTATCTCCATGTATTATGCATTGTAGGCCTGTGTGTATATACACCTGTGGACACACACATACATGTGTTTATGGGTTCCTGAGTGTTTATATGTTGGTATGGCTTACGCCAGTGTGTGTTTTTGCTTGGGTAAGGTAGAGTGTGGATACTGATGTGGGTATCTATGTGTGCATATGCACATGTGTGTGTGTGTGTATGTGTGAACAAATTTGTAAATATGTACCAGTGTGTGTGTGATAATGACATAACTAGAGGCATCTACCTTTCAGTAGCAGCTCCCCTCTAGCTTTGAAGTTAGCAAACTGGAAAGTCTGGCTGCTCCAGTCATTGATCACTTGCTTCAGCTTGGCTTCTATGTCTTTCTCTTTGACAGCAGAGATGCAAATGTCCTGGAGAAATACAGGTTGCTATGTAATATCTTGAACCTGAGACAACCATAATGAGTTATATAAAGGTTTTATGGAGGTGATATGAAGTCACCTTATTAAAAGATAGAAGAGATATACAAACATCATTTGTTGGCCTTATCATAAGAGGGTAAAAACTGGGACATGTGACAGCTAGGAATATGTATTAAAAGAGAAATACAGGAAAACAGTGAAAGAAGATTCAATGTATTTCTGAGCGTAGTTTGTGTGTGTGTGTGCGTGTGTGTGCGTGCCTGCATGGGTGCGTCGTGTGTGTGTGTGTGTGTGTGTTTTTCTGCTAATATTAACTAGACAACTGCACATATAAACCAAATATGAAACAAGCTTATGGAGAATATTCAAAATCATATAATATGTTTTACATATATCACGTACATGCATAATGACAATAAACCTACACTGTCAAGTTTTGCCATCTCACATCAGAATTCTTGATGAGCTTGGCATTCTTGTCTTGCTCCATTGTCACGTAACAGTCCCAACCACCCCTTCATCCTAAACTATTCTTGATCCTGTCATCCCCTTGGAGACGAGGCCATATTCACATTTGAACTCGCCTGTGTGGGTATATAGTCCCTCATATATTTACACCCCTTTAAGGCATAATATGTAGTTCTGAATGTTCTGAATCTCTTGGAATGCTTCCATTTTCAAACTTACAGTCAGAAGTTGAAGATTCTTTGTGTTATTGCTCACATTCCGATGGGACAAAGTATGACCTAGGAGTAGGAATCTTTTGCCTTACTTTCTTTGGGAGAGACGCTAAGTTTCCCTCTCATTCTCAGATTGGTGTTCAACGAGATCAGGTATTCTGTGCCTTAGCTCTAACTTCTGTGCAAAATCTGCAAGCAGTCGTTACCCAGGGCATTTCCAAAAGCTTGGGTAAGTCTATTATAGTTTACGAGTATCGTATATATATATATGGATATATACCCGCTGCTGAGAAAGAGAACCAACTTTGCTATGAGACATTACAGAGTGATATTTTTCTTGCTGTCAAATTGCTGGGGGCCGCCTAAATCAATAATCCCCCTCTCCACCTCCCCACCCTCACTAACTGAGGTGATATGCACTACCCATCCCAACACTGGAGCTAGTGATTTAATCTAGCAGACAAATCATTCTATAACTAGTTTTAGTTGTGAAAATTTAAATACAGATCTGGAGGCTGGCAGAATAATTGCGTCAGCACACCCTACCGACCAAGTAGGTGTGGGCTAACAAGTCTGGTGACTTGGAGATATTTACAAGTTAACTCATGTCAAAACACTGGATGGTGACATGGAAGGCTAGATACACTTTTTAGGTGATAAAACATACATATTTGTGTGAGTATTAGTCTGTGTAACTACAGCTGTGCAGATATAAAAGTAGAGGGATGTTGTACTCTATCTGAGAGACTTTTTTTCTGTCTCCTTGTGGAACTTTGCCTTATGTTTCTTCTACTGTCTGACACTGTTTGCACAGAGCTCCTTACAGCAGACCTCTGAGTATTTATTAAGTGTGGATAATGATAACATGAGCTAAGTATATAAATTGTGACATGACTGCTAATTCTGGGTTTCTTTTTGTCACAGGGTGATACCTTTGGAGGCCCAGCTGTGAATCAACAGTCAACATCTTCACCAACCTTAGCGTTACCACTAGCAAGTCAGAAGATACTAACATGAGTGCCTAAATACCACCAATCTTGTGTCCAGTGGATGAAGAATGCTGCCAGTGACATATCGAGTGGCAGAGATCCTCTTAAGGAGCTGGTTCATGCATCAAGCAGTGGAGGAAAAAGTGTTTGACTTTCCTTCTGACTTTAGTTCATAGATAGACTCTAAATTCTAGGACATCCATGAAGATGTCTGAACCTCATTCACATAACCGTGTGCACAATAACAGAACAATATCCCAAAGAGTACCAGCCATTCCAAATGACTATGAAGCAAGCAAGAGTGCAGTGGACCAGACTTGGAAACAGATGTGGGACATCCTATGGTTCAGTGCCAGGCTTCTATATTCATTGTCCACATGTATACCTTGATGATATCGGCTGCTCTTTGGGACAACTCAAGTGTCAATCATATCTAATGCGTCTGTGGTTTCTTAATGTCATTGATTCTGTTGAATTGCTGATTTTTATATATGTATATGTTGAACTTATTACATGTCTTTGGAATTTTGCAGTCTTGATTTAGGTCCATCCTTCACTGTTCTTAGCTGTCTGAAGTGTGTGTATTAATACTAGGGCTGTACCGAATATTCGCTTCGTATTCGCTTCGGGGCCGAATAGTGGACCTATTATCTATTCGCTATTCGGTCGAATAGTTGTGGTCGGGCCGAATACGAATAGTAGTTACTTTACACCCGCTTCTGCATACACGGCCTTAATGCTGACAATATGGAACGATTGGTTCTGTTGAAAGCTAATGCAGCTTTCCTGCATTAACTAAGCTGTCAGTGACAATTTCCAAGTTTAGTTACTTGTTATAATACTTAGGATTCTTTCATTCCTAGTTATTAGTTACCAAAGACTGACTGAAGGATGAAAAACATAAAATGTTTTCAAATGTTTACTATTCTGTACGAATGCTAACTAGACATGGAAAAATATAAACTCGGGCCCCATCCAAGTCGATAATATGAAAATCAAATGAACCGAAACATAAGTACTTGGGTGCAAACTTCAACAACATGCTGAGAGAAGAAATACAATCTAGAATACATTCTAGAAATAAAGTATACTATGCCCTTAAACATCTGCTAAAATCAAAGTGTCTGTCCCACAACACTAAGATCAAAATATATAAAACGTTGATGAGACCAGTCATTTTATATGGCTTGAAGCAGAAATAAAAGAGATGAGGCCTTATTTCAGGTTTTCAAAAACAGTCTTCTAACAAATCTTTGGACCCATCAAAGATGCTAACAGCCGGGAATGGAGAGTGAGAAGCAACAACGTAACACATAACCTGTTTAAATCATTATTTATCACTGGCATCATGAGAGCTAACAGACTAAAATTGTTGGGGCATATTGAAAGAATGTCCGATGACAGAGAAGTAAAAAACTGTATACACATGAGAGAGGAATGGGCGTAGACCATGAGGCAGACACAAAAGAAGTTTGAGAGATAATGTTCAGTAAGACAACTGGTGTCACAAATTGTGCAGAGAAGGCCAGCCAGAGAGATGAATGGAGACGAGTGATATCTGTAGCAGTAAATCTCAAGGACTCAGAATGCTAAAGAAGAAGATGACTATTCTGTGCTACTTTATGTGAAGTAAAAGTTCAGCATACATTTGACATTATAAATGTGGTTTTTTTTTAAAGATATATTTCATACATTTTACACTATTCCTATTCATATTCGGCCTAATAGTTGGTCCTGCTATTCGTATCGTAGTGATTTTCACTATTCGGTACAACCCTAATTGATACACTACATCTTACTCTGTGTTAACATGACTATGTTAATAGACTATCTAGACTGGGGGGCGGGTTTTTTTTTGTAGTAGTGAGGATGTCCTGCCAAGTTGGCCTAGGAGTGTATATTCTGTAGTGCCATTACTTGTGCCGCCTCACCCCTGAAATAGGTTGGATGTGTTTTGTGGCTGTAGGATTCCGCCTAGACCATTACGAGCCGACATTCCAACATTTATACTATTTCAGAGTGCTGTTAGTTCATTAGGAGAAATCCTTACTTAGGCACGTGACACGAGCAATATGTGACACACATCGCTAAGCCACCATGGTATTTATATCTTTGCCTTTCTCTTACTTTCTTAAGACTGAAATTGCCAGTCATTGCCAATTATCAGTCCCATTCCTTCTCATATCTGGATTTTAAAACAAAAACAGTGTCTACCTGCATCAAATTGTTCTAAAGAGTGTTGGCTTTCACCTGTCAAGGAGGATTGCCTCTTTTGTTTTTCTACCATTCCACAATATCCGTTGCACTCTTTTCAAAAACTAGTATCCAATCCCACATGTTGTGTTGCCTAAGACAAAAAGAGTTAAATACTGTCCAGCTACTTTTTTCCAGACTTTCCAGTGTGCCCCTTTGTTGTGTATATGTCTGTGTCTGTGTGTATGTCTCTGTGTTTGTCTGCATGTGTGATGTGTCTGTGTGTATATGTCCGAGTGTGTGTGTGTGTCTATGTGTGTGTGTCTCTATGTGTGCGTGTGTCTAGTGTATGTGTCAGTGTGTGTGTCTGTGTGTTTGTGTGTGCCTATTTGTAGTGTGTACGTGTCTGCATGTCAGTGTATATGTCTGTGTGGATGACTGTGTATGTGTGTCTCTGTGTGTTTGTCTGCATGTGTTTGTCTGAGTGTGTGTCTCTGTTCGCATCTGTGTTAGTCTCTGTGTGTGTTTCTGTGTGTTTGTCTGTGTGTGTTTATGTGTGTGTTTATGTGTGTGTGTGTGTGTCTGTATGTGGTTGTCTGCATGTGTGACTATGTGGCAGTATGTATGTGTCTCTGTGTGTGGGTATCTGTACGATTGTCTGCATGAGTATATGTCTGTGTGTGTGTGTGTGTGTGTGTGTGTGTGTGTGTGAGCATGTATGTTTATATTTCTGCTGTACATCTGCACGTGTGTCTCTATGTGTGTTTATGTAGCTGTATGTATGTGTCTGTGTGTGTGTCTGTGTGTTTGTCTGTGTGAGTTTGTCTGTGGAGAAAGACCAAGAGAGACTTTGCGTAGAACCATCATCAGGGAAGGCTCAACCATGGGTCTAATAAATTTCCAAGACCTAAATAAAGTGGCAACAATTCGCGAAACATGCAGAGCTATGACCTCTGCCCTATGTGCCGCCTGTGGCGTAAGAAGAAAGACTAACTAACTAATGGACAACTCACTTCAATATCCTCCTTGTACTGCAGTAGAGGAGCTTTCATTAAATCCCTAAGGAGAAATCCCTCAGATTCAACATCAAATGTGTGACCGGTGACCTGGGTGATTCTCTCCCAGTGACGCTGCTGCATTGCTTTGTTAGCCATCATTTCTAACAGGGGGCAGGTTTCATTGAAGTCATCAATAGTCTTCCGCAAATCTTCATAAGCTTGCCATTCTTTCAAAGCTTTCGGCAATTTACGGCACCTGATTTTAAGCAGAATACTTTCAAACAGGTCTTCATAAAAATATAACAGTAATGAAATGCTAGGATATCAAATGTTTTGTCTTTATTTAACAGAGCTATAAAGTTACTATATCAATATCATAATTGTAATCTATATAACTGTTTAAGTTTTAGAAGTTTGAACTTCACACATTTTTTTTATTTTACCAAAATTGAACTTTCAAGTTAAAGAATTACAGGAATGTTATATTGTAACATTTTATTGCTTCGTTAGTACTATAAGCCAGAATATTACACACTGTGATCCTTCTGTAAAGAACTATTAACATCTTTCAGCAATGTACACATGCTCATCTATGCAAGTTCAAACATTACACATTTTAATCTGAATCAAGGTATGAACGTAGTACAGGACTATTATAATTGCTATTGCATAGCTTAATGTAACACAGAAATACTTCTTGATCACGGGTTGTTAATTAGTCTGTGGATTGACTGTGAACTGTGTTGATAATCATGCAGCAATGACAATACTGATAGTAGGGGCTGGTGATAATGCCCAAAATGGTTACAATAATGATAATGCTGGTGCTGTTGATGATGGTTTTGGTGTTGGTAGTGACAGAGGTATGATTATGATGATGTTGATGATGATGATGAAGAAAATGGTCAAGACACCGAAGTAATTATCAAGTTGGTGACAGTAAGGTTATCATAACAACATAATGACCTGTTCTGGAAGTCCAGCAGTTCCAAGTTGATCTTTTCAATATTAATATCAGACCATGGAATGTCCTGATACCCAGTGACATTCTCAAGGACAGCATTGTACAACTGATACAGCTTCTGCAGGAGATTCAGCTCCTTCTTGATCCGCATGAGCTCTGGATACTCAGTGACTGGCAATCCGAAGAGCTCCTCACCCCCAGAGTAGGTGATGTACTTACGCCACAGCTCATCAAACATGGCTTGGTAAATGGTTAGTCTGTCTGAGGCTTCCCGAGGTGTGATTCCTTCTTCCATTGGTCCACTGTGGGATCACAGACAATGTATGTAATTCTATTGTTTGTTATTTATATATAAATATATATATAGTAAAATTAAAATAATAACTTTAGCAATCTTAGAGAAGTGGATGGCAGAAGTGTTCGGAATTTGTCTCACATATCAAGAGATGTGTGTTTTTCATCATCATTAAATAAAAATGATTTTTATTTGCCCGAGGTTGATTGGATGGCCATGAATCTTTCAGAAGACTGAGCTTTAACTCTGAAGACAGATGCAATTCCCTTGTCTGAGCTTACAAAAGAGTTAAGCATCTAACTAATTAAGTCAGATTGTTGAGTGGACTTTCCTCATTACCTTCCAAAATACACCTTCAACAGAAACATTGTTGCAAAAATTGCTGAAGTTCAACCCATGGATCGTGCTATATTAATAATGCCCTCAGAGAAGATGGAAGGGTGGACTTTCGAGACAGCGATTCCACATCGCTTACAAGAATGAAAGACTCTGGAGTTATGATCGACATAGCCAAAAGCGAGAGACGCATCGTGCATACAAAAAGATTTATCAGTCAACAAAGAACTGGCACTATTAGTCACATGACGCTGGGCTTCATATTGAGGGAAGGATCTAAGCACCTATGGACATTCTGGAGTGCAATGATCATATCCTAAATAACTAACTAACTAATTGTTGCAAAAATATATTTCCCCATTCCTATGTATAGTAGCATAACTGCTTTGAAGGCATGCCTATACTCTAGCTTTTACTAATGAAGAGCCAATTATGTCATTCTTAATCCATATGGTCCTTTGAAAATTTGAAAACCATCTCATAATGATGATCTGAAAAAACATCTGTGACCTCTACCAAAAAGAAAACCATCTGTAGAAGTGGAGTGTATGATAAGGAAGAAAACAATGATAATGTACCTTGTATCATAAGATTGTACAAACTGAATGCTGTCCTCAATGAGCTGCTCAACTCCAGCCATCAAGTTTGCTCGGAAGATGGGCTGTATCTCCAGCAAATGCTCTTGCACTGTTTTGGCCTGTAGATATCAATTTAGAACCTGTGTGTTGCACTTCTCTAATTTATTATGTGTGTGGCTTGCATATCTCTAACATGTGTGTTTATGTTTGCTCGGAAGGTGGGCTGTATCTCCAGCAAATGCTCTTGCACTGTTTTGGCCTGTAGATATCAATTTAGAACCTGTGTGTTGTACTTCTCTAATTTATTATGTGTGTGGCTTGCATATCTCTAACATGTGTGTTTATGTTTGCTCGGGAAGATGGGCTGTATCTCCAGCAAATGCTCTTGCACTGTTTTGGCCTGTAGATATCAATTTAGAACCTGTGTGTTGTACTTCTCTAATTTATTATGTGTGTGGCTTGCATATCTCTAACATGTGTGTTTATGTTTGCTCGGAAGATGGGCTGTATCTCCAGCAAATGCTCTTGCACTGTTTTGGCCTGTAGATATCAATTTAGAACCTGTGTGTTGTACTTCTCTAATTTATTATGTGTGTGGCTTGCATATCTCTAACATGTGTGTTTATGTTTGCTCGGAAAATGGGCTGTATCTCCAGCAAATGCTCTTGCACTGTTTTGGCCTGTAGATATCAATTTAGAACCTGTGTGTTGCACTTCTCTAATTTATTATGTGTGTGGCTTGCATATCTCTAACATGTGTGTTTATGTTTGCTCGGAAGATCGGCTGTATCTCCAGCAAATGCTCTTGCACTGTTTTGGCCTGTAGATATCAATTTAGAACCTGTGTGTTGTACTTCTCTAATTTATTATGTGTGTGGCTTGCATATCTCTAACATGTGTGTTTATGTTTGCTCGGAAGATCGGCTGTATCTCCAGCAAATGCTCTTGCACTGTTTTGGCCTGTAGATATCAATTTAGAACCTGTGTGTTGTACTTCTCTAATTTATTATGTGTGTGGCTTGCATATCTCTAACATGTGTGTTTATGTTATACATTTCCTTAGTTTACACTCATATCATTCTTGAAGATGTTACATTCATTTATTAGCAAATATATTGTGTTAATGGTAATCCTCACAAAAGTTACGAGTTATCATAATTGAAGCCAACATCTGCATTTATTCTGTAACAAATTTGCAAGTCTTGCTGTTAAATATGAGCTGATGCCTATGCAGAATAAAAGAAGTAAAAGGATATGACACAATCCCTAATATGGAGCTTAGGTAGAGATCTAAACAAATTCTAATGAATCAAGAGTTTGGAAAAGAGATAATTAACAATAGGATATCTTGCCATCAGTTGGTTATGGGCATATGCTCCACTAGAAAAAATTGCTGAAGAAATATAACTCTTTAAGGCCCAAGCAACAATGTGAGCGTTGATTGAGAAGTTCAGTTTTGCCCAAAAAATGCTGTCATCGTCAATCATGTGCCTCTTACATATTGCTTTGCACACGGCTCCCTACTTTTTCTAATGTTCGGAACTACAATTAAAGTTTTCAGGGAAAGTCACTTAACAATTTCTTTTTAACAACATTCCATATCCTACTTGTGCATATTTTAATTAAATTCATAGCTACATTGTTTTCAACAGTGCATTTTCTAAGTTTTTTTTCAAGTGCCATGAATACCAATGTTCCAACATCAAGTACTGGTCACAGAATGCGTCTTTCTGCGGCCGAAGCTCTGATATTGTTTCAGTCAGATGTTTTTAATTCTGATAATGATAATGAAAATTTAGATTTTTAGGGAAAGTGATTCGGATGGTGAATTTTCACCAGCAGCAGCTGAACGATCAGCTGTTGGGAATCTATCGATTCTGATGAGTTTACACAGACAATGTCACATTGCTACCAAATTTATGGTGTAAGAGAAGGAAGGTGCTTCAAACAAAGAGACAGTACTATACTATGGCAAAGCTACATTGAAATTATTGCAGCTACAGTCTGAATAAAACTTTACAAAGAAAATAGTAAATAGTATGGCCCATTTTTCTGCCATTTTTTCTCTGAAATTTGGCTCAGCACTCTGTGAGAACTAAGAGCCAGCACCAGAGTGCAAAACTAACCCAGAAACTTATTATAACTTTGGAATTTGTTACGAAATTGAACAAAGTTTGAAGTGTTGTTCTCAAGTTTGGATATTCACTACTCTTGCGGCTGCAAAACCATGATAAGTGAAGAATTTGTTTGTAGAATGTTGTTGTTGTGAAATTAACACCTGCTGAATTCTTCTTTCATATTAACTATAACAAGATTAAACTTTTGCTTATCATCAGATTCATTTCTCTTTAAAAAAAAAAATACTTTTATAGGGATTAGAAGTATATTACATTCTCTATTGCCTTTCTTGTACACCAACCCCTCTGCCATTTTTGTAAAGGGAAATTAATGTGGGCCAAGTATGTCCAAAATTCATGGGCCTGAAAGAGCTAAATAAATATATTATTGATAAATATTCTCCTTTATTCAGTAGTCAGTTTATTATCTTTAATGTTAATATTTTCTCAGCAAGCAAATCAAAGTCACAATTTTGAGAGCACGCATCTTCCCTTGTAACAACATATGGATGGGAGTCGTGGACTATCTTGCAATCATTTAAGAAGAAAATAAGCACTTTTAAGCTAAAATGCTATAGCAACATTCTCAGAATACCAAGGACCACAAAGAAAACAAATAAGGGCATCATAAAAAAATCTTCACATCTACAATTGGCTCATGAACAGCATCTTGTCTGAGAAAATGAAATACTTTATCAACTGCCATAAAGTAAAAATCTCTTTTCACACCTTGGGCGCATCGGGCAAATGGGGAGAGCACTCCATATTTTTACAGACCAGTCAGCACTAGGTGGGTAATGTGGTCAGCATTACGCCCGCCATCTTTACTTACCTAGGACATACATCCTGGTACCTATTTTAGACTGGGTCAACCTGCGATGCCCCATACCATGATAAAAATCCACGCAGCCAGCAGTGGGTTTCGATCCCAGTACGTTGGAATTACGTGTCAGACTGGCAATGCCT